TATATACTAGTAACGTGTTACTTGAAGCCTTTGTGTCTGATCCCCTGCCTCCTCTGATAAGTAAACCTTTACGCAAGAGAACCTCTGTGTCTTCTATCATTTAGAAGTCAGCGTTACAGGTGGTCGCTGGTGTTGTTGTTGAAGAAAACAAGAGGAAGTGGGCGCAGCTGCGTACTCATATTCTGGCTTACAACAATGAACTCTGAATTGGGTTAGCGCGGCCACTTCTCCTTTCATAGTTAGGAAAGTTCAACCTAAACACTTCGCAGATGCCGTTCGGAGTCCACTCGGACCACTGTCATACTGACATTCGTTGCACTCAGCTTGCTATCAAACTCAAGAGCAAACTTGGAAATCTCCTCCTCAAACCTACAAGTCACTATACATATTTTGGCTTATCACACCAACAACAAGAGCAATACTATTCAACAATTGCTACAACCATCTGTCATACTGACATTCGTTGCACTCAGTTTGCTATCAAACTCAAGAGCAAACTTAGAAATCTCCTCCTCAAACCTACAAGTCACCATACATATCTTGGCTTATCACACCAACAACAGAAGCAATACTACTCAACGATTGCTGCAAACTCTTCTACTACATCTGTTTATGCTACATACATCACGGCATATCATTTGAACACTCATTGAACAAGTTATTAAGAAAATCTCCTCCTTAAGGGGGTGGGCCAATACTACCACATGGCATATATCTACCAACTAGAGGCCTAGGAACATGAACGATAGCTCTAGAAGCTTCTACAACCCTCTATGATTCATTACACGTCATCGCTCCTTAGTTACCCACAAGATTGGTTAAGTTATGACATAATTTATCTATAGGTACTCTGACCTTGGACCTCCTTTTCACTTCCTATAGGCTAGGAACCCAAGAGATGGTTCTATGGGATTCTCTTACGTTCACTACATGATTAGCAAGCTAGTTGTGGGTCGCACTTGATTTCTAATACATTTACCAAGCCTGGTTAGTCATGGAAAGTCATGGAAAATGAGAGAACTACACTCCTTTGGCATAAATAGGATTGCCCTTTCCTTAAGAAAGGGCAAGCAGGCAATACAGTAAATCGACTAGCACATACTTCTACGTCTTTTCCAAGCTTCCAAGCATTGATCTTGTTATTCTCTGTTTTTGAAAAGTCAGTGAGGTGCTAACCTCTGACTTACCCCTGAGTTCTCAGACTCAACATTTGTTGCAACTTGTCTAAACCACTTCACCACATCATACACCTGATTGCTGCATTGTGGAATAGTCTAAGCTACAACCCTTTGGCTCTGTTTCCTAAGACAGTGTGTTGTCTTAGTAAATTCATCCCTTCCTTGGGTGGCTAGATTCTCATATCTGGTGCACCCACCATTACACCATCTATGATTCATTACACGTCATCGCTCCTTAGTTACTGGGCCGATATTACCACATAGCATATCTCTACAACCCTCTATGATTCATTACATGACATCACTCATACTTCCACGTCTTTTCCAAGCTTCCAAGCATTCATCTTGTTACTCCTTGTTTCTGAAAAGTCAGTGAGGTGTTAACCTCTGACTTACCCCTGAGTTCCCAGACTCAACATTTGTTGCAACTTGTCTGAACCACTTCACTACATCAGACACCTGATTGCTGCGTTGTGGAATAGTCTAAGCTACGACCCTTTGGCTCTGTTTTCTAAGACAGTGTGTTGTCTTAGTAAATTCATCCCTTCCTTGGGTGGCTAGATTCTCACATCTGGTGCACCCACCATTACAACCACCAGGAATGAACCTCAGATCGAACAAAGCAAATTCTGGTTTTGCACACTAAACGGAGTCGATAAGGCACAACTTTAGGATGATCGTTTTCACATACAAAGCACCTTCCCGAAACGGCACATAAACGGGGTTGTTACAGAGGCAATTACTAACGGAATTCCCGCCAACATAGAACGCTCTTCTCACAGATACCATTCGGAGATGTTGCGGAAATAGAAGTATAATTATAAGTATGAATAGAAGTATATATAAGGGTAGAAGTAGAAGTATAATTATAAGTAAGGATAGAAGTATGTATAAGGGTAGAAGTAGAAGTAGAAGTAAGATAGAAGTAGTACGTAGAACAGCGTGCTTCGCGGACAAAATATTCTCTTAAGAGGGGGGGTAGTGTAAGGATGCCTCTGCCCTCAGTTACGGAATGGATCTGAGTCAGACTAGTTACGGTCACATGGTAAGAGTTAAGGCAGGTTACCCGAGTCGGACCCGTTTCGGATACTTAAAGGGGATTGACCCAACGGGGTACCCCGCCATCTTTTTTGTATCCTTCATAGTAGACCTATAGGATAGCATCCATTTAGCCTCCAACTCACACTCCCATATGCTATTACCATGAGCTGGGTGCCCTGTGTCCTTACATCCCCCTCCTTAAAGGCAGGTTCTATACTGCGCTTCATGTTTGCATATGTGGCAGATCGTTCATTTAAGAATTGTATGTTTGTCGCGAGTTGTTCATGGAATGATTTTAGTTGTTCCAAGGCAATCATAGCTTGTTCTGCTCTCAATTCATCTGGTCGTGGTTGTCTATATGCCTCTGGCTAATAGCCGTAATTGGCAAAGAACGGTGAGTCTTTGTTGCTCCAGTCATCGCACTGTTATATGCGAACTGCGATGGGTAATATCTGAACCAATTGTCCCGTTGGTGGTTCACATAACTCCATATGTGTTGTTCAAGGGTTTGGTTCAGACTTTCTGTTTGACTGTCTGTTTGGGGATGGAAAGCTGTTGATAGCTTCGAGATATCATCTTATACTGACATTACATAGGCTAAGATGCCTCGAAATCAGCTATTTACGATGACGATTGAGCAGCGTCACGCACTCCGAAACTGGTATGCTCACCAGTCACCAAAGCCTTCGCAAAAAGCCTCTATCAACTGGTTCTTTAGAACCTTCGAATCTTTAAGCTCTCGATACGCCAACCTCGATACAATACCTGTTAACACAATTCAGCAATCAACTCACTGTCGCAAAGCTGTTGCCTAGTTTGACCTTGAAGCAGTCTTCTTTAAATGGCAGCAGCTTATTGAAAGCAAGGGAGGAGTTACAAGCACCGATATACTACAACTATGCGCTAAAACGATTTGGGAGCAACTTCCACAATACCACAACCAGCCTACGCCTCAATTCTCTTAAGGCTGGGTTTCGAATTTTAAAAGACGACATAAGATTAAGAGTTATACTTAACATGGTGAAATAAGCTCAGTTTCTACACAAGCAGAGGAAGAAATGAAGAGGATACAATAGTAGGGGAATATCAAGAGAAGGACATTTATAACATAGATGAAACTAGGCTCTTTTGGAAGCTGACTCCATCAAAAGGTCTTTCAACAATATCATAGCTAGGATTTAAGAAGGACAAGGAGTGAATATCAGTTGTTTGTTGTACAAACTATACAGGAGCTGATCGGATGCCACTTTGGTTTATTAGAAAGGCGAAGAAACCTCGAGCACTCTGGTATATTAATGTTGAAGCAATGGGAGGTTATTGGCGATGGAACAAGAAGGCTTGGATGAATCAGTTTATTATGGCAGAATGGCTAAGAGCTTTCTATTTACATATAGGCTCTTATAGACAGATTCTGCTAACAATGGACAACTTTTCAGCACATATTGCTGCCGTCGAAACAACGCCTCTGCCCTCAAATATACAAATTATCTAGCTACTAGCAAATGCAACAAGTCAATTCTAGGCCCTTGACCAAGGCATTATTACCTCCCTTAAAGCTCATTATCATCGACAATGGCTTGCGTTCATGCTAAATGCCTTCGACAACAACGAAGATCCTCTTAAAACTATTAACTTACACCTTGCCCTTCGCTAGATCATCCGATCGTGGTATCACGATGTCTTAAATACAACTATCTACAACTGCTTCTGCAAAAGCACAATCATCAAAAACCTGATCTAACTTTCTCTCAAGCACATTCCGCCTCTTACTAACCTTTACAACCAAGTACAACAGCACGGCCGAATTCACGATGCAATGGACCTTTCATACTTTCTAAACCTAGTGGAGGAGACAATACAAGAGGGTATACAAGATAGCAAGGGGGATATAGTACTACAAGAGGTCATTAAACAATATATCCAGCCTCCTAATGAAGGTCAAGATGATGACGATAGGGAGGAGCTTAGAATGCTAGTGGTTCATTCTACGTAGGCAGTTCTACAAGCCCTCTAAGTTCTGATTGACTTTACGGAAACTAGGAATAGTGGCATAATGTAATGGTGGGTGCACCAGATGTGAGAATCTAGCCACCCAAGGAAGGGATGAATTTACTAAGACAACACACTGTCTTAGGAAACAGAGCCAAAGGGTTGTAGCTTAGACTATTCACAACGCAGCAATCAGGTGTGTGATGTAGTGAAGTGGTTCAGACAAGTTGCAACAAATGTTGAGTCTGGGAACTCAGGGGTAAGTCAGAGGTTAACACCTCACTGACTTTTCAGAAACAAGGAGTAACAAGATGAATGCTTGGAAGCTTGGAAAAGACGTGGAAGTATGTGATAGTCGATTTACTGTATTGTCTGCTTGCCCTTTCTTAAGGAAAGGGCAATCCTATTTATGCTAAAGGAGTGTAGTTCTCTCATTTTCCATGACTTTCCATGACTTACCAGGCTTGGTAACTGTAGTCGACGTAATAGAATCCCATAGAACCATCTCTTAGGTTTGTAGCCTTAGGAAGTAAAAGAGGTCCAAGGTCAGAGTACCCCTATAGACAAATTATGTCATAGACAAATTATGTCATAACTTAACCAATCTTGTGGGTAACTAAAGAGCGATGACGTGTAATGAACCATAGAGGTTCGTAGGAGCTTTTAGAGCTATCGTTGATGCTCCTAAGCCTCTAGTTGGTAGAGATATGTCATGTGGTAGTATGAGTGATGTCATGTAATGAATCATAGAGGGTTGTAGAGATATGCTATGTGGTAATATCGGCCCAGTAACTAAGGAGCGATGACGTGTAATGAATCATAGATGGTTGTAGCAATCGTTGAGTAGTATTGCTCTTGTTGTTGGTGTGATAAGCCAAAATATGTATAGTGACTTGTAGGTTTGAGGAGGAGATTTCCAAGTTTGCTCTTGAGTTTGATAGCAAACTGAGTGCAACGAATGTCAGTATGACAAGGACAGGGGTATACTCACACCCATACCCGCCTCGATGGCGGCGCGCGTGGCGCCGAGCTCCTCGTAGGAGTCGCGCTCCGCGACGGAACGGAACTTGGGAACACTTTGGGCAGCCACGAGGGCCACCCGATTTGCCTCCGAGGCAGCGGCCGCGATGTCTGCGGCGACGAGAGGGATGGCAGTTTCCGCGGCGACGAGGGCGTGGTATTCCTCATCGAGGAACCAGGGCAGCTATTCACCCAAATGGTTAGCAACAGCCAACCAACCAACAGAACACCACAAGGAAACTCACCGGGACACAGGTGGAGTGCTGCATAGTGCAGTACTCGCACTTTGAGCTCGAAGCAGACCAGACGCAATCATGCGCCGGGACGCTCCGAGCTTTGGCCCGAAGGCAGCGCAGACACAGGACCCGGAAAGCGACCGAGAGGGCTCCGGCAGGCATGGGAATCGGCATCGTCAATTGTTCGCGATCTGTGTTCCCGTCAGCCAAGCCCACGTTATCACTTGTGCGCCGAGCGCGTTCCCATCACCTACTCGTTCGGGTGGATTGTTCTATTCTAAAACAACCAGTTAGTATACAGCTATAGGAATGGGGGGGGGCCACTTACCAGTCTCGACGTGGATACTGTGGCGTTGTTGTTGTAAAAGAAAAACAGGAAGAGGTGGGCGAAACGGAGTACTCAAATGTTGGGCTTACAACAATAAATTCTGAATTGGGCTAGCGCGATCACTTCCCCTTTCACATTTATGAAGGTTCAACTCCAACTCTTAGTGGATACTTCCCGGTGCCCATTCGGATCACCAAGATGGAAAGTGAGATTGAACAAAGCCAACTCCAGTGTCGCATTCCACGAGGTGGTGTTACGGTACCCTTCAAGAACAGCCACCTCCGCACACAAAGCACTTTCCCGACACATTGTACAAACGGAGGAGTTCCCGATGCACGTACCGCCAGAATTTTCACCAACAAGGAACGCCCAGCTTACGGATACCATTCAGAGAGGTTACGGAAAGGACCCTGATGGCATGCTTTGCGGACAAAGCACTCTCTTAGGAGGGGGGTAGTGTAAGGATGCCTTCTTGTCTCTCATTCTAGGGAGTAGACTCTGGGTAGCTGGAGCGTCAGGTGTGATCATTTGGGTGGGCTAACCGAGTCGGAACCGAGTCGGATGGGTTTCGGGTACTTGAGACAATCGACTCACGGGGTTCCCCGATCATCTTTTTTGTATCCTTCGTAGTAGACCTATAGGATAGCATCCGTTTAGCCTCCGACTCGCACTCTCATATGCTATTACTGTGAGCTGGGTGCCCTGTGTCCTTACAAAAGGACAGTATTTGGATCGTATGGAACTAACCCTATAACTAAGTTAGTAGTTTATTTACTATAAAGATTATTATAATTACCTGTTGCTCGAAAGCCACTCTTAATATTCTGCTCTGTAAATGCAACTTTATACGCTTATTTAAAGGCAGAGAGGAACTCAAGCTTTGTGATATGGTGAATACGGAGTCGTACGAGACCCTCGACCTGCTTTCCGTACGAGGACTTTAGTGGGCTAAAACACCCAACATCAAGAGGCTGGAGGAGGTGTGATGAATATGGTGGCATACAGAGGGTAATAATTAGATGCTCTTGACAATACTGTTGGAATTCAACTGAAATATGTGACTCGTGGCCATCAAGAATTAGGAGACGATATACTCCTTTCGTACGACTCTGAGTATGTTTCTCAAAATGCTGAATCCACTCAAAACCAATTGCATTTGTAGTCCACCCGTTTTCACTTAATGTAATCACCCAATCGCGTGGGAGTTGTACCTCGTCGTCGTTATACCATGACGAGAGGTGGGTTGCTCCTTTGAAAATAATGAATGGAGGAATTGACCACCCATACGAGTTGATTCCTTGTATAATTGACACCCATTCTCGATTTCCTGGCTGTGTAGCTTTCGGACGATTCCTTGACTCTGAGCTAGTGACTACTTTAGCAGTAGCAATCATTCCCATTAAGAATCCAGCTTCATCAAAGTTGTATATATCCTCCTCTTGAATTCCGTACTTTGCGACCATGTTTCGTACGAGCTTAAACCAGTCTCTGATAATCAATGGATCTTCACAAAGAGCTCTTTTATAGTCGTATTTTCGTCCGAACTTCGTTTTAATCTCCGTACGACGCGTGATAAAGTTCGAGGTCCAATTCTTACCTACAGGTGACGCGTCGAGTTCAGCGAGGAGTAGGTCCGCCATTTCTTGTACAGCAGCTGGCTGAGGTGGGAATCCACGCGAATCAAGGTCGAGAATGTATCGTACAATAGCCTCCTCTTCTTGAGAAGTAAGCCTTTCACAAAGGGTTTGAGGAGGTATATCGTATGCTATTGCAGCAGCTCGTACGCTTCGAAATTGATATAATTTAATTGCTTGTATAGCTAAAAGAATCCTACCTTCTTGATTAGAAGAATAAGCTTGAATTGGAGACATATTAGTTGTATGGAAGGAAGACGCGTTTTGGTGGTTATTTTGCACGGTTCGACCGGGTGCATGGTTCAATTGGGAAATACGTTAACGTGCATGTATAACGAAAGTGCCAAACAAGCGAAAGTGCCAAAATCATGCGGTGACCAACCCCCCCAACTAAATGTTAAATTCCTCCACAACAAAACATGCGCCATAAAAATGATGAAAGCAAATTAGTGCTAGCTATCCAAGCTATGCAAAGCGACCCAAATTTGCGCCTTCGAGTTGCAGCTAGGATCTATTCCGTAGACCACCGCAAGCTACGTCACCGTTTACAAGGCGTACCTTCACGACGCGATATCCAAGCCAACTTACGGAAATTAAGTAACCTAGAGGAATCAGTTCTTGTTCAGTATATACTTGACTTAGCTGCTAAAGGGTTCCCTCCTCAGTTGTCTATTGTTGAAGATATGGCTAATCGACTACTTGCAACACGCGACGCGCCACGCGTCGGGTCACGTTGGGCTTCAAACTTTGTTAAGCGCCATGTAGAGCTCCGGACACGCTTCCAGCGAAAATACGACTACCAGAGGGCTAAGTGCGAAGATCCAGAAGTCATTCGTGGCTGGTTTGAGCTTGTATGGAACACAATTCTAAAGTATGGCATCAACAATGCAGATATCTACAACTTTGATGAGACTGGGTTTATGATGGGCGTCATCTCAAGCGCAACGGTAGTAACGAGCTCAGATGGGCGGGCAAAGGCAAAAAAGGTGCAGCCTGGCAATCGGGAATGGGTTACAGTAATCCAAGGCGTTAGTTCTCAAGGTTGGGCAGTGCCGCCATTTGTCATTGTGGCAGGTAAAAACCACCTTGCATCTTGGTATGAGAATAGCGGATTTCCAGCAGATTGGGTAATCGCTGTTACTGCAAATGGCTGGACTACAAACGAGAGAGGTATGGATTGGATTCAGCATTTTGAGAAGCACACAAAGCCCCGGAGTGTTGGTGGTTATCGCTTGTTAGTCCTTGATGGTCATGAGAGCCACCACTCAGACAAGTTTGAGGAGGACTGCAAAGAACACAACATTATTACGCTTTGTATGCCTGCTCACTCTTCCCATATACTCCAACCACTTGATGTTGGCTGTTTTGGCCCATTAAAGAGAGCTTACGGTCGGCAAATTGAAGATATGATGCGGGCTCATATTATTCACATTACTAAGGATGACTTCTTTCCTGCCTTCCACGCTGCATTTAACATTGCAATGACAGAAAGCAATATTCAGGGAGGGTTCCGAGGTGCTGGGCTTCTTCCATTTAGCCCTGAGAGTGTAATATCTACACTTGACCTTAGGTTTAAGACGCCAACACCTCCAACCTCTCGCCCAAACACCGCTCAACCATGGGTTTCTCAGACACCAAATAACCCAACTGAAGCTGTATCACAGTCTACTTTCATTAAAAACTGAATTGCGCATCATCAAAATAGCTCTCCAACCTCAATCTATGCAGCTGTTGACCAGTTTACAAAGGGTGCATCGCAAATAATGCATCAATTAGCATTGTTAAAAGCAGAGAACCAAAACCTGCGACAGGCAAATGAAGTGCTAAGCAAGCGCCGGAGAGCTAAAAAAACACGACTACAGCAAGGAGGATCACTTAGTCAACAGGTAGCACAGGAGCTACAGGACGAGAGGGACGTTGTGCAGCAAGTAGAGCAAGAAATAAGGGCAAGTAGTGGTCGGAAGCCAAGGGAAGAAACCCATGCACGTCGCTGTGGCAAGTGTGGTGAGACTGGACACAATGCGCGCACTTATCAGATTGTAATAGACAGGTCTGAGGAAGAGGACTCCGAGTAGTTTTAATTAATTTATATTGTTGTGGTGGATTTATCGCAATTCTTATGGGGTAGTCGCGATATTTTGGCACTTTCACTTGTTTGGCACTTTCGTTATACATGCCCGTTATTAGAAATCATAAAATTAATAATCTTTCTCTTTAATTCCTTCTCTGAAAAAATACTAGAATAGCTTCGTTTTCTAGTATCTATAGTAAATGTTTTTATAACTTTTGAGCGCCACGAGTATTTATGTATTTATGTATCACTTGGGGGACAAGACTATGTACAACATTCCTCTCTATACAACACACGGAATAAGCTGAGGCCTTTGAAGCAGAGATGGTATTTCAACTAAAAAGTGCTGGTAGCCAAACGACTAGCCGCATTTCTAGCATCGACACGGTCATCGTCCTCCTCTTCCTTCACTCCAGCTAAGCCCCCTGAACTATCGCCGCTTAATTCTCGACCTCTCCCAGCGCTGCTCTCTGCTGTTTCTTCATCGACGCCAGGTACTATGGTATTGGAGACATTGCGACTGGCGTCCGGTCTCCTTGGCACTCCACTCCAAGCGTCACCCTTCGGCCCCTGGCTGGCAGCTAAGTTGGCACGTCGTGCTGCTGGGTGTGATTCTCTCCCCAGTCTGCTGAGTCCACCAGATGAATCAATAGCGCGTATGTCGGGGCGAATAGTTTCAAGTGTAGCAAGAGTTCTGCGCTCTGCCTCGATCTCCCGGAGCACATACTCACGTAGAGACACGCGCATATCGATGGTGGTGCGGTTGAACCAGCGACGAGTCTCTTGAACTAAATTCGTAGTCACACGCTGCGTCTTCGAGCGTAAGTGAAGTTCGTTAGAACGAGCCTTATCCATGGCCGCAATAGCTTCATCAACCTTCTCGCGCTTCACGGATGATGACACTTTGAGGCGGTCGGCAGCGTCAACCTTGGACTTGGATAGGATCTCGGCTTGTAAGAGCTCGCGCATCAGAATGTGACGGTTGGTAAGAGTTTCCTTGACAATAAAGGCGTCTTCCGAATTGTACGCGAGAGGATCTCCGATTGTGGTAGCTTCGGCAGTTCCTTGAGCAGCATGGTAGTCGCCCGTTGTTTGGATAGTTTTTCCCAGCTTGCGGTATGCATTTGCTAATCCACCGTGTAATTCCTGAGTACTCATAGTTCCAAGTTTAACCCCAAAGTCAGATTCGGCCAATCCAAGTCCTACGCCCTGTTAATAGATGTTATAAATGAAGACCTAATGACTTACCTTTGCGGGCCTTGACAAGTTTATCCACCTTGTGTCCAGCGTCCATTGTGCCCAAGTAGAACTGTTTGATAGCAGGGCGCGCATCTTCCAGTTCTGGGGTATCATCAGGGGGTGGAGCAAATTGCTTGATGACCTTCCGCCGAACACCAGTCGCAGGTTGTTTCCGTTTTACCATAGGGCTGTATCCATAATCGCTCTCCACGAAAAGTACCATCTCATCATCGCGCATTAATACATCATTTCCGCAAACATAATTAAGCCAGCGTTGTAACGATGCCTTCACGCGCGCCTCGTCCTCATCAGTGCCTGCACCAGCGGAAGTCAGTGCCGGTGGCACAGCTGGGACGATTGCTTCGGGGTTCGAGGAAATTAAATGGTCTGCGAGTTTGATAAATTCCGAGTGAGTGCGGCGCACATCACGAAACTGTGTAGTTCGGAAAGCCGGAAGATTGGTCTGCTTTAGTTAACATCGGGCGCCTGGAATAAATAGCCAGACAAACGGCACACGTACATGAACGTCAAATCGCAATATAGGATCCTTGCGACCAACTCGTTCCAAGCCAGTTATCTTTGCCTGCAATTTGTAATGGGGACCTTGTCTAACAGCAGGCTGAGAAGCTTCTTGCTGTCTTTGTGCATCTTGGCTCGGGTGAGCCTGTCGCTGCTGTTGTGAATGGCCTCCCGGTTGCTGTTCACCAGGTTGTTGAGCTGGATGTTCCGCGTTTGACTCAGTACCACCCTGTCCTTGGCCATACGCATGAGCATTATCAGCTTCATCTGACAGACCAGGCCCTGCGGCAATACCCGAGTCACTTGTGTAGTTGTCGCCATGTTCTCGATTTTGGCCGTACACGGGCGAACCGGGCGCTTCTGGCGTAGGGTTGAAACTAGTCCTATTGTGCTGTGGCGATGGAGCTGGTGATGAGCCCCATGGCGATGCTTCAGCTGGGTTATCCCCATCATGTAAGGAAGATGAGTAGTCCATATTGTTTGCGTTAACCCCGAAATAGCGAGAAGAGCGGCTGGGGCCTGGAGCTTACGTCGTCAGCGATTGTAGTATAAAGCGACTGGCATTGGTAAGTAACATACCGCGGTCAGCGTGTGCGCAAAGATATTCCTAAAGGCAGAATCGCCAACTATATTTGCTGGGCAGAGTGATTGTTCCAATGGTCGCTGGAGTTTGAGGGGCATGGTTACCTTGCTTCAACGACCAAGGTAGCGATAGTAAACTCGTAAGCGCGGGGAGCCGAGCTAAGCGACGTAATGACAACCATCCGTTTTACATGCATATATCCCATGGCTTTGGACATTTTATCGATGTAGATTAAGTAATGCATCTTTATTTTTCAAGGGCGGCCCATGTGTCATGGCGGTCCTCTTTGCTGAGATCCAATCTCATAAGCGTTTGTCGTTTGCGTTTCTTTTCAAGCAGCTCGAGTAATTGCAATTCGGGGCAGAATGCCGAAATCAAAAGAACCCGAAATATTGGCATTATTGCCCATATTGATGCCGTAAGCTTTATAAAATCTAAAGTTCAGTTATATGTTCTAATATGGATAGGGGAAAACAACCACAACTGAGCGTATGCTCTATTACAGTGGTGTCACGCGTCGAATAGGAGGTTAGTTTTTTCGATGAAAGTTTCAAGCTTCATTCGCGCCCAGCGTTCTTCCATTTACGCCATATTATGCTGAAGCTTTTAATAAATACATCTGTTTATAGAATATGGAGAAGAAAGTATGTACTAACCGCTCTATAGATGTCGACGACGGATCGACGGTCACGGATTTTTTACCTGCTGAGCGGGCCCGGGGAATTACCATCCAATCTGCAGCAGTAACATTACACTGGCCTCCGATTCAGCATGGCTCATCGGAAGATTCGATTGAGTCTGTCCAAAAATCACGTGTTTCACATACAATCAACCTGATCGACACGCCTGGCCATGCGGATTTCACATTCGAAGTCCTACGCTCACTAAGAATTCTCGACGGGGCCATTTGCGTTCTTGATGGCGTTGCTGGCGTAGAAGCCCAGACCGAGAAGGTTTGGGCACAGGCAAACCTTTACAGCATCCCAAGGATCGCCTTCGTCAACAAGCTTGACCGTGATGGAGCTGCTTTTGGACGAACCGTGAAAGAGATTGGCTCGCGGCTACGAGGATGGCCTGCTGTTTGCCAAATCCCCTGGTGGGAAGGGGGCAAAGGGAGATTTCAAGGAGTTGGCGATGCCGTCGATCTCTGCGCTTTGAAATGGGCTGAAGGAGGCGATGGAAAGGCCATTCAGAAAAGCAGTCTAGAAAGCCTTAAAGAAACGGACCCGGAGTTTGCGGCCGAGCTCATAAAAGCTCGACTAGCACTAGTTGAGGTTCTTTGCGAGTTTGACGAGCACCTACTCACTGCATGGCTCGAGTGTGACGACGATCCAATGGCTATTGCACCGCAAGCAATCAGAGATAGTCTGCGTCGCTGCATCATTGATGGTTCTGGCCGGCTCATTCCTGTTTTCGCTGGTGCAAGCTTTCGCAATATCGGCGTTCAGCCACTTCTAGACGCGGTTGATGATTTACTTCCCGGTCCAAATGAGCGACCACCGGCAGAAATCACTGCTGGCGCCTTGAAGGGGACACTACCGGATTTGTTGGACGGGAAACTCCATATCCAGCAGTCTAAGTCGTCCAAGCAGCCCAAGCGCCTCCATGGACCAGGGCCAGCCAATATCGGAGGAAACATTGAAGCATGCGCACTTGCGTTTAAAGTGGTCAACGATCCGAAGCGTGGCGTTCTGGTCTATGTACGTGTCTATTCCGGAACTCTGAACAGAAACTCGGCGCTGTGGAACACCTCTCTCCATGTCACTGAGCGGGCTGGCAGACTACTCCAAATGTATGCTTCAGACGCCGAAGAAATTCAATCAATTCCAGCAGGCCAAATCGGTGTGATTGTTGGTCTTAAACACGTGCGCACTGGCGATACACTGATTACTTACACTGGCTCGAATCCCAGAACCGGCCCACCTGCACCGCTGGATAGCCTACATCTCCGACCTATAGATGTGCCCCCCCCAGTATTCTTCGCAGCTATTGAACCACATAGTTTGAGCGAAGAGAAGAATGTCGAACAGATCCTCGCGCTACTTCTGAGGGAAGACCCTTCCCTGCATGTCAGCATTGACGATGAATCTGGACAAATGCTTCTCAGCGGCATGGGCGAACTGCACCTTGAAATTGCCCGAGACAGACTCGTCAATGACTTCAAGGCCAAGGCGACTATGGGCGCGATTGAAATCGGCTATCGCGAATGCGTCCAGTCCTCTTCAAGCACTCAACATTCACTCATCGATCGTGAGATTGCGGGCAAGAAAGGAATGGCTGGATGTTCTGCCTTTGTTGAACCTGTCGATTCGACGGATGCTTTCCCGCCTGACACTATTGAGAGGGATGGTAACTTCATCACCGTGAATGTTGAGATGATCGACCCTGGGGACCGTCACACTGCTTATTCTCTTCCCCAAGAGCTGCCTCTTTCCGAACTCCGCACTGCGCTCATAAATGGCGCTTCTGCTGCCTTAGCACGCGGTCCTCGAAGACGCTTCCCCATGACCGCTACTCACGCCAACTTGACTTTCTTGGTGTCGCGTGACCTATTTGGCAAAGATACACACCCAGCTGCTTTGAGCTCAGCTGCTCACCAAGCTGTGCAAACCGCACTGAAAGAGACCTTTGACAACAATGCTATCAGCCTAATGGAGCCGGTCATGAATGTCGTCATTTCATGCGATGAGGGCAACATGGGCAATATCGTGCACGATATCTCATCTGCTCGCGGCGGCCACGTTATCTCTCTCGGGGATGAAGAATCTACTGAAGCAATTGGAGACGATGAGAAGCAAGTCGACGTATCTAGGATCTATGCACCTCCAGACCCATTCGCTGTCTCGACGCAGTTTGGAAGCGACAATCTATCAGGAGCAAATGTTGGGCAACAGAGGCATATCAGGGCCAGGGTGCCGTTGAAGGACATGGTGGGATATTTGAAGCACCTGAGGAGTTTAACAGGTGGACGTGGGACATTTATCATGGCCTTTGAAAAGTTTGAGAGGGTCTCGGGACAGAGAGAACGAGACGTGTAGATTTATCTCGTTTATCTGGTTTATAGACTGGATGATATGGGGTGTGAGCATTATTGTTTGTTATATCTGTATAATTATTTGGTGAGCTATCATATCCGATAATATTCTTGGGCCAAATGATTTAATAAATGCATTTCTTAAGACAATGACGTTCAAGATGGTAATCCGCTTGGAATAAAGAAATACCGCAGCTATTCTTATTGATTTATAGACCCGGAGATTTTATTTGATAGAGGCTCTAGAATACATATAAACATGCTGCAGAAGTTCTCAAATGACAAGGCCTTGATAACATCTATCATGGTACACCTTTGAACTTCAGAACTGTAAACTCCAGCGTCGAGACCTTGGAAATTCAGTTGTGTTTTAGGGCCGTTCAATAAATTTCTCTTACGCGTCAGAAGTGTAACTACCTTCACAACGATCAATTCCCTTCGACGCAACAAACGTACAACAAACACTCAAAACATCACCCACAACTCCTTGTTCATGGCTTTTTAATCAACACCACATAATACACACAACCTTTTGTGTCTTAATCAAGACAAGAAACGCCTTTACAAATGACAAGAAGCGCCATCCAAGGTTCACTGTGGACGCTTTGTTCTGAACTTTGAACTGTGTCAAAACCCCTGAGCCACAACAACATGGACTCACCAACTTCACCAACACCAGTCGAGGAACAGCGACAACCTCTTGATTGCCCAGATGTATCTCAATTATCTTCGCCATCATTTGATCACAGGATAAATTTGCCTCCCACTCGCTGCCTTATCAATTTCGAGCCACTCAGGCAACCCAACACAGCATATCAACATGACCAAGACTCGCTGGTTTGGGGACAGCAGCAATCTTTTGATTCCCCAGATGCGACACAATTATTTCCACTAGCATTTGGTCATAGAAGAAATTTGCTACCCGCTCGCCGCCTTATCGATTTTGAGCCACTTAGGCAGCCAAACGCTACATATCAACATGGCCGAGACTCGCCGCCTTGGGGGCAGCAGCAACTTCTTGATCCCCTAATTGCATCTCCATCATCTCCGCTATCGGTTGATCATGGAGGACATTTGCTGCCCGCTCGCCGCCTTATCGATTTCGAGCCACTTAGGCGACCCAGGACTAGATATCAACATGGGCGAGACTCTCCGGTCTGGGGACAACCCCTCGATTCCCCAGACGCAGCAGAGTTGGATAAGCCATCATTTCAATCTGACGACCCTTTCCTACCAGCTCCTCGTCTTATCAATCTTGAGCCACTCAGACAATCTAGCGCAACACCTCGATGGGGCTCGCCGGATTGGGGGAGAGAGCCATTTTTTAAATTGCCAGATGCATCAGGATCGTTTCCGCGAGAATGGTATGCGCCAGAATTTCAGATTGTCTACTCCAACGGGTGGATTAATGCGATACCCGTTCGTCCTTTGGGCTATGAATGGCTCATGCTACCCGTCCAGCCCTCTCAATACGACAGAGACTCGCTCGTCAGCGAAGATTCCGAACCCCTATCCATTAATGGACCTGATTTATTTCAAGATCCTCGCAAATCCAAATGGCTAAGGGCCCATCACAGATCGATGTCAATTGAGCGTGCCTGTAAGGCCTGGGCATATGAGTTAAGAAACAGTGTCCCAAACTCAGATCCAACCGATGTCGACACCAAGAGCCTCTTCGGTTCACTTGAAAGATTAGAAATGAGCTTTGTGCAGAATCAGCCAGGGATAGAGGCACCACAAGAATCATTTGTTAAACAGCTACCCAAACGGTACGAAATTAGTAAGATGCGTCAAGACGATCTGGAATCGGAAACCTCCGAAGACGTCGAGGATTTGCCTTTTTGGCTTAGACCTTGGCTGGGTATTCGTTTACCGCCGGGTATGGTAGACCTGGCGGCGCCCCGCATCCCGCATTATCTGGTGCGTAAACTTGCAGATCCGCAAAGGTTTCTCCCTTCAAAGCTTTCGTTCAAGAAGAATTTCCCTTTCAGAAATGTCCTTCCAAAGAAAGGCCAAATCGGCCTCCATCCAGCTTTCCGTACTGCCGCACCAGAAGACATTCTAAAGGCAGAAAGGGAGCTCGAACTTGCCAAAGAACGTCGGTTCCTAGCTCCGGAGGAAGCATGGAGGTCTCCAATTATAAATGACTTCTTCAGCAGCAATTCTGGGAGAGAGTCCCTGTGGGAATATCCGCTGGTCTCAGTTTCTGACTGTGGAAGTCTCACCGACGAGCTCGAAGGTCTTGACCAGTTGATGCCGGAATATCCGCTGACCTCGGTTTCTGACCGTGGAAGTCTCACCAACGAGCTCCAAGGTCTCGACCAGTTGATGCCAGAAACCTACAGTCGCAGTGTCAATGGAGGGAGCTTCATATCAGTGCTGTTCGACCAAGCCGAGGCATTCTCCGATGTAGACGAAGCCACAATTTTGTCGGACCAAATCGAGGCATTCCCCGATGTAGATGAAGCCATAATGTTTTCGAACGAATTCATGGAATCTCCCGACATAGGCCCCATCACAATGTTCCCTGGCCGAGACATTGAACTTGACCAAGGCCCAATATCTTTGGATCAAGTCATGCAATCCCCCATCGTAGTCCCTGTCTCGATGGAACCCCCCGTTGGAGACCAAGCCGCAATGGCTGAGCATGTAGGCACGGAGAGTCCAATTGAAAGCCTGGGGTCAGATTACTACTTTGGACAAGGCATGGAATACCTCACTGGAGACATAGCCCGAAGACATTTCCGCAAAGGCACAGAATCACCCATCGAGGACGAAGACTCAGTATATTCGGTCCTCGAAATGGCATATCGCAAATCAGACCGTGCCCCAATATTTTATGACCAAGACACAGAACATCGGATCGAAGACCAAGACCAAGAGGCAATATCTTCCAGCGAAAGCATCAAATCATCACTCGTGTCGCATGAGGATCTCCCAATCATTAAGTGGTTCTTCGACTACTGGGAAGACAACTCAGAACCATTGGGCCAGCCCACCTCATCGAACCAAGTTGAGAAGACCAAAGGATACTATAAGCGCAATAGTGCAGACTTTGCCCATCTTCCACCTATTGATTTTACCAAGTCCTACAATGACTTCTGCACAACCCAATTTGGTTCATTGGTAACCGGCGGTGGCTTCCAAGATTACAACTCTTCCAACGAACAGACGGTTGAGAAAACGACGGAAGTGACAGATGATCCGCTAGAGTCAATCGAGGTTTACTGGCCTCAAGATCACGAGGCGCGCATGCGAGAACTCTTCGCAGAGATCGAGCTGGAGGGTGCTACACGGATCTTGACCACGTGGCAAGAAGTGTATGTAGAGCGAGGGGAAGAGGGGGGGACTGAAGAGGAAGGGGTCCAAGAGAAGCAAGCTGAGACCGCTTTGGAAGACAGCAAAGAAAACATAGCCCAAGAGCCGGCTGTTCCATTAGAGCGAAAGAGTTCAAAGGTAAAGAGCTGGTTTGGAGGATTGACCGCCGAGAGGGAAAATAGAAAAGAGCGGAGAAAATCCCAGGGCGCTGAGTTGGAGATGAATGGTAAGCAAATGAGTTGGCTTGGAAGATTAGCTAGCGCAAGGGAGAAACCAATGCTGGAATCAATGGGAGACAGCATCGGATCTGTACCCCAAGGGCCCCCTGATCTATTGATGCGAAAGAATTCCAAGAGGGTATCCTGGTTTGGAGGGCCTGCCAAGAAGCAGAAGCAAACCGAGGAAGTATTCGGGGATAGCCAGGAGAAGATAGAGACGGCGCTTACCCATCCACTGGAGCAAAAGGGTTCGAAACGGAGGAGTTGGTTCCCAGCACATCTTGCCGAGAAGCAGGAGCAAACGGAGGAAGTGTTTGGAGACCGCCAGGAAGAGATAGATCCAGGGATTGCTCACCCATTGGAGCGAAAGCATTCAAAGCGGACAACCTGGTTTGGAGGACATCCTACTGAGAAAGAGGGACGAACTTCGGAAGATAGCCATGGAATGTTAATCCAAGGGCTAGTTCATCCATTGGAGCGGAAGGGTTCGAAGCGGAGGAGCTGGTTTCCAGGACATCCCGCCAAGAAGGAACAACAAACTAAACCAGATTCAGAAGACAACAAGCTAACTCAAGCGTCTGTTGATCCACTGGAGCGAAAGGGCTCGAAGCGAAGAAGTTGGCTTCCAGGACATTCTGCCGAAAGGGAGGCACAAACTTCAGATGATAACCACGGAAAGATAATTCAGGAGAATGTTCATCCGCTGGAGCGAAAGGCTTCAAAGCGAAGGAGTTGGTTTCCCGCACATCCCGCCGGAAAGGAAGAACAACCGCAAAAAGATTCGGAAGACAGCTATGGGAAGTCAACCCAAGCACCTGTCCATCCACTGGAGCGAAAGACTTCAAAGCGAAGGAGCTGGTTCCCAGGACATCACACCGAGAAGGCAGAACAACCCCAACGGGATTCAGAAGACAGCTATGGAAAGTCTACCCAAGCGTCTGTCAATCTACTGGAACGGAGGGCTTCGAAGCGAAAGAGTTGGTTTCCAAGAAGTTCTACCGACAGGGAGGTACGAACTTCAGAAGATAGCCATGGAAAGTCAACTCAAGGCTCTGTTTTTCCACTGGAACCGAAGACTTCGAAACGGAGGAGCTGGTTTGGCATGGTATCCCCAGAGAGCAAGGAACGAACCGAAGATGCTTTGGAAGGCAACGATGAAAAAGTACCTCAGGAACCTGTTACCCCATTAGAGCGAAAACGCTCAAAACGTATGAGTTGGTTGGGAATAACACCTGCTAAGAAGACCGAACAAACCCACGAAGACTTCGATGGCAGTAAGGAGGAGATAATTCAGGGAACGGCGGAACCATCAGAGAAAATGCGAGCGAAGCGGGCGAGCTGGCTGGGAGGGTTGAATACCCCAGATGACAATCACAGCAAAATAACTCAAGGACCAGCAGATCAACCACAGCGAAAGCATAGGAAGAGGGCGAGCTTGTTTGGATTACCCAGCGAGAAAGAGAAGACCGAGCGGAGAAATCAAGAGGAGCGGAGGCGGAAGCGGAGCTCTTGGTTTGTTTAAGTAGCTCTGAGGCTGAAAATGGACGTGAATGGGAGAAAAGAGGCAGATAAATATGTTAACGATGGGCAGTGCAAAATTTGAGACTTGTCACAAGAAAAGACCAGGCAAAACATGTAAGACGAAACTCAGATAGTGGAGTTGTCTCTTCTACGAATGAGAAAATTATCATAAACCGTAAACCCCAGAATCTACTGGTAGTAGAAACTCCGAGTATAGTGTAGTTATCAATATTTAGCCGCAGCCTAAATAGGGCGAGATTCCTATGCCCCCATGAGATATGGCCAAGGCTATCCGGCAACCAATGTTGTAGTGCCCATTTTTATAGTTGAAAATTAGGTGCACACCCGAGTCCTGCACACGTCCCTCTTGTGCGTGTTGAACAAAATGTCACAAACCCCACATAACAGTAATGGAAATGAAATAAATGCCCCAGCAACCCCATGAACCAGTTGGAAAACAAACATGGTGTGACAGAAAGTAATTGAAAACAAGAAGCCGGCCACAGGCGGTGTTCAGGGGGCGAATTGCGCCCAGTCAACTGCATCAGTGGCATCGTACCCCATCATTCCCGTATCGGGGAAGTTCATCGCAGTGTTCGCTACGTGAACGTTGGTATTGAAATCTATGAATGGAGCAGCATAATATTCCGTAGCGCCGAATTGGTAGTTGTTCGTAGACATATCTACCACAGGCATATCCGAGAATAGTGGTGGCGGAGGCATGTGTGAAGCATCAAACGCAGAGATCTTGGGTGTGGAGTGGAAGCTACCAAGAGGCTCAAGCAGCAATGCTGCTGAAGGTGCGTTCTCCACAAGTGCAGCGACGTGCGGTTCAAATCCCCAGTCCCCCACCCAATCCTTCATCGTCGCTCGACACTTGAAGTGTGACGCAAGGTGCTCCGCGCGACCAGACCATGTGGTGAAAGTAGCACTGCAGAAGCCGCAGCGAGACCTGACGTTGCTTACTTCCGACTTCCAGGCTTCCATTCGTGCATTTATCTTGCACTCGTGGGTAAGCCGGAGATGCTGTTGAAAATGATCTTTACGATAGAACGTTCGCTCTGACGGTTCCTTCATCTGGCAGGCGGAGAAGTTGTGCGTCTCCAAGTGCTGCTTCGTTGGGTTTGGAAGATCGCAGAATGCACAGAGCGGGCCTATTGCGGAATCAATGATTCCACCTGAGAGACAACAGACCCAAGTCTCCAGGCTCAAATGCTGGGACTTTTCATGGCGCTGCCAGTCATGTTTGGTCGTGAATGTAGGGTCGGGGCAGAACGTGCATTGAAATGGGCGAGCCTTTGCTTTGGCAGTTGGCTTTGGCGGCTTGCTTGGGTTGACCCTACGGCGACGACGGTCTCCGGCACTGATGTGGCTGTATGGGAGCTTGAGCGACGAGTACGAGAAGGACGTCTGATCCGAAAGGGACGAGCCCCCGAGGGTGCTAGTCAATCCCGTCTCATAACTAGCCATCGATTGGGCAAAGTAGGAGTCATTGTGAGAGAAGGTTGTAATCGAATGCGCAGCGTCGTAGTTATTAGGCTTCGAACGGGCCTGTTCGGGGCCAAAAAGAGCAGAAGGATAGTAGTCAAATTCTTCGTCGATAGGATCGAACAGCTTCAGCTGATTGTCCTCGCAAACGGCCAAAATAACGGGTGGAGAAACGGCTTCGAGTTCAATAGGAGTGACCTTCCATCGATCAAGGGGGTTCATTTCTCCGAACGAGCGCTGTTTGGTAGGTGCACCAGCTGCCTGTTTCTGGTTGGCACGTGCTCGGTTCTTCCTGCGAGTGTTGGCCAGCCACAGCGATATCTGCGAGCGTTTCAGCCCGCTCATGTTAACGAGTTCATCCTTTTCCTCGCTCGTAGGATATGGATTCTCTCGATGCTCATGATACCAAGTCCTCAGGATGCTACGGGCCTCCTTCGAGAACCGACATCCCCCAGAACCAATACGGCCAGTGGGGTACTGCTCCACGTTCTCCTCTCCGCCACAGTTCTCGCCAGAAGTGGCAGATGGAGTAGATGAGTGCTCGGATTCCTGAATCATGTCAGACACAACGGACTAAGTGATACTCGAGACCTATTCTCACCTGGGCTCCCCAGGAGGATGCGTTGCGGCACTGCTCAAGTTCGCTGCCTCTGTTCGAGAAAATGCTACGACTGCGGTCCTCAATTTCACACGATTCTAGTTCATCATCCTCGGGCCAATTAATGTCATCAAATAGGTAGTCGTCCATGTGGTGATTAGCACGAGGCTTCGACGATGGTGGCGGCTTCGTGGATTCGGGCTTCGCAGCGCTCCGTCGTTGGGTGAAGATGGTCATCCTGACGGTTCCTGAAAGACCTTCCGTGAGATAACTTTGATCCACGGAAAACATGGAATGAGAAGAAAGGAAAGTCATCGATAGAGCGGGAAGCAAAGAATGGTAGTCATCCATATGCAGCATTGCTGATTATATAAGCTAATGGCGGGGATATACGACCCAGATCAGGACAAGCTCCACGCCTTCCCATTTACACATCACGTGCTCACAACTGATTGTGACAATTCTGACAATCTATCGTGAGAAGATAAGCCGAGCTTCCTCGGACTCTTGGCAAAATGCTTGATGAACATCTCTAATATCAAAATTATGCTCCGTATATTATACTAAGATATCTAAATGTAAAAGGCATGGTATTCAATGACAAGATTAGTATCTACAAGTAAAGAGGCAAGATAAATCAGGTGCATGGCCCTCTCGATATCCACGCTCAAACTCGACACGCCTGATTGGGATGAAGACGCAGCTTCCAATGCACACAAACATCAAAACTGATATCCCCCCCGTGTTTCCAAACTCCCACGCACAGAAGGTATCTGGAATACAGAAACGTGTTTGCACGGCCCCCCACATCATTACACACAAACGTGGAAAACCAGGAGGGAGATCTGGAAATCAGTGCCACTGCTACCGCCAAGCATGAATGATAATCCATGACCACCCACCGCCGAACTAGTCTGGCTCCTCGATCGATCATCGATCTATGTGTGTATGCATCTGTCTATTTCCTATATCTAAAATACACATTCTTTTCGCAAATATCCAAAGATAGACCGGATACTGCTGGCCTCACAGCTCTTGAGATTGTATGCATGGTCATCCCAATCCCCTCACCGGCGCCGGCTACCTTTCATATCTCAATCCAGGTCACTGGCACGGCATATCAGTCTAGCGTCTATCAAGCCACGGGCCCTTGCAGGCTGAACCGTCTCTGAAACTTCAGATGCTGTTGGAAGAGGTAGCCATTTGTAGGACGATATGGCCCAGTCCATGGCATGATGCAAACCCTCGTATGTGGAAACCAGCCACTGACTCTCATCCTATATATAACTCTCGAGTCCCCCAATGCAACTCAAAAACGCGGCTCATTGCATGAGGATCGACGTCCTATATCAAACGGGCCGAGTGAAGCCGTACATCGCCGCAGTCTTCCGATTATGGACAAAAGAGCTTAATCCCCCTGGACGAGTCTCACAGGACTCCCATGTCTGGACCTGCAGCACGATGCATCCAGGATCGGCTCTTCAAATGCCCTTCGACCTTCCTCCTGTGGCAGGTTGCCAATCTGTCATGGCCCAGCTGAATCGCTCACCTCGGCAAGATGCATCGAGGGCCCGCCGCTATCACATCACGAGATAACGGGCGCCAGAGTTGCCAGATTGATCTACAACATAATCTGTCATAGACGTTGGATCTTCCCCTACTCGCCTTCTCACACAAGTACTCCAGGCTTCGAGCAACCTCTTCCAAAGGACAAGGTAGTTTCACCACCGTAGCACGCCCACGCCCCTACCCACCACGCGCTCGCTCGTGCACCCCACCAGCACAGCAGCCGCCCGCCCCTTGTCCACAACATCGATCTACCGGCCACAATTACACACCACATCCCACGATCACGATGGGTCCTAGTCCGTCACGTTGTGCGACCTACTCCCAACGCCGTTGGCCACTTTACCTCCAATGCATGTTCTAGAACGGCACAACCACACCGCACTTTCAAGCAAGCGCACGAGGCCCACCAGCGATCGCAAGTCGCACCGTTAAAGAAGACTATGCATGGCAATCATACGTCAATGAGCTCCCCCAATCCCCCAAGGTTGTAGGCTCACAAATACCCCATCCCACCCGCACCCGCATCATCTCTACCTGTCCCGTACGACCTCGCGTCGCAGATGCGTCGTTGCACTGCATCAGCCTGGGAAGCGACCGACGCCGGATGACGTCACGGGTACTGCCCGGCCTGGTTGCGGTCGACGCAGGACAGGGAAATAATTCGATTTTCTTCGTTTTGTTTTGTTTTTTCTGTCCTTGCGGTAGCGAAAATCAAGGAAAAAAGCCGTTGGTTTGGAGTGGGTGGGGGGTTCGGAACTGGGGACGTTGCGAGGTCCGCAAGTCTCAACTATACCGCAACACTAAAAATGTAAATCCACACCCGTGCGCGCGTATAGCCATTTATTTTACTCAACACTCACCCCCGAACCCCCCCGAACATAAATGACCCGCGGATCATGAGGGTTTCTGGTCACCCACAAACAGAACAGAACAGGAAGCGGCTCTCTCTAGCTGAACAGTGGGCATAATAATGTTTAAGCGGACAGAAAAACACGCAATGGCCGGAGTTCGACCTGTGAGTGCTGATGGGAGACTTGACTGCGTAGGTCACCACTGTGAGCTAATACCGCAACACTAAAAATATGAATCCACGCCCGTGCGCGCGTATAGCCTTTTATTTACTCAACGACGTGTTAGGAAGGTGGGTGTAATGATGTACGGTTACGCTCGCGCTACATCCCACTGAGCCAAAAAGACTACAGTATTCCGGCTCGCCCGGAATACGCGTAACATGCTTTATATACCACATGTACTGTAACGGCGGCACCCGTTACAGTGGGCGTGGACGGGATGGGGCGCGGCGGGAAGGAAGGGTGGCAGGCAGGGCTGAGCAGCAGCAGAGAAAGTAAAGCAAGACGATGGAGACCCTGGATTGATGTTGACCTTTGATCATGTGAATTTTGTGGCTTGACTGAGGTGACAAGACAGAAATCTAAAAGCGCCGTGGGACGTCTAATTCTTGCAAGGAAACTGTGTGTACCCATCCTAGGCCCACACAAAAAAGATAAACACGACAAAGAAATCCCAAACCCCCATATTTCCATCCCATCCCATCCCATCCGTTATCCCCCCCTCCTGTCTATGCCATTGACGCCCTTCCCAGAAACCGGAAAACAAAGAAACCTCACGCCCCCAGAAAATCCGAACACAATGCCCTTACCCCGAAACATGAAAGGAAAAGCCAAAGCCCAAAACTTTTTTTGCGGAACCCCAAAGAAGCGCTGGAGGAGGATGGGGGATGAACTGTCTAGTGCTGACAATTGAGCGAAACAAGTAGATTCGTGGCGTCGTGGTGCTGAAACAGAGGCGCGAGGACATTTCGCACAGACGATCTGGGCGGTGTTCTAGAAAGCTGGTCAGTGGGTGTGGACATGATACATGGTTGGGGAGGGAGAGGTGAGACGTACGCTCGCTCATTCAGCAGAGGTTGGTGCAGGCGCGGCAGGTCTTGAACTTGCAGTACTTGCATTCGAAGATGAACCAGTGAGGCCCGGAGTGGCACATGTTGCACATCCACTGTATCAAGGAACTCTCAGACTTGATGATCTTGAAGGAGTGGACGCAACGTGTTGGTACAGCCATTGCAGCGATTGTTGTCTGTGGTTGGTGTTAGTGTTGAGTTTGTCTTGGTGTGGAAGTGAGAGTGAGAGTTGATAACCTCAAAAGGTTATAAGATAGGATTGGAATTGAAAAATACCTTGATGGATGAGAGCGAAGTGTATGATGTGATGCAATCTTTACAAGAGACTGGTGATGAGATCGAGGTGTTATTTAAGGAGCGTGGAGCGAAGGTGGAAGTTGAATGCTTTGTGGGTGGTAGCAAGCGTGGGTCTGAGGAGGACTGATGAAGAAGGAAGAGCAGCGTCTAGGCGTGAGCGACAGAATATCCGAAACGGCGGCTAAGTTGGAAAAAAGACCGGACAAAGTTGACTTGAGAGAGAAACGCGCCGGTAATTAAATAAAGAGGTTGGGGTATGGTGCGAAGATTCCAGTCAAACAAAGCCAAATCAAACAACGTTGATCCACACAGCGTTTGCTTGGTCTTGTGGTCTCGGGCAATGAGCGACTGGGGCCGGCCGTCACAATATAATTATAATGGCAACAAAGATCGAGCGAGCACGAGGGCTTTTATCAACAATTTCTCGTCCGACAGTTTCCTTTCCTGGGCGTGGGGAACGACGGTGTGGTTGTAATAAAAAAACTGTAGCAATATATCACAGGCTAAGTCCCAATGGCTAGGCCAGGCGGGGGTTATAAAGTATCAGCGAAGAAAGAATTGCGGCTTTAAGTCCGGATATGCGCCCTCGGATGCTTGGTCTGGGGAGGGTAATGATTTTTTTTGAAACAGTGTTGCAGGCCATAAAATAAAACAAAAATAAAACAGCGTGGCCGAGGTATGAGGGTGACCTGTGTGGGATGTGAAATGAAATATCAAGCCGCTTTTTCTTGTATCACAGTACACGGCCCGAGATGCGGATTTGCATGTGGCTGCAGTGGGTAAACGTGACGGGTGCAAGCTGCGCTGCAGGAGGACAAGGGAAAATGAGGAATAGAATGGGGTGAGAAATGTAATAGTAGAATAAATATATACCCTACTTGACTTGGGGAGCGGAAAGCGAGCGGGACGGCGTATGGTGTGTGGTGTGAGCGGAAGTATGGTGTATGAGAGAGATGGAGGGTGACGAGGGAAAGCAGCAGGGGGAGTAAAAAAACCCGGATGAGATGCAGTTAACAGGATTAGATGGCATCATGGGCCATAGCAATCTAGGTAATAGGGTAATTGTAGTGACGAGGAAAGGGCCGTGTGGCTAGTACTAAGCAAAGAGTAGCATGGACAGTAGTATGGACAGCAGCATGGACAGTAGCATGGACAGTAGCATGGACAGTAGCATGGACAGTAGCATGGACATTAGTGTACCAGAGTAGGGAAGAAAGAAGCATATTTTGGAACCTGTAATTTTTTGACGGGAGAAGGGAGAAGGGAGGGAAGGATGGACAGGATGGACAGGAAATTCAGACAGGGAAGGGTTTACCGAGCAGTATGAGAATGAGAGGGTAGAGTAGGGGGGCTAGAGTAGGGTAGAGTAGGGTAGGGGGCTAGAGTAGGGTAGAGTCGAGTAGAGTAGAGTCGAGTAGGGAGGGTAGGGTAGAGTCGAGTCGAGTAGGTAGGGGGCTAGAGTAGGGTAGAGTCGAGTAGAGTGGGTAGAGTAGGGTAGAGGGCTAGAGGGCTAGAGTAGGGTAGAGTAGGGTAGGGTAGAGTCGAGTAGAGTCGAGTAGAGTAGAGTCGAGTAGGGTAGAGTAGGGTAGGGGGCTAGAGTAGGGCAGAGTCGAGTAGAGTGGGTAGAGTAGGTTAGAGGGCTAGAGGGCTAGAGTAGGGTAGAGTCGAGTAGAGTAGAGTCGAGTAGAGTAGAGTCGAGTAGAGTCGAGTAGAGTCGAGTAGAGCAGAGTCGAGTAGAGTCGAGTAGAGTCAAGTAGATGATGGGTGGTATGTGGTGAGTCGATGGTGGGAAGACGTACTATGTAGTAAGTAGTATGTATGAAGGATATCAAGGATATGGATGAAGTATGCGCCAGGATGGTGAGTTGCGATTCCGTATATTTTCAATGTATATTTATGTACATGTGTCATTTTGGAAGCATTTTCTCAGTGGCACAGAAGAAACTAAACTATAGCAGGATGGGAATGGGATGGGAATGGGATGGGAGGGGCCGCAACTCTTGCCTTCTCTGTGCTGCATGTGCATACATAAAGAAACCCCTGTATAACGGTATTACAGGCCTGCTGCATTGTACAATACCGTACTCACTTGGTAACCATCAGTATCTACGAGTACACACAGTAGAAGTACAATAGAGGGTTTCAGCGCCAGATTGCATAGCATGATATGATCTCCCTCGTTCCATCCTCAACTCCTCATTAAACCCTGCATATATCATACCTTGCACAGGTAACACCTACAAAGCCGTTGCCAACACCCGCCCTGTCTGCGCGCCACCTTCTGGTAATATATATATATATATGTATAAATATAGTCCCCCTGCACACAAGATGACTATACTATCGACTCTCTTACAGTAACAGCACACATGTCGCATGCATCATCTCCAGATATCCTCCTTTTCAATGTGGACACGGGACGTTGCATCATAGCGAAACCCAGATCCATAATCTGCGCCGCCCCGCCGTGTGCCGCCAGTGCGAGTTACCGGCCGCGCGATTCCACAACAGAGATCCTTCTTACTTCTAACGGTGAAGGATGCAGATGCAGGGAACAGGCATGACCAAAACAATTGTGGCCGGCAGAAGAAGAAGAAGAATGGGCGATCGAGTAGCGATGAGATGAGGTGAGATATGAGATGAATGAGCCAGGGAGAGAAGCTGAGCTCATCCTCTCTCTCGCCCTCAAAACTCCACCGTCTCGGCCAGACTTTTCGCCTCCACCTCCACCTCTCGCTGCTACGCCGGAGACTCAATAATGTCCGTGGGTCCGGCTACCGAGGTGCTGGTCTGTATATGCCTGCAAGTGCAATTGCAACACGTGGCGGATGGTGGCGGATGGGACTCGCAACGGCGAAGATGGAGATTGAGTAGTATCCATGCCATGGTCTCACCTCCCCGCTCTCATTACTATCGTCGACCCTGGCGTTGCCTCGGGTCTGTATGTGCAGTACTGTCCTGTACAGCGCAGTACATCCACCACCACAGATCTCTGGTCGTGGTCCCCTCGACCTCGTGATGAAACGCCTGGCTTCCTTCCGCCTTGGTGTATGGCTCCCTTCTCTCCACTCACATCCCCGCACCAGCCGATGTCTTATCTGCCCACGTTTTCCCTTCTGTCGCGGCCTGCATTGGTCAGCTACCATCGCCGATTGGGGTTGGGCCGGCCCGTCAATACCTTCTTCACATTCTCCCAGCTCGAGATGACCACGAAAAGTTTCAACGGGTTCACATGTCTGTCCTAACATGCGGCCACACAAGCCCCGATTTAAATTTCCGACATCCAGGGGCCGGGGCCTAATCCCTGAGGTGCGCATGGGGATGGCCAAGAATTAGTCCCCGTCCGCCCACTCCTCCGGTTTCGGGAGTTGCAAGAATTGACCGAGATGACACGGCCAAAGCTCTCTGCAGACTTGCCATTGCCCACGAGACAACGGAGGCCATGGACCACGCCCGAGCTCTCAAAAATCCCCTCAACTCCAGAGATAGGCGGCTTTCCTGATGCCGAATCTGGTGCAGCAAAATGTCTCGCCCATTGCCAAGCCGCCTAACTTGACCCCCAGCTAGTTATCCCTAGCACCCCCAGTTTGCTGCAGCGCGCCCAATCTGGCATGCCGAGCAGGGGTCGGATTACAACCCCCCCACTACCACGTTTTCGTCCATCCAGCACCGCCGAAGCCAAAGGAGACTGGGGACGAGACGAGACGGTCTTGCATCATTAGAAGATTCGCATAATGATTGTGCTGGATGAATCAGTTCTCGCCGATACGATGAGATGGCGATTTGCAATCGCTCGACCGGCGCAACCCTCGTCCGTCCGTCCACCACCCACCCCCCATATTCGCGCACACCCTTTTCATGGCAACTTCCCTCTGCAAAAGACTCGTAGACCGCACTTGCAATCTCACCGAAACGCGGGCCCGTTCTCGGCTACACGACGCTCACCAGCAGCTAGGCGCGCGGGAGACAAGCCGAATGACGAGGGCGACGGGCAAAGAGAATGCTCATCTGTGCGCAGTTCCGTGATCGACCGGTAAAGGCGCTTTGTATAGTACCTATACGATGATCCGTATATTTCTTCGTACTCCGTATTGTCTCACCTCAGATCGTCGGGACTATGTATCTTAGGCAAAAAGGGCAGAAGGGCGGAAGGCCGGAGAGGGAGGGAGGGAGAGGGGAGGGAGCGAAAGTAGAGGACAAGGAGGGGGAGGAAGCCGTATCATAATGCGCTCTTGGGGCAACGTCCTATCGCATCCCTCCAACAGACGGATTGGGGTTGGTGGAGAAATTACGCATCATCACTAGCCTGCTAGCATCGCCCAGCGGGATGCTACCGTCGCATCCCGAAGAGTAGCAAGATGTTGGAGATGTTGGATGTAGGGCTCAGTGATCCCCCAGCACCAAGTCTGTACATGGTATTCCGAGATCCGAATTGCATGCATGTATGTAGCGAGCCCCGAAAAGCGGGCGAGAGCGAGACGTGCAGCGAAGACGTGCAGCGCAAACGAGATTTAAGACCAGCCGCAGCGCTCCCTCCTCGCTGCTGGCCCTGCATCGCTCGATCGCATGCATACCGCTCCTCCTCGCCCCAACACCCTCACTTCCCCCTGACCTGCCCTCTCACCGCGCAGGAGGACGCTCCTAATCACGGTAGGCCCGCCGTGGCGCACAGACGCCCCACTGCCGACGACGCCATGCAGGAGGCGGCGCTGAAACGCGTAGGGCTAGAGCAGCGCCTTGCGTGTTGGGGGGCTGAGTTTAGGGCTTGCTGGCCGAGGAGTGAAGGATGAGGGCCGAGACTGACGGCGGTGAGAATGGCCTCACTCTTTGACTTCTCATCTCGGTTGCGGTGGTAGGATGTGAGTAGTTGGCTTGCTCTTCTCGATTCCGTCCTCGGTATTGTGGTAAGCTACTCGTAGATGGCTTGCGCACTGGCATGGAGCAAACCCCGTAGCCAATCCAACATGTTTGCTTGCGCTCAGAAGCCCGACTACTCTGCACAAACACAGCAGGAAAACAATAACATCAACCCACAAGTGCGGTAACCCCAAATGGCAAACAGCAAGTAGATGCGGATTTCGCAACTAAAGGCGCAACAAGCACCTAGTTGCGAAATACCACCTGCAGGAAGCAGATCATCACCTCCCCATTTTTGGCCTACTGGAGCTAGGACAGGAGACTACCGGCGCGTTCTGTTCTCTCCCTCCTGCCTTTTCCAAATCCACGTTAGCTCGATGTCTCTAAATGCCACACCGTTGCTCGACACGCGTGGGTATGGGGCTTAAATGGGGGGATCGTCGTCCCACATGGATAAATCGCAGGATCTCGACCCTGGGAATATACCTTCTGCTTCCGTCGAATATCAGCAACACTATGGACTCGAGTAGGCACGCTTTTGGGGTCGGATTCGAAATATTTTGCCACCGCACCGACCCGTAAGAACTTCCTCCGCGGCAGAAGCCAGTATAGCTCGTTTCGCCAGCACTAAACTCTAGCTTATTGCTAGCCTTTTGTTGTTTTTGGGGAGTGAACTCGTTGCTGACAGCGGCCTTCGCAATATACCAGTGTTGATGAGAAAGGGGGAAGGTTACTTGACGTCGCGCAATTCCCTACTACCCCCGAATTTTGAGCACTCAATCAACGCATAGGAAGTTAACAATGCATGCAGGACGCACGCCCGTACGTCGTCTGTTGGGTTTCGTAGAATTTATTTTCTTCGACGCCCGGTTGTGGGGCGGCAAGCCGTCGGATGTATTTTCCCGCCGGGGTCAAGGTGCTGGCTGCAAGATGCTATACTATAATAATAAGGCATCTCTCACATATATCGGTGCATCCATGGTTAACCCACGGATCTACCCGCCATCTCTCTAACCTACGAGAGATGTCTCAGTCTCACCTATACGTACGTAATACCCACTGAACGAACGACAACGAGCAATCGTGAGTGAGATATTACCTGCCATTATTATCCGCCAATCCCCTCGTTTCCAAACATCCCAACGGCTTTCATTAACACCCATATCTCTCGCTCGTTTCAACTATCTGGCCGTGAGCTCGAAATGGATGGGTGGCCGCGGGGAAAACCCGCACCCCTTTCCCCGCGGCCACCCATCCATTTCGAGCTCACGGCCAGACCATCACCTCCCCCCCTTCGCCTTGGCCCCCCCGGCCCGCCCCTCCACGTAATCACATGATGCACCGACCCCCTTTCCCACCACCATTCAAGGTCCAAGCCCCAAAAGCCCCACGAACCAGCGCTCCGCGACAAATCCCACTGCGCTCCCAGCTTCCACGTGGTGCACGGCCTCGCTCCACCGCTTCTATTGCTTCTTTACCTTCAGCAGGCCGGAGCCTTCGCCGCTCAGGTCGGTAGGGGGCGACAAAGGTGGGGCGTTAGCATAGGAAGAGAGGTCGCTGTGGGAGAAGTGTGAGAGTGAGGGAGGGAGAGGGAGGGAGGGAGAGGGAGGGAGGGGACTGTGTAACCGCTTATACGCCCGAGCGTTGCCAGGAATGGGAGAAGAAGAAGCGGCGCTGGAGGGGATGCCTGGAGCTGCTTCATCAGGCTAAAGGCGCGCCGACTATTGCAGACTATCTTCCTCTAGCCCGCCGCCCCCTCCATTTCGTGTTCGTGTTACGAAACATCCTCCTCCTTCTCTAGTAAAGGAGGAGGATGTTTCGTATCGTTTCCGGCTCTTACTATTTCCCTCAGACTGCTTGGCACGTGTATAGCAGTTACCGAGACTTGCCGGGGGGGAGTTTGCTTCAACGTGGTGGAAAAGGGCATTTTCGGGGGAGCGAGCAGCCCCTATAGCGGTGTGAAAATAGCATTGGTATTGTATTTTGTATTGTAGTTCATGCATACCTCGTCGGCCTGCCCTATGCAGTGCAACTCGCTCCCCCTGAGGCTCCGGCTCCCGGCTCCCGGCTCCCGGCTCTCCCACCCTCCCCGCCTTTTCCCACGCGATTATTCACCGCTCCACGTGGCGGGCACAAATGCCGGGGTGACTCCAATCCTACATCTTTCTCCAGAGCTATCAATCACTTACTGATTCTTCTTGTCCACCTTCAGTGCCGCGCCCTGCTTCACGGGGGTTAGTTCAAGCTCCAGCAGCGTTGAGACATGACCCGAGGGTAAAAACTCACTTGGGCAATCAGCCGCTTCCCAACCCCTATCGTCTCTGCCGGACCCCTCTGCCTCGCCCAGAACCGGTCCTCAGGGGTACCTTGGCCTGTCAGGGTCGAACGTCTCGCCTCATCTATGTCACGTCAGCTTCAATCCCATGTCTCCTGACAGAATATGGCTAAAATGTAGACAAGACGTAGGTGTCCTTACCTTCAAGAGACCTCCTATCAATCTTCTCCCCAGCAGTAAAGCTGTCCCCCACAAACCGCTCTGCGTCCGCCTTCCCGAGGGCCTCCTCGAGGTACTTCCTCTTGATGGAAAAGCGCTCGCGGCGCAGCTTTTGCTGGCCAGGGGAGTCAATCTTCGATAGCCCGTAGCGCACGGCGAGCTTCACGGCGAGGAAGATGTGCTCCGCGAAGAACATTGTGAGAAGCAAGGCCCAGCCAGCAAGCTGGCGGGGGCTCCCATCTGTTCCCATTCCATCGCCGGAGAAGAGATACACAAGCGCTGCCGTCGTGAGGCTGCCAAACCAGGCCAGGAACCCAAGGGAGTCAATCCAAGGCCCGATGGAATCGGCGCGCCATGGGATCGGACGCTGGGTCTCGATCGTGATTTTAAGCGCGTCAGAACGCAGCTCGATCCAGTTGTTGATGAGGAAAGAGACTGCCGTGAGTGGCCAGACAACAGAGAAGAGTGAGAGGTATCCGAATTGCATGATCATTTCACGGAAGTCGGTTGCCACATCGTACACGCCGAGCTCGGCCTCGTTGCGGACACGAGTAAGGAAGTCGTGCTCCTCGGGCAGATCGCTGACGGTGTGATCTTGCTTGCGCTCGCTCTTCTTGGTGGAGTTGGCCTGGACCTCCTTCACCTTGCGGAATACGCGGCGCTTGACGTACGGTACGATAACTTCGAGCGCGAGGTTTACGATCTGCGCGGTGACGGTGAAGTAGATTACCTGCTTCTTGAGCCTATCTGGGTTGATCTCAAAGCCAGACTTTGGAGCAGTCATCTGCTTTGCATTTTCCGCAAACGGCTTGACGGTTAACTGGAAGATATCAAGGTATGGTACCAGAACAGATGCAAATGGGACGTAGACAAATGCCGTCAGGATAATTGGCAGATACGACGTGATGAAGTTCAAGACGAAGATCTTCTGAATCATTGCGGATTCATATGCATCTGTCGTCTCATAGTTCTCAATATCGGTGAGCCTCGAGGCAAAACGAGTGAGAATAGACGACAGTGCCGGCATGACGGTCGACAGAATTACCGTTGGCAGGAAGACAAGATATGACTTGAATGGCCCTGCGTAAATTTCCGAGATGAAGATCTCGATACTGAAACATGTGCAAATCAAAGAGCCCAGCACAACGGACGCAATGATTGAAAATGGAATCTGCAGCGCCTGTCTTGCCAGCCGCTTGAACGGAGAGTAGGTCCTCATCTTCTCTCCAGTAACGGGGTCTGTAAATTCCCTCTCATGTCTGAACTCTGGTCGCTTCAGCTGTATTTTCCCAATGCCTGTGACGTTCCATTGAAAAGCCAGGTCGACCTCTTGCTTTCTCCAGTATTCAACAAAGCCAACGCACCATAAACAGTTGACGATGGCATATATGGGGGAGTAATGACCCAGGAGGACCCAGGATGCGAAACCAAAGGCAGCTGGAAAGATGAGAAACATGAAATACGACTGCAAGAAGGCAAAATAAAACGCAATCTTCTCGCCGAAACGATCCCGGACGACCGTCAAATCCTTGATATCAAGAACGTATCTCGTTGACCATTCTGTAATCCATTTCTTATTGAACTGGTGGTCGTGAAGCGCGAAAACGGATTCCACGTTTGCCCACTCTCCCCTCTTGGGTGTGATTCCAGCACCGCCTTCACTGTTAGGCTTGGTGATGAGAAGGTATACCAGGCGCAGGCGTTCCGCCTCGGTAATAGGCTCTTCTGCTATTGCTTTCTGTATGTCCTTCTCCGGGGCAGCGGTTCGTACGCCATACAGCCAGTCTTGAACCCTTGCCCTGTATATTTCCGCGTCCAGATGGCGGGGACAGGAGATTCGAACGAATACCAGGACGGCACAGTTATCACCATTGCGGACTTCGGTCTCGAGCCCAACACGAGCCAGAGCGTCTACCAGCTTCGCAAATGCGGCTTCGGCCTCGGCCTGGTCTGGTTGGCTGTCAGTATACTGTTGACTTGAATGTAGGGTCGGTTCTACTCACCCGTAGTCGCAAAGCGGTAGTCAATGACATAGTCGACACTGTTCAGCATCAGCGAGACCCCTGGGGTACAAATATCGTGAGCGCATACTTGAAAGTCGAGTGAAGTGTAGCCTTCCCGGGTTTGGCCGCTTCGTACAGCGACGGCAGTGGCGACGCCATAGATTACTTCAAGTACGCACAGAGGGGACTGCCCGTGGAGAAAGCCTTAGGGAAAAGAGTGTAGAATTCGTAATAGAGGTTGAAGATTAAAGAAGGTGCGCGACGGGGAGGATATTCGCAGGAAGTTGGCTCCGCTGCTGTGCCTCCAAGTTGGCAGGGCCTGGCATTCCCCAGCTACAGAGCTGAAGCCGGATGCTTTTGTGGGTATTCGTGACGTCGTGTCTCGGAGATTTCCCCACCAAACCAATCGATAAGAACGCTAGCGGCCGCCTTGATAGCTAATGCACCCTTGTGGTCTAGAAACTCCGATATAACCTCAATTCCTTCAATATCTCCCGTATCACCTAAATAACTGTCTTTTAGCCAAAATTGACTCATTTGCGTTGGCTTAATATTAGATGCGAGGTTCCCGAAATTGCCTACCAACCTACCTACCTACGCAGTTATGAGGCACTATTTGAGCCACCTCTGCTGAGCGATTATATCCTTTAATCCAGTACTCGACTCCCTACGGTCCATCGGGGCCACATACAAGGCGCAGATATACGTCCAGACACTATAGACATTCGACCCCGATCGCGCTCTCAAAATGCCTCTCTCCTGGTCCTTCCGAAAATCGAAATGGGACCCCCCCTCCCTCCTCGAAAGCCTCCTCCAATCCCCCTTAACAGTCCTCCTCGGCTTCCTCCACGCCCTCCTCATCAAACTGCGTGGCGCCCCCTTCCAGCCCCCCAAAAACCAGCCTCCCATCCGCATCGTCTGCATCAGCGACACGCATTCCCACCAACCCTCCAACATCCCCGCCGGCGACCTGCTCCTCCACTCCGGCGACCTCACGAACGACGGGACCATCAAGTCCCTCCAAGAATCGCTGGATTGGCTTAACACGCTACCACATAAATACAAAGTTGTCATCGCTGGCAACCACGATAGCTACTTCGACCCGAGCGCGCGCAAGGAGGAGGATATCAACTCAAAGACGCGCTTGGATTGGGGAAGCATCATATACCTGCACAACCGCTCCACACACCTGCGCTTTAAAGGCGGGCGCAGCTTGAACATCTACGGCTCCCCCGACATCCCCAAATGCGGCGGTAAGGAGCACGCGTACGTCCCCCCCCCCCAGTCCCCCACCATATCACACAAAAACCCACCCCCACTAACCCCCCACCCAGTTTCCAATACGACCCCACCACCCCCCCTTGGCACACCCGCATCCCCCTCTCCACCGACATCCTCATAACCCACACCCCCCCGCACACGCACCTCGACCTCCTCCTCGGCTGCCCCAGTCTGCTCTCCGAGATCTGGCGCGTAAAACCACGCCTCCACGTCTTCGGCCACATCCACTCCGGACACGGGCAGGAGTCCGTATTCTGGGACGGTGGGCAGGCAGCGTACGAAAGGATCGTGGCGCGAAGGGGAGGGGTGTGGGGGGATCTGGTGCCGAGTAGGGCGTGGGTGGATGCGTGGGAGGTGGTGTGGTATGGGGTTAAGGGGGTGTTGTGGCAGTGGTTGATGCTGGGGAAGGGGGCGGGGGCTGGGGGGTTGTTGGTTAATGCGGCGTTGACGTATCAGAGTACGAGTGAGATTGGGAATTTGCCGCAGGTGGTGGTGCTGTGATGGGAGACGGGGAGGGGGGTGTTGTGGGTTGGCGTTTGGTGGGTGGTAGCCTCAATAGGGTCGGACTGGCTCGGGGATGTCTGTGAATAATGAAAGGTAGTCGGGAGAATAAAGGGCTGGCAGAAGACAGCTAGAGAAACCAAGCCTCAAAAGCTGATGAGGGTTATGAAGCTACAATTAAAGTCCCCTAATAATATAAACATTCACATCAACAACTACGATAGGAGATTCAAAGCAGCAGCTCGAAATTACACGATGCATCGACGCCGATATAAGAGAGATTCATCCATGTTTACTTTGCGGCCAGTGTGTTGTATGCTATATAGCTATAACACTCCTCCTCGTTCATCTGATGTGCCACACGATGTACATGGTATTCATTCGCCCACGATCCTTGAGAAAATCTCACAATAGAAACGCCAAACAAAGGTTCTCCAACAGCCAACCTGGCTCTCAGAGATGTAGAACTATAGGTTAGCCCCCCGCCACAATATCCGGAAACAACTTCCCACTGCACAAATATATACCGGTATTGTGGCAACAGCCCCGAAAGTATGAAGGCAAGAACTTCCTGTGGGGTTCATAGTCCTCTTCCCATGAAGCTCCATTGAACCCCACCAGTAAATGGGTATACGGGCATTAACAGGACAAATAAATTCATGATCCGAACCAACCAAATCGTCATTAGCCATTCCAGTATCAAAGCACACTCGAGCTCGATCCATTGTTGTTCTCGACATATTGAAGTTCACAATTTGAAGCTCACAAATTGAAACTCTGGCTTTGGTTGCTCATACGATGTGCGAGACGACTCCTGTTCCCCAGAAGATACTTCTTCCAGAATAGAGCATCTCAGACATATTAGTTTCCACCGAGGCCAGTAGTATCCTTCACTGCCTCAGCCGCCAACTTCTACCTCTTGGAACTCTGCTCATCCTGCAAGCCCTTTCTCAACCCTGCATAATATGAGCGCGTCCGCTTCCCGATTGGTTGTGATTTGTTCACGACTGTGGCAACAACAGATGGATGAGCAATCTTTTCTTAGTCCTAGCGGATGCCGAGAGAATCTTGCGAGGAGCATTTGGCGCTTTCCATGGGTCTGTCGCCAGCATGATGGAAACCTTGCAGTTGCGGATTTTGGGCTCTTCTTTTCTCCACTTCTGGATGGCAAGCTTAGCCTGTGCAGATGTCACCAGATCAACAAACACGCATCCGGCCGGCCTGTTTTTTGTCTTCATGATTCACACCTCTGGAAAGTCAATTCTCGTCCTGGTAGACACAGTTAATATAAGATACTATGAGCGCAACAAAGGCCGTAAATTGATCCTTTCGGATAACCACTTACACATAATAGCCCAAAAACAGTTTCTCTACTTCTGCCTCGGAGGGAGTAAATGAAGGCACCCAACGAGTATTCTACGTCGTTCCCACGTTGCGGCCTGTCGACTTGTATACACATTCGTATCTGGTATCTCTTGGGTAAAAATAGCCAAAGGCGTATTCTTAGATCCCATGGTTTCTTGGGGTTTATTTATTTGCGAGGTGTTCATACCACCTACGCCGGGAAAAAAAGCTGGAGGCGTAGGGTTAAATCCCATGTCTTTGCCGAATATAGCTATATCTCCAAACGATGTCATCATAGGCAGTCTCCCAGCAGAGCCTGTAGCTTGAGTTCCACTAGCATTTGACGCGGCGCCAGTAGAAAAACTGGGGTTCCCGAGTGCAGACAGGGCGTGAGGTCGAGTCAATACCATTAGGTTGCATGAGGAGGGAGTTTTTTAGCTAAGGGGTGAAACTTCCTTCCGCTTTCTCCAGAGGTGTATATTGTTTAGGTTTACCTGCTTTTTAGTAGAAATGATTGATACTGAGTATCTGCTCGGAAAACCAGCTTCAGTTTGAGGAATCCCCTCCTGGGATTTTTCAGTCCTGATGATTGATACTCGCCCATTGGTTGTGGGCTTCCATGGCTTGCCGAACTCAACAACTGGCGGACCAACTGGCGGACCAACTGGAGTTTGTGGGATTTCCTTCTTGCGAAAGTTGGTAGATCCATTCGCAGTGGCGGTATCTGCAGCAATGGTATTTGCAGCGGCGAAATATGCGGCGTCGACTCCTGACATCTCCACATCCGGAGCAAATGATCTATCAGTCCTTTGAGCTCCGATGATGGGGCTCTTCGACCAAGGACACAAGGTTATGTCCAACTACGCCATGACTGTGTATCATGCTCACCATCGGAATTGCCACATGCCATAGAGTTTGGCACAGGTTCCTCAACGCTAGGCTTGACATCGCTGTTCATTTGATCCAATACCGAATCCACAGACATTCGTGCTTCGTTCATGGTTCTCAGAAGCTGGTTATCAAGCTCTGCATCGAGGGTTTCCAAAATATCATGTCCGTCGATGGATAGTTCACCTATGCTATTCGCCATGTTCGCTTCCAATTCCTAAGCCTATCAGCTACAAGTCGTCCATCAAATATCAACACAAACCAGAAAATGCGCAAAGGAATACTTACAAGTTGTCTGCTTGGGCTGTTGATATCAAGTTCGGTGCCACAGTGACCTTTCGCAACACTAAATGCTCATGAAGTAGCACCGTGTGAGCTCAAACCAATAGTGCACTGTACGCCACCCCCAGAGCTGCCCTCCCCTTTATGACTTATAGGGGTTGATTGAATTGCAGGGGTTAATTGACTTGCACGAGTTGATTGAATTGCACGAGTTGATTGAATTCCAGGAGTTGATTGGACCTCCACAAAGTTGGCTGCGGGATGAATACTCGGCAACAAATCTTCGGTATGATCTTCTTTGAAAGCGGCTTTTTGCTCTTTGGATCCAGAACTTACATCTCGCGTCGATTTCTTCTCCACTTTGCGGCTTCCCAATGTGGCCTCTTCAAAGTCGGATTTGGATATGAATTGAACATCTGCTTCGCCTCTTCCTTGGGTTCCCTCAGGCTTCCCATCTGCTATCGCTTTGGAGTTCTTCACAATGGGCTGAGGTTTTTGCGCATAATCTTTGGCGGGCACGATACGAGCAACTTCTTCGCCGGCATGGATCACTTGGTTAAAAACTTTACCATTGAGCTTTGGAGCATGTTGCCACACAGCGCGGAGTCTTTCTCAAACACTGTGACAGCATGAGCTATATAATTCATCCAGTTTCCTAAACACAGGCTCTTTCCTTCGATCGATGTCATCTCGAGACTTGCGGTACTCAACGGTTGCCCGGGCTCTATTATCATCACGCACATTAAGTTCGTGAATTAAACGTCCTCGGATATCCTCAATATTGGTGCAGCGCCTTTCGTCCCGAAGCATCCAGGTCAGTTGTATCGATGATGTGAGCAACTTCAAAAGATCTTGCACGTGCACCCGACTCCGATGCACAGCATTGTTGCGGAGTTGGGTGGCCTCATGCAGCAAGACTCTCAAAGGAGTCTGAATATGTCCATCCAAGGCCTCTGCAGGAATTCGTGCAGTCCCAAGAAGGTCTCTCTATTTTGAGATTTCAACTTGAGCCGGAGTTGTCCATTCCTGAACCCTGGGGTCGGAAGCAACCATTTCTTCGCAAACTCAGCAATCATTGGAGAGTGTTAAGCAAAATGTGCTGCGCTTCATAGGGCAGATACTTGCATCGCACCTTCCAGGCCTGACATCTCTAACAAAATACAGTAGTAATTCTTTCCATAAACTCAAAAGTCACTAAACAGATCATGAATAATGGTAGGCGAGTCGTTCCTGCTGTGTCTGTCTGAAAGTCTGTGATATTGATCGTGAGATTGATGCGAGATTGATGCGAGATTGATGCCTTGATGGGCGATAACAGGCCACCAGTGGGACGACCCATGCTAGTCGCACGACCCCTCTGTGTGCTTATCCACAAGGCTACAACTCCAAACTCCAAGCTCCAAACTCCAAACTACAACCACCAAACTACAACCACCAAACTCCACTCCAACCTCTGCCAAAATAATTCTGCTTTGGACTACATCACACCCTTCTTCGTTACTTTCCATCTTGTCTTGCGGCGCTTTGTCGTACGCCCCTCTGCCCTACGTCGAAATGGCCACAACACAGCCAAACGCCTCCCTCTCCACCCAGAAGTCAGATTCCGGCCTCGAAGTTGCCCTCCACCCTCTGGTCCTTCTGACGATCTCCGATTATATTACGAGGCATACTCTGCGCAACCAAATCGGGCCCATCATTGGAGCTTTGCTGGGTCAGCAGAATGGCAGAGAGGTCACCCTCGAGCATGCCTTCGAATGCAAAGTCCAGGGCGGCTCTATAGACCCTGAATGGTTCACGACCCGCTTGCAACAGAGTACGTGTTTTGATCACGCCCGCATTTCCCATATCAAGCTATTTTCTAACGATTGGTAGTGAAGGATGTCCATAAGAATCCCCCGCTCGACTTTGTCGGCTGGTACACCCTCATTGCCTCGTCTGGGCCCACAGACTACCACCTCGCCATCCAAGAGACACTATCGAACCTCAATGGTCCCGAAACCCCATGCATCCTCCTTGGCTTCCTCCCCAGCGAATCGCTATCCAAATCCTCCAACGAAGCTCTTCCAATTACAGTCTATGAGTCTATAGCCAAGCCCGCCGACACCATGGCTGCTGGTCAGGATGTCGAAATGGAACAGAACGACTCCTCGCCCAGGAGCGTTTTTGCTGAGCTACCATACGTTATCGAAACGGGTGAGGCTGAAAGAATAGCCATCGATTTTGTTGCCAGGGGTGGAGGAAATGCCACAGCTGTCTCATCATCGACCCAGAAGCAAACAAACGCATCCGAGGAGAGCAACAAGGGCAAGAAGCGAGCGTCAGATGATACGGCGAAGGATATAGATGTCAACGACATCCTCTCCAATGAAGAGACGGAACTGATTACAGCTTTGACTGCGAAGGCAAATGCGGTCCGGATGCTACAGTCAAGGATCAAGATTATTCAGAAATACCTGGAATTACAACCTCCGGCAGACACAACGGGCCAGCGGTCCGCACCTGCGCAATCCTCCCATCTTGAGTCATCCCCTGAGATTCTCCGCAGCATTGCAGCGTTAATATCCCGCCTCCCTCTCGTCGTGCCCTCATCATCAAAAGACACAGAGACCGACACCTCGAAATTCGACCACGACCTTCTCGCCTCACGCAACGACGTAAACCTCGTCAGCTTGCTAGACACGCTTACGCAAAGCATCCAAAGCACGCGCGAGCTTGGACGGAAGTTCGGAGTGGTTGATGCAGCGAGGAGTAGGACCAAGTTCCAAGAGAAGGTAGATAGACAGCTTTCGATGCAAGGGTCAGACTCGGTGTATAGCCAGGGAATGATGGGGATGATGCAGGCAGCAGTGCCCATGAGGATGGATGAGGAGTATTATGATGCTTGATGAGTTACGAAAGGGGGGGGCAAATCGAAATATGGGTGCCTTAGCAAGCGATGGGGTTATATGCTGCATATTTACGGTATTCATTCTAGAAATTCGTACGTGAGATCCGCATGTTCGAGATCTATAGATGATCCAGTGTGTCTTCCGTGCCTGTTTGGCGATACGTTGCGGGCGTGTGAATAGTGATATTTATTGCCAACTGCAAGCGCATGCAAATAGGTCCGCTGTAATGTTACCTCCGTAAGCTCTGTATCATTATATTTCTCAAAATTCTTAAGAAATACTAAACGCAAACTACATTTCGTCCAAGTTCCCAAGCTCTCATGGCGATGCGATTGTCGTCCATATACGTCCAAAAGCGGAAGGCGGTGAGACGGCGCCAGGCGTTGAACCAACCGTCGCATCCAGCAGTTTGCGACAGACGCGGTTATAATCGAAGAACGCGCCTCCAGCCCGTATCACCACCTAATTCCAGCCAATCCATCTACCAGCGAGCTGAATCGAGCGAGCGCACAGCTCGACAAAGTCGACAAAGATGCCGCCCGTAAGTTCCCCCCACTGTCTCGCGCCAACCGTCGAATACTGACAATGTGTAGTTCAAGGATGAGCATATCCTGGTACGTGCGGATTTCGCCCCCCACCCCCGACAATGAATCGCGAAGCTTGAGCAAGGGTGAGAGACTTGATGAGGATGTTGGAACTGATTAGATGACAGATTATTGCCCCGGGCAGCTTGACGACGCTGGCCCAGTTGGGATTACCGGAGAGCTTCACGCCGGCGAGTACGAAGGTTAGGACGCGCATGTTCCCTGCTGGGGAGGGGAAGTGGGAACCGTATAAGATTAATGAGGCGAAGAAGGCTACGCCGCCGGCTGCGAATGGGGGAGAGGTTACGATGGGTGGGACGGGCGAGGAGGAGACGGGCGAGGAGGAGAAGAAGGAGGATAATGAGCTCGAGCCCGAGTTTGAGGAGGATTTGGAGTCCGATGAGGGGGCGGTATACCCTTTGACTGGTATGTGTTATGCAGTGCTGTATGAGAGTGATGAGTTCTGACTATGACATTTCAGAGGGCATAATCACCAACATGCCAGCGTTTTTGGCCCTGATGAACCATATCCACAGCGTCCTATCGCCCACCCTCCACACCCCGATACTCCTGATCGCGCAGCCAGCATGGACAGCACAAGATATCGAAGCGCTCACGCAATTCTTCTTCGAGAAGTTCAAGACCCCCGCCTTCTGCATCATGGATTCCGCGCTCGCGATCTCGTACGCATACGGCGTCCAGAACGGCACGGTCATCGATGTCGGATTCCAAAAGACGGACATCACAACCATCCACGACTTCTCGGTGCAGCATGTTGGTCGCGCCATAAGCGTGCCAGGGACTGGAGGTGATGCTATGACGGAACGGTTGTTGGAGCTGTTGGGACCGAAGGGCTGGACGAGGGATATGTGCGAGCAGTTGAAGAAGAGCCCGTTCTGCGAGATCTTGCCTGCTGGTGCGCCGTTACCTGGTGCGGAAGACGCGGAGGATCAAGGAGCCAATGGCAATGGGGCTGCGATAGGTGAGGCAGCGGCAAGTTTAATAGGTGCACCGCACGCAGATGTCGACGAGGAAGATGTAGAGAAGGGCGTTGATGAGGAGGGTGTTCTGGACGTTGCGAGCATTGTTGCTAGCGGCAAAACGCAGGAGTTCTTGGCGCAGCAAGAGCGCAAAAAGCAATTGGCGGCATCGAGGAAAGCAGCAAAGGATGCGCGAGACGCAGCGGAGGTTGCGGGTGCCAAGCCCATTCGACTCCCCAACTCAAAACGTGAGAAGGTTATTTTCCACTACCAAGAGCGCAAGGCACAGGGTGAGATCGATGAAGCCCTCGAGAATGGCAATAAGGCAGCTGCTGCAGATGTGGAAATGACAGAGGCGGTTAAGGAAAAGACGCCTGAGATGGCTGCAGCTGAACCAGTCACCAAGGAAGCAGAAGCCGCGACGCCTGCCCCAGAAGCCACTAGTGATACCAAACCTGCCGAAGCTGTGCCTGCTCCAGAAGCCACTGGTGAGGCCAACCCGGCCGAAGCCGCACCTGCTTCAGCAGCCGATGGCGAGGCCAAACCTGCTGAGGCTGCCCCTGCTCCAGAAGCCGACGGAGAGGCCAAACCCGCCGAAGCTGCGCCCGCCCCCGAAGCCAACGGTGAAGCCAAACCCGCCGACGCCTCCATCACAGTCGAAGACGCATCCGCGAAGCGCGAGCAAGTACGCGCCGCCAAAAGGGAAGAGAAGCGCAAAGCCCGCGAAGGCGCCGGCGACCCCATGCAGTGGCGCCGCGAGATCGAGATAGGCACCGAGCGCTTCCAGGCCGCGAGCAATGGGCTGCTCGACCGGATTGCGGATGCTGTGCACCGCACTGTGTTGGCTGGTACGGAGTCTAGCAAGCGCGGCGATCTGTGGGATTCGTTGATTATCGTGGGCAATGGGAGTAGAGTTAGGGGGTTCAAGGATGCGCTGCTTGCTACGCTGACGAACAAGTATCTTATTTCCCCGAGCTCGGCGTCGATTTTTATGTCGGAGTTGCCGTCGAATTTGTCTACCCCTATGGGCACTGGTGCGCAGACTCCTCAAAGGGATTACCCTGCTGGGCAGCACGCGTTGCCAACGGGGACTGGCGTCAACCCGCTACTACTAGCAGCGACAACAGCCAGCAATCCAACGCTAAACCCAAACGTATCGGTCGCGAACTCGTTTGGCGGCAGCGGCAGCCACAGTCACAGCAGCCATGGGCAAACACCGACGAGTATGAAGATTGCGAAGGTGCCCGAGTATTTCCCTGAATTCAAGGTATGCCACCCCCACCTTTTAGCATGGCAAAGAAGGCAATAAGCTAACTTGGGAAATTAGAATGAGGGCTTCGAAGAATGTGTGTTCCTCGGCGCGCAGGTGGCTGCTAAGGTCATCTTCGTTCAGGATCAGGGCGTGAGCAATGGGTTTATGAGTCGTGTGCAGTATAACGAGAATGGGCCCAGCGGGATACACGATTTGGGTTTGACGTTCTAAAGAGGCCATTACTGTGGGGGGGTAAGTAGCAGGCGTTGTCATTGCCGGTGGTATGGTTATCGGCATGGAGTTTTGGGGTGTTTGGATGGCTTGTGGAGGTTAGAAAGATGGAAGTCTACGGATGAGATAATGTATGTAGAAATAGTATCCCCAAAAGTAAACAACTTCCAAGGCAACTTTCCAGTGGGTGATTGAAGGGCTTTTTCTATTTATAACCGCAAATAATGGGGTTCGCAGACGGGTTGTGTTTGCTCGGGTCCCGTTGGACATGGCGAAATAGTCTTAGAAATAGTCTTACAAATATTTTATTTCAATACATGGTACGGATGCTAAATACATACAGGGGCATCTATACCCTCTTTATCAAATCTATAGCGCACCAAGCTCCTTCATCTTCGAGATCATGCCATCAACATCCTCAACCTTTCCACCTCCTTGCCTTGTCGGGGGTTCTATAAAACGTTAGTAAAATGGCTCTATACTAGCATCCCATGAAAACTTACCAACAACCTTGAGGGTCTTCAACCTCCTAGTAGTATCAAGTCCATAATCCTCCAGCTTCTTCTTCTCAAGAGGTTTCTTCTTCGCCTTCATGATATTCGGCAAGCTCGCATATCTCGGCTCGTTAAGTCTCAAATCCGTCGTAATAATCAGCGGCAACTTCGCCCTAACCGTCTCCGCACCCCCATCCACCTCCCTCGTAACCTTCACAAAGTCATCCGCCTCAAACTCCACCTTGCTCGCCTGCGTCGCCTGGCTCCAGCCCAGCAGACCCGCCAGCATCTGTCCCGTCTGGTTGGAATCGTCGTCGATGCTCTGTTTTCCCAGGAACACCAGGTTCCTGTTCTCGTCCTTGACGACCTTGGCAAGCAGCTTCGCGACGGTGAGGGGCTCGAGGTCATCCCCCTCCTTCACCTCGACGTGGAACGAACGGTCGGCGCCCATGGCCATGGCGGTGCGGAGGATGTCAGATGCCTTCGTTGGGCCGGCGGAGAAGGCGAGGATGTCCTCGACGCCCCCGGGCGCAGACTTCTTTTCGCGGATGCGAACGGATTCTTCTATGGAGAGTTCATCGAAGGGGTTCATGGAGTGTTTGACTCCGGTAGTCTCGACAGCTGTCTGCGTCTTGTTGACGCGGGGCTTGACCTGTGAAGTAAAGTCCGTTAGCTATGATCGCATTGTGAGGCCGCTGAGGTCGTGCGTCGTCGCTCCCACGACGAGCTGCCATTGGAATGCTTACAGCGAAGTCAATCACCCGCTTGACGGGCACGAGAATCCGTAATGCCGACATTTTGGGTTTCTGATGTGGTGAGATCCTACAATTGCTTGGGGCGGTATACCTTGGAAGCGATCTTGGTAAATCTTGGGCCGCCGAAGCTCGGTTCGCTCGGTTCTCTTTCCCCCACGTTATGCGGCGATAGCCGGGACGAGCATTTGGAGTATGGGTGCTTATCATCACGTGCGTGCTCTATCGAAAACGTCCCGAATAGGAAATTCAATGTCCCTTCTCTCCAACATCACACCCTAACTCGACTTCAATGCTGCTTAGACTCCATTGTTCTTGATTGTTGGCTTACCTTCTGCTTTGATATTACATCTGGAGGATGGCTCACCTTACGAATCCTCTTGTGAGCCCTGAGCAGCTCGCGTCATCCACCCGTATCAATGATGCACTTCCTCGATCTGCTAAGGACCTAATCCGCTTCTCCACTGCTAGACTCACCCAAGCAGCTGGCATTCTTCTCCGCCTTCCTCAGAGTGTCAGTGCCCAGGCGGTTGTGGTGCTCTATAGGTATTGGGCGATTGAAGAATTGACACGCGATGAATTTAAGGTAGCATATCCCACTGAATGAGAGGCAGTCCGAATACTAACAATCGTATAGGACATCTCAGCAGCTGTGGTTTATTTAACAGCCAAGGTTTCAGCGCACCCGCGCTCGCTTCGGTCTATTGCAAACGTTTACACCTACCTCTACTCCTCCTCCTCAGCTTTGGCGTCAGTCCAGTCGCCGGATTCAAAGAGTCCACCTGATCCAGCATCTTACTATCTCAGTCCTAGCTCATACACGAGTTTTACGAACCGCATTTTACTACTGGAAGGTCACGTTTTGAACGCTCTAGGATTTGGCGTGCACGTGGCCCTACCTCACCCCTTGGCGATTACCTACCTCCAGACGATGGACATCTTCTCCGCCGCATACTCGAAATCTACTGGCCCCAAGCTCGCGCGCCGCGCTATAGCTCTCTTAAATACGGCACTATTGTCACCTCAGATGCTGTATCTCACGCATCAACCGAATGCCCTCGCAGTTGCGGCAATCTACCTGGCTGCAAGAGAGGAAGGCGTGAATTTGCCAAGCGTGGAATGGTGGGAGGTATTTGATGTCGAACGCGAAGAACTGGGCTTTCTCGTTGTCGCCTTTCTGAGCCTGGAGGGCTGGTGCGCAGAGATGGGTAAGGAAGCTATAGGAGCGATGAGGAAAGTGGACATTGCGAAGTTGGCTGGGGGAGAGCTTGATGAGGAAGCGGAGATGGCGATGATGCTGGACGAGAAACCTGTTTGATGCCTGGCTTTTAGACCATGGATATGGAAGTTAGGTCTGGCTCATGTTGGTGCCGTGGCTACGAGTTGACCTTATGGGTTCGTGCGGGAGGATCCCAACACGACGATCACCTATCAGTGGGCGCACTTGGGCTGGGCACACTTGGGCTTGATGCTCTCTGCCAGGAAGGTCACTTTGGGGGGCTGTTGAGGCATCGATGGAAGGCCAAAAGAACCGAATCAGAAACTATCGAATAGAAACCATAAGCGGCTAACATAGGTATACTTTCGCTTATACGGATCTGGATTCAGTGCCACAAAGCTTGTTACTCTTAGAGAAATGTCATCTACTGCTGCTCGGTTGGGAACTCAAGATTGGAATAGTACCGAACGGGTGCTCCCGTCTTCCCCCACTTTTCCCGCTATTATTATCAGCCCGGTACAGTGCTGTTCTCGAGGCCGGCTGCCAAATTCTCACGCAAATTGGCAGGAGACGAAGCATTAACATGAGGGCACCTCGGTTGCACTGCACGTCGCACATAGTGTTCGAAGAAAGCTATTGGCAGATACTAGTACTACAGACTCATTCTCACAAGGCGAGGCACAAGCAATTCCGTCCACTTGTTTGTGAAGGAGCATCAAAATCCACGTGAATCTCAGCAAGGAGAAACATCCTTGGCAATGCAGGCCATGAGGTCCAACGCCAGCCACAACCACAAGGGCTGACAGTAAGTGTGGCGCTGCAAAACTTCAAGAGGTCCCTGAACTCATCAGTGGGAAGCAAAGCAAGGATCATCCACACTTTAATCTAAATTAAGGTCGAAGTTAAGGCTTACACTCGCACTTCGGAAACGGCCCTGTACCAAGAGATTCGACGTTGGATAGAATTGTATACGACTTCAATGAAACACATCTAATTGATCGGCACTGTCATAAGTTATACTCTGTAGATCACCTGCAGCGATCTAAATCTGATCTGCACACCATCTAACCAACCCCGCGATTTCATCTGAAACCACTGTTGTGCGTGGTACCTCATGACCTCCTCCATGATCATACCTCCTCGTATTCTCACAAAAATGCGACAACTGCATGCCAGCGGGGTATCTCGGATCTTTCGCCCCATAAATATTGACCGTGGGGATCTTGATCCTGATATCTTTTCTGAAAGCCGTGAAATCCAATCCGTACACGTCATTAGCATCCGGGAACTTGTCGTGATCATGAGACAGCTCTTCTCTATCGTAATCCCACAGCCCGAGGCCGATCTGGATTTGATCCGGCGAGTCGGCTAGCTGGGCGTATTTGGCGGTTTTGCTTTGGAGCTGCCGACTCGTTTTCTCGTGGATCTCATATGCCTTTTTGGAAACGGGAAGGCCGAGATCCTCGAGGGCTTGGGGGGGGACGCCGCCGCAGATGAAAATTGCTGCTTTGAAAGGTAGTGGTTCGTTGGGCGTTTCTGCTGCGTGATAGAGGAGGAAGGTGGATATTAGAGCGCAGCCTTGGGAGAAACAACAGACGGCGTCATAGGGCCCGTTCTCTACCAAGTATTTACGGAGCCATACATGGGCTTGGCGGAAAGAATCAACTGTTGGCTTGGTCCAAAATGTGTAATTTGGCGGCTTGAACAGCGACTCGAACCCAGCGGTTGCTGGGCTTGGAAATGGAGCATCGACAAAGTCGAACTCAAAGCTCGGGTCTAGCTTCGCCCGGAAAGACTCTTGGAACGAGTATTAGAAGAAGTGGCAGGGAGTAGATAACTCGGCTTACTGGTCTGAGATTCAAAAATAGAGGCACTGGTGCCGTGTCCGTGGAGGCACAGAGTCTTCATGATTCCCGTTGGACGGTATCACATTCACAAGAGATAAATTCAAACAAAACAGTGTAATTTGTCTTTAACAGAGAAAGTAAAACACCAACAGTGGTCTCGTTTGATAGAAAGCAAGGGACAATTTAGTTTGTTGGGAGGTAGGCGGTGAGATCTGGGATACGGTGGTATTTGGCCCTATAATGGCAAAATCCCACGGTACCCCAGGATCTCTGGCCGGTGCTGGAAACCGTCACAGTTTCGACTGAGGTTTCGGCACTGAAGCCACCAGAATAAGGGGCTTTTGGGGATCAAAGCAGAATCCCCCGTAGGGCCTACAAATAGCCACGTAGGCCCATTAGATAGTGTAGCAATTCAATTGATTCTATTTTACTATTATACGCTATATACTGTGTAGTACTGGCTGGATTACGGAGACCGCACCCAAAATTGTATGTGGAACGCATACAATTTGGGTTACTTCCCTCAACAATTACCTAATTGTATAGTATAGGTATGCATATCTCTGATTCGGTGTGGTGTTCAGGATATATCCGGCACCCGACGACACCTTACTCCGGCTCCTAGAAAGGCGAATAACAACCGGCCAGAGTCAGCAGACATCAACCATTAAAGAAAATATAAGTCACAATATATTAAGCTATACATTGTGTGTGTTTTTTTCCCATGCTCTCAAGTTTAGTCGTTGTGTTTGGATTAAAATTAAATAAAGGGCTTAATAACAATGATTCTGTAAGACTGTTTTAAAAATATTTTATCAAACTATTTAAAAAGCTCATTAGCAATGAATATTATTTATTTTAGCTAGTATTTATAAGAACATTACTCTTATTTAAGTTACTCAAGTTCGTATTTCTTTATTTATATTATCTTTCATCTCTTCTTCATAACGCGGTGTCATTGCTTAGGCTTGAGACATCTGTGAGGCAACACCAGTTATTTATTATCAATCATATTTTTAATCCACGGCAAGCAATGAGACTGGTGGGTTGCTGCATAAATTTTCAATTCATTAGTTATGATATTTGAGAAGTCTAATCCCAAAAATCCATGCTTGCTACCCCGCGCCAACCCCTCGTCGGAACCTCTTGCTTCGGCAGCTGTGATAGAGTTGTACCATTCCAATCATATCAGACTCAGCGCTCACATATCATATCGAGACTTGCGGATTATCTTGATAGTTCCCTATTGTACTCGCCAGCAGGATGGCACGAAAATTGCTTTTATTGAAGCCTGGTTGAGGCTAGGTCGTCGTTTTAGGCCTCCACAAACATCCCCTCTTCCACTTCCATATCCTCCTTACACACTCTGACCTCACTTTCGGTGCCCTTCTGACACTGATAAAACCCACTTATACCTTCCGACACTCATCAAACCCACACCTACTCTCCAACACTGATCGAACCTCCACCTACTTTCCAACACCCACAGCCCCTCAACAACCAAAATACCTTCTATCCAAGTAAATATACCAGCCTATCCTACCATTTCAATCTAACAACCTTTAGAATTAAGAACATCCTCGCAAAACACCACCAAAATGGCTCTCATCAAGTTCCTCATCACCGCCCTCGCGGCCACCCTCATGTTCACTTCGTCCGTCCTGGCCAACCCAATTCCGGCCCTCACTGCCGTGACCACCCCAGACACCACTGCCAACCACCTCGAGAAACGTAAGTGCAATGAATTTGGATGCGGCCTAAAAGTGCAAGAGCTCTGTCCCCTGCAACATCCCGATCAACGAACCCCGCGACTGCTCCGTCTGCAACTATTTCACCTACGCTTCTGATGGCACAGCTGTAAGTCCTAATGCTTCCTTGGGAGACTGCGGTAAGCAAGCTTGCTAATTATGTGTATAGAAGCTGCTTTGGGATCGTCAGTGCCTCTTGATCCAGTGGGGTGTGTCTCCCTCTCTGTCTGGTTGCTAGGAGCCCAGTCACTCTCGATTCACCCGGCGAGGGCGTGGCACATGCTCCGGCTCTCAGACATGGGAATGGAATCGATGCTTGTGTGCAGATCTGGTTTGCTGGCACTTAATTCTCGTGCGGTGGATTCCTACGTTGTAGAGTCATCATGACTGCTCCTTTAGGAGATGGGACCGACTTACGAAAGCTATGAGACCCAAAAAGAAATGAGAAATGAATGACTTTGATTTGATTTGATTTCATGCTTCGTGATGTTTTTATACGTTCTAGTGAGATGTAAATGCAAATATGTGGCACACATTCTATCTGGGTATCAAACCTAAAATATATCGTGTAGTACCCCTTCCACACAAACATGCCCCCATATCAAACTTTTATACCTATGATTTTTCCTTCTTCACGTCATCCACCACCGTAGGGGGGCCCAGTATGTCAACACCTCTCTTCTCATAAGTCATTCCCAAGTACGCATCACTCACAACAAAGACATCAATCTTCCTCGCTCTCAAACCCCCGCCTGGCAACTTCATGGATGCCCTGGCCACCGGTCTGCTTCCCACAGCGACGGTGTTCTTGCCATTTGCATTTCTCCCTACACTCCACCCAACACGCTTAACAGCAAGTACTTCATCAGCGCCGCTGTCGGCGAGGACGACAAACCAACCCTCCGTCTGTGGCTTGGGGAAGAGTGGAGTGTAGACGCGGCCCTCGCGGTTGACTATGGGGTTCTGGCGCGACAACACCACAGTTAGGCCGAGAGCTGTTATGTCGGATACTTTGACGTCTACGTTAGGCACGATCGAGGCAGCCTTAACAAAGGCAGATCGGATCGCATGGCTATCGGCGACTAAGTGGGTTAGGCTTTCGATGCCAGCGGGCGGCAGACGGCTCAGCTCCATCAATGACGAGGGTAACGCCTTTGACTTCTGGGATTTGGCGGGGATCCCACCAATATCCACTCCTGGAAGGATGCTCAGGGGATTGTCTGTTGGCCAGCGTGCAGATTTAATACACTGAAGTAATGTCATCATCTGAAGAGTGCTGGAGAGGTAGCCCATCTCAACAAGGGTATCAATGCTAGCCTGCATAATGCGGATGGACTGATCGAGAACACTGTTTGAATCTCCAATGTAATCCGACAACGGCAACTCGATTCGGCTCATGTGAGATTGGAGGAGCAAGAATGACTTGACATGTGGGTCCCAAAGAGGCAGGTTGCCGAATGACTTGGCATCGATGGGGAGATTCTTTGCTAGCTCTCCGTTGATGAGGTCTTCATTGTGACGGACTGGCAATTCGTCATATTCGGTAGCAGACGACATCCAGAATAGGACATCTTCGAATGTAGCGCCACGTTTGGCATGCTTGACGAGATGACGGATGGTGTGGTGGGAGAGATAGTAGTATGACATGATCTTGCCCAGGGGGGTTGGGTCAACATTTCCGTTGGGATAAATCTCCAGACACTGTGACTCTGCGAGCTCTGCCAGGGAGTTATCAACCATCTGGATCATATAGTCGTTCGCCATTTGTTGTGCTGTGGTAGTGTTGTGATCTTCAGCAGACAGCTCAAGGCCATAATAAGACGGGTTCTTATGCAGCCGGCGGAAGAAGAATGTCCAGGTGAGATAGTCCAAGGCGTCTTGGACAGTAGCAATGGTTCCGGCGGATACTTCAGCGCCTAAATGGTTGTCAAGGACCTTGTGGAGTGTTGATTCTACGGGAAAACCGGTGTGCAGGAAGTGCTTATAGAAATCCTTCTTCGAATCCTGTGTAAATATTCGGGCAATACCTGTCGTATCGAACTGGGGTCGACCCGCTCTGCCGAGCATTTGCAGGACATCGGTCAAGTCCATGTCTTTGTATCCTTCAATCTTTGCATCGAAGAACTGAGTCCCCTTAACTACGACGAGATGGGCGGGAAGGTTGACACCCCAAGCGAGGGTACTGGTAGCGACCAGGATTTGGATTTTATTGTTGGCGAATAGCTCTTCTGATAGAGACCGGTCAGATTCGACCAGACCAGCATGATGCAGACCTATGCCAAAGCTGAGCGATTCCTTCAACGTATCATCCTTGACCCTCGCGAGGTTAAGTTGCAGATCGTCTTCAGACATTTTGAGGAAACGCCTCGGGTTGTCTTCCATGCCGCAGAAATTGATCAGGTCCTTCGCTGTAAGTCGAGTCTGTCGGCGAGATGAGACAAAGACAATGACCGGCTTGTCCGGAGAATGCGTCTTGATGGCGAGGAAAGTCGGTCGATTCATCGTTTGCATCAGCGGGCAGAACCCGCGTACTTCAGGAAAGCCGTCGATGAATATCTCAAGCGGCACAGGTCGGACAGAGTGACGGAAATTAAACAGGCCTTCCTTTACTCCCAGCCAGTTTCCTAGATCCATGGCGTTCGCGCATGCAGTCGACATACCCATCAGACGAACCGTGCTCTTCGATTGCGAGGCAATGTAGTTCATTCGGGATACGATGATTTCGAGAATAGGTCCACGATCACCACCGAGAAGATGGATCTCATCAATGATCACCAAGCTTACTTGTCGAACGTAGCCTCTTGTCTGCCAACTACGAGATATACCATCCCACTTCTCGGGCGTTGTAATAATGAGATCTGCGTCGCGAATTGTACGTGTATCCGGAGTATTGTCACCGGTCAACTCGACAAGTTTCAAGCCGAGCGGTCCGGTAAGGCGAGGATGCCAGTCCTTGACACGTTCTCGAACGAGCGCCTTCATAGGAGCAATATACACAACCTTTGATCCTGGATTGTCTCGTAGGGACTGCCACACCGCCAACTCGCAAGCAACAGTCTTGCCACTACCGGTAGGAGAACCCAGTAACACGTTTGTTGAGGTGTGATAGAGGCAGTGGAAGAGCTGCGTCTGCATAGGGTTGAAGAATTGGAAGCGCTTGCTATATATCTCTTCCAACATGGGGTTATTGAGCGCTGTTACAGGCAGAGGTTGTAGGGATAGTAGATCGGTGTACTTGCTTTCGGTTTCTGGTCGAATCAGGTGCTGGAAGGAAACGGGTGTGACTGTTTCGACTCCCAACCACCTGTCAGACACAGCTCGGACATATATTTGAGACGGGAGAGGGTCTTGAAGAGGAATCGTAAAGTCGAGATAGTGCTCCTCGTGCATTTTCCTCCTATTCAGTATGAAGAACTCGTTGTGGTATATCTCAGACGTTTCAGAGTTCTCAACCCAAATATAATATGGTTCTGAAGATCCATTATGACGGTCATTCCAGCGAAAGTCAGGCGTCAGAGTGAGATGAATTCTCAAGACGTCTCTGTTGAGAGGCGCTATTCCGCACTCTACACTTATCGTGGGGAAGTTTTCAAGAATGCGAGCAATCTTGCTTCCAGCTCCATGATTGTGCACCAACGAACCAATCTCGGCAGACTCCATGTCCCTAAGAGCCTCTATAGAAGCCGAGGCACCCTTGTCGTCGAGCTGCCTCAGCACGGGTAGAGGAAGCTCGAACTGGTGAAGGGGGTGCTGGAATGGCCAAATCCGTTTATCTATGGACTTGCACAGCGAGAGGATAACTAGACATTGGTAACCCCATTTCCTATTCAAGGCGATTTTAAACAAGGCTTTGCACACTCGCGCCGCCTGCTGTGCAATGTAGAATGTGTCGCTAGACAAGGCGAAATCTTCAATCCGCGCGCGTGAGACATGGGATTGGAGAAGGATGTTGGTCTTGGTTTGCGGAGAATCGATTTCAACTCCAACATCGCAAGGGGCAAACTCGTCCCGTAGTCGTACCAGTTCATCGGACTCACTGTCACGGGACTGAATATTATCAAACTCGCCGCACATACTAATCATCTTCAAAACATCGGCCTCAGACGCAAGGGGCGCCATCATCGTGTTGAAGATCTGGACACTGGTATGTGAAAGGTAGAACTCGCTCGCAATGCGTCCGACATCCTTGCTCTTCAGTTCCTCGGTTACCTCATTGAAGATGATCATCTGGCTCTGATGAAGAGTCCGAGCTGCGTTGATAATCAGCTGGCGCCTACGTTGAACCAACGTCGGATCATCTCTGATCTCAGCCCAGTCTATCCCATAGGTCACTGGGGCTATCTTCATGCGCTGGAAGAGATAGGAGTATCCTAACCACTGCACGGCTTCTGGAACCGACGTCACCGTCCCCAGCGCGATTTCGGCGTTGAGATTGTCTACCATCTTGGCACTGAACCTGGATTCGATGGGTTGTTGCTGAGTAACAGCACTTAGATAGTGATTTAGCTTGTCATGGCTGGTACAGATCATACAAATACCCGTGTCCTGAAATTGCGGTCGTCCTGCACGACCAAAGATCTGGAGAACGTCCAGAATCCCCAAGTCTACGAATTTTCCCTCTTGGCCGCTGTAGATCTGGGTTCCCTTGATGACTACTGCAGCGGCTGGAAGGTTAACACCCCACGCAAGCGTAGCCGTACAGCAAAGCACTTTTATGACTCCCTGTGAGAACAGCCGCTCGGTAAGGTTGCGATCTGATCTCTGCATACCAGCATGATGGATTCCCATGCCTTTGGGAAGAAGCTCTCTTAGTTCTCTCCCCTTTGAGGTCTTCATTTCCCTAGTAGCAGCTTCGTATTGAGGGTGCTCTCTGGGATCAAAAAGGTCCGCACAACCGTCCTCGGTTGCCTTTTCGAAGAGCATCTTTGACGTGTTGAATGTGTCTTTTCGAGTGTGGACGAAAACCATGACCTGATGGTCGAGTTCTAACATATCCTTGACCTTCTCAAAGCAGGTCTCGTCAATGTTATCACGAGACTTTTTGGTTCCGGCCTTGCCCTTGACACCAATAAAATGCTGCTCCAGGGGGACTGGACGAAAGGAGGCGTCAAAATAAAAGAGGCCAGCATATCGATTGACTTTTAGGAAATCCGCGACGTCAACATAGTTGGGTAGCGTTGCAGAGAGACCAACCATCCGAATAAGTGATTGCGTGCTTTCTACCTGTCGTGCCGTACGGGCCACGAGAGACTCGATAACAGCTCCACGTTCATCGTGCAGCATATGAACTTCATCAATAATCAACAGGCGTACCTTTTGGACCAGTTCGGTATCGCCCGAGCCTTTCCTAGTCACGACATCCCACTTTTCAGGCGTTGTGACAATGATTTGGGTATGAACGATCTCCTGCTTCGTCAAGTGCATATCACCCGTAAATTCCCTGACTTGAATTCCCAACCATGCAAGGCGAGAGCCGAGTTTCTGGGTGATTTCTGCTGCCAAAGCCTTCATTGGAGCGACGTACACGATTTTGAAGTCCGCCGTGGCGACAGTGAAATCTTGTGCGTCTGGGGACTCTGCCGGATTTGGCGTGGTGTTCTGGCCGATTGCGTGCAGTATGGTGAGCATAGCTGCGTCAGTCTTACCAGCACCGGTGGGCGCGCATATAAGCATGTTCTCGTTCGTCTTGTATGCCACGGGATACACTAGACTTTGCATCCTATTGAGCGTCTTGTACCCTTTAAAAGTCCCCTTGCACAGCTGATCCATTTCTGAGATCTGAACCAGCTTTCGGCCACGTCCTAGGGTCCCAACCTTACCGGCTGGGATGGTGAACTCTTCATATCGCTCATGCTCCGTCCTCTTACTTCCCATGGGCAAACCATACTTGTGGCCAGACGAACTCAGAGTGTTGCCAGCGGAGTGGGTCTTGTAGACATGAGGGTACTGTGGCCCATCTCTGTCTAGTTTGGGGCCGAGAGTAGCATGCTTGTGTTCATAGTCATTTTTCCGTAGCTGTGCATCCCTCTCCTTTCTTGTGAGCAGCTTACCACTGAGTAGCCCATCTGTTTGGTCGGCTACTCGGCGGGCAGCTACTATCTCTTTGCGATGCGAGATTAACTCGATCAGAAAATCGAAATCACCATACCCAATAACATCTGTCAATGCGGATTGCAGCTCTTCATCGGATGTATCCGAGACAAGCAATGAGATGATCTGGTCCTGCAAGGTCTCTGCACTGAGTCCACCTTTACTTGCTACAAAGGCCGAACATTTGGCTTGAATCCATTCTGGCCCATAAACTCCGTCTTCCACAGCAGGTGGCAGTGCATCATCTTCAAGGCCGCTGCTGTATTCGCTATCCTCAGTGTCATCGATGAAGTCCCACACATCATCTCCGCTGTTGAGGGAGTCTGAGAGTTCATCATACTCTAGGCTGTAGGGCTGTTCGGCAGTTGGCAGTTTAAGGTCTGCCAAAGCCGCTCTCATAGTTGATAGCTGCGCTATCCATTGCGACTCTGCCAGCTTTGCCGTAGCCATGGCGTATATCCGTATATCGTTGTCTATGGTGGGGGTGTGTTTGACGTTGGAGGCTTGAAGTCGTCGTCACCGCACATGCACGGGAATACGCCTGACACAACAAAAAAGGACTTTTGATAACCTCTATAGACGCTCCGCTAAATTTCTGTATCAAAATGTATATGCAGCAAGTTCAAGATTCAAATCTTTGTCATGTTGAATTCTTGATCATGTGACCTGAGTCAGAAAGTTGATGCCTCAGATCTTATCGCGGGGCGGTCAGGGTCTCAACGTCACAGGCCACAGGCCCTCATTGTTTGCGCCTACAGCATCACTTCTCCAAACACAACCACCCACTTTACACCGCCAAGATGAAGCTATTTTACATTGGAATCTTTAAGAACGCCGAGAAGCCAGCGCATGAATTGGTATCCGCAAAAGATGCCAGTACCTTTAGCTTCTGGGAGAGGTCGACGTAAGGAGCCCCTGCAACAACTGCGTGGGGGTCGAGCTAACCATGATTTAGGGTGAGCGAGTTCATGACATTCTTCAGCAAGACTGTCGCCGAGAGCAAAGATGCTGCGCCTGGAAAACGCCAGGAGATCTACGAAGGTAGGCGGACAGGAAAAGCAGGTTGAGGTTAATCTGACAGAGAGCAGGGCCATACAAGTTCCACAGTCTTGGGCACAACACCGGGATTGTGGGCATAATCATGTCAGACCACGAATATCCGCTATTAGTTGCGCAGTCGCTGCTCAACAAGGTCCTCGACGAATTTACAGCCAAGTACCCGCGGTCGACCTGGTCCAACTCGAACCCCACACTTGACTTCCCGGACTTAACATCATACCTGGCGAAGTACCAGGATCCCCAACAGGCGGATAATATCATGAAGATTCAGAAGGAGTTGGATGAGACAAAGGTCATCCTGCACAAGACGATCGAGAGCGTGCTGGAGCGAGGCGAGAAGATAGATGATTTGGTGGCGAAGAGCCAGGGTTTGAGCGACACGAGCAGGATGTTCTATAGTAAGTTGCGCCCAGAATACTTCTTGAACCGTCTAACAATAAATCTCTAGCTAAGGCAAAGCAACAGAACTCGTGCTGTGTATTGATGTAAATACGAGGGGTTGGCTTGGATCTCATTTGGCGTTTCATTCCGTATTAATACCTACCTACTGGTTGTCTATCAGCTGCGCTATAGCTATCAGCAATGCATAAGACTCGGACATACCGTTGCCCTTTCAAGCTGCACTGTTGCTTGGAACGTATCAAATTGTATGATATGTGATATCCCCTATGGCAGTAGCCCCTCGTGCATCGAATGAATACATAGAGCCCATGGTCTAGTTATTCCAGCCGGAAGCAAGGATTCTGTAATTTACAGCCTTGTCCTTGAACTCACGTCTCATCGTCATTGATTTGGTACGGATCTTGAACTTCCATTTACCCGCAAGCTAACACATGTCCGGGCCGCATCAACATTAATCCGCCGGCTATTCCCACCATGGTAAATCCAGGGCACATGTGGGGCAATCCCCAGATTCCGTCCTCGCCCCAGTGCGGAGCCTGTCCGCGACCGGGGATTTCCAATCCATATAAATCCATCTTGTTGTCGTCTATATAATTGCATCTGGGCTCGTAATTAATAATTGTCACCCTATTTCGCCGACCATTGCCCTCCGTAAAGTTCGGGGGATCAACTACCGAGAGCTTGGATTCTAGATAGTCCATTGGAGATATATTGGACCCGCCCGCCCCCCAAGATAAACTTTACCTCAACACCCTGAAATCATGGCTCTCACTGGTGAGGAAGTTGCGAAGCACAATTCGAAGGATTCATTATGGGTTATTATCCATGGAAAGGTTGGTTAGATTTTCTCGAAAGATTATTACATACTGACCTGACGTAGGCATACGATGTGACCGAGTTCGCACCTGGTGAGCCTTTTCCTAAGCCGACCCTCAGCCGACCCTAAGCCGACATGATCGGTAGCTAATGAAAGCAGAACACCCTGGTGGAATGGGCATTATCCTTAAGTATGCGGTATGTTATTGCCCCTCAAATCCTGCAAATGGCAAGTATTAATTCCAACAGGGCAAAGATGCCACCGAGACGTACGAGCCAATCCACCCTCCGGACACCCTCGACAAATATCTCGACAAGTCCAAACACTTGGGCCCAGTGGACATGGCTACTGTAGCAGAAGTAGCACAAGAAATTGACCCCGACGAAGTGGCAAGACAGGACAGGATAGCACACATGCCCAGCCTGGAGCAATGCTACAACATGATGGACTTTGAGGCCGTTGCCAGCCGAGTCATGAAGAAGACTGCCTGGGCATACTATTCCAGTGGTGCGGATGATGAGATTGTATGTCCAAACCTCCCTCTAAAGATGATTGCTAACCTTTCAGACAATGCGCGAGAACCACTCCGCCTTCCACAAGATCTGGTTCAGGCCACGCATCCTCGTCGACGTCGAGAAGGTCGATTTCTCCACCACGATGCTCGGCACCAAGGTCGACATCCCCTTCTACGTGACCGCCACCGCGCTCGGCAAACTAGGCCACCCAGAGGGCGAAGTAATCTTCACCAAAGCCGCCAAAAAGCACAACGTCATCCAGATGATCCCCACCCTCGCCTCCTGCTCCTTCGACCAGATCGTCGACGCCGCCGAGGGCGACCAAGTCCAATGGCTCCAGCTCTACGTCAACAAAGACCGCGCCATCACCAAGAAGATCATCCAGCACGCCGAGGCGCGCGGCTGCAAGGGCCTCTTCATCACCGTCGACGCCCCGCAACTCGGCCGTCGCGAGAAGGACATGCGCAGCAAGTTCACCGAGCAAGGTTCCAACGTGCAGTCCACCAGCGGCGCGGTGACGGATAACTCGCAGGGCGCCGCCCGCGCGATCTCGTCGTTCATCGACCCCTCGCTCAGCTGGAAGGATATCCCCTGGTTCCAGAGCGTGACTAAGATGCCCATCATCCTCAAGGGCGTGCAGTGCGTCGAGGACGTCCTTCAAGCCGTCGAGGTTGGCGTCCAGGGTGTCGTCCTGTCGAACCACGGTGGTCGCCAACTCGATTTCGCGAGATCTGGAATTGAGATCCTGGCGGAGGTTATGCCGATCCTGCGCGAACGCGGACTCCAGGATAAGATTGAGATTTACATCGACGGCGGCGTGCGTCGCGCGACGGATATCATCAAGGCGATGTGCATGGGTGCCAAGGGCGTGGGAGTCGGGAGGCCGTTCTTGTTCGCTATGTCGGCGTATGGATTGGCCGGCGTGGATAAGGCGATGCAGTTGTTGAAGGATGAGATGGAGATGAATATGAGGCTGATTGGGTGCAGTAGCATTGATCAGCTCAACCCGTCACTGATTGATTCGCGGGCGCTGAACTCGCATGCTACGTCTGTGCCGGGAGATACGTTGAGTGTGTCTTCTTATGATCCGTTGGTCAGCCCGCAGAACAGGGTTAAGTCGAAGCTTTAGTTGGGACAGACAAAGTTTTACGTGGGGACTTTTGCATCAATTGATTTTTGGTTGTATAGAAAGTTTAAGGCGGACTTTATAAATTCCACCCCACGTTGGAAATGGTATTTGTTTTGTAGGGCTATATCTTTATCTCTAAAGTAAAGCAAAATAACTTTTTACGATAATCTTTGTTTTGATCCGAAGGGTGTTCAGCCCTGCCTCTTTTTGATTTTTTGATGCCGTACCCAATGCTAATGGTAAATCGCAACAATATCACACAACCCTCTATTTATCAGCCAAGTCCAGGTGGAATGACCTAATCACCGCGTCCGTATCGTCAATCGCGAGTGGACGGATATCCGCCAGCTCCTTGATCTTGGCCGTACTAGAGAAAGTGTTAGTAGGTGACGAGGTTTGGAGGGTGGTGGGGTGTTCTTACAGAGCCTTAACTTGATCATCAGTCATCTTCAAGCCCAATTGCTCGACACGGCTCTTGATGGCGTTCCATCCCGTGATTCTCGACGCGAAGTGAACATAGCGGGTCATTCCGAAATCCGCGGGGTTGAGGATCTCGTATGTGGAGGGGTTGTTGAGGATAGCCTTGGCGTGGATGCCAGCCTTGTGCTGCGGAGGGGGTTAGCATGTGCCATCTGCATCGAGTGTGGGGTTAACTTGCCGTAAATGAACAGAAGCCAGTCACGTAGTTGTTGAACGGAACGTTGACCTCGACTGCCTCGGCAACCATGTCCTCGATCTCCTTGAGCTTCTGCAGCTTATATTTGGACAGCACGTAGTCGCGGTCCTCGACGATCATGCGGGCGAGGAAACCACCGAGCGGGGTGATACCGTTGCGCTCACCGATACCCAGTACCGAAGTGTCGACGTCTGCGTACGTTAGCTAAACCACTCTCTGGTGATTGAAAAATTCAATATGACTCACGTGTTGCTCCGGCTTCTAAGGCGACAAAGGCGTTTGCAATAGCACAGCCGGTGTCGTTGTGGAAATGTGTCTCGATATCGGTCTTCTGGCTGATGACTCCACGGAGGGTGCGGATCAGCTCGTAGACGGTACGTGGGGAAGCGCACCCGACGGTGTCGGCGATACCAACACGGTCAACACCAGCCTCGTCGACGGCCTTGTAGAGGGCGAGAAGGTCGACAAAGTCGGAGCGGAAGGAGTCCTCGGAGGAGAAGCGGATCTCGAGACCCTTGCTCTTGACGAACTCGATGACCTCGATGGCGGACTTGGTGATGTATGCCATGTCCTTGCCGTGGGAGAACTCGCGGAGGAAGGAGGAGGTTCCGATAACAACGTCGACACCATCAACACCGGTCTCCACCGCCAACTTAGCATCCTCCATTGTACATCTCACATCTGTATAAATTAGTATTGGGTCGCGTGGGGTTGGGTATTCGAGGACTAACGAGTGAGGATTTTGGCCTGGATGAATGAGTCAGTTATGAAAACCATAAAAGGTCAATTGTAGAGGTTATCAAACGCACCTTGAGACCAAGCTTGCAGATTGTCTCGCAATCAGCCTTGGATTGAGGAGACGCCGCCGGCGAAGTCAACTCAATGTAATCCACGCCGAAGTCTGAGAGAGCCGTTGCGCTAAAGGGTCGCATTAGTATGATATTCGGATGAAGTTTCGAGAATTAAATAACGTACATCTTGACCTTGGTTGCTTGAAGGTCGTTAGCAGAGGTTTGTGTAATCTGTTGGTGGCTGCGACTTACCAGTATCGAAAAACGCCGAGGCGAATTGCTCACCCTCACGGAGCGTGCTCTCAATAATCTTGAAGCGGCCGGTATTTGATAGGTAGTCGCCAATGGCCTTGTATGGGACGGATCTAGGCTTCTTGTCGGCGCCGTTACCGTTGGTGATGCCGTTGGCGTCGCCATTCTGGCCGTTTGTACTTGGATCGTTGCACATTGTGTATATTGTTTGTGGTTGTGAGTGAAATTGACTTTCAGCGGAGAGGGTGAGTGTAACGGAACAGTGTGGTGATGGGAATAGCTGCTTACTAAGCTGGACGAATCAGAATGTGAGTCAATGAAAATCGAGTCACCCAAGTTTTACGTGGTAAGGCAAAAGTAAGGCAAAAGACCAATTACCCCGCCCCGAATATCGGAGAGGTTTATCCGTGGTGGGGGGTTGACGTTAGAAAAGTGGCGTTTGGACTTTTGTGCAGAGATTGCGGGGTGGACATGTGATAAGTCAGGTGACAAGTCAGGTGATAAGTCAGGTGATAAGTTAGGTGATAAGTCAGGTGATAAGTTAGGTGATAAGTTAGGTAATACGTCAGGTGATCAGTCAGGTGATTGCAGGTTAGTGCGACGAGTTGGCAGCGACGGGCCAGTCGAGCTTCTGACTAGCAACTTCAACGCTGTCTCGATTCTTGACGGCGAGCCCGACTGCGGATATTTGCGGATATTTCACATCGTGGGCAACGCAGACTCTCTTTGGGTGCGCGAAGGAAAACAAGTGCCAGTTTTACCCCAGCTGTGCGCAGGTCAAGGAAGGCTGAGGTCCAGAATATGTATGATTTGCAGTATATTTTCCAACAGCCTCTTAAGCACAGCGTTGTGATTTCTCACTACTGCAGCAACATACCACACCTTACTCCACCTTACTCCCCAACGATCTGTCATACGGCTATCATTTCCTCTTGTTCAGCCTGACCCAGCCAGCGCGCCAAAATACCCAGCAGCCGTCGAGGAATTGCGCGTCTGTCCCACATCAGGCGGACAACGGCAGGAAGGGCGGGAAGCAAGGGATTGGGGGAACATCCCTTTTGCATCCGACTGCCGACTGCCCCCAACCCAACCCGTCCGATCGATGAGATCCATCGATCGGTGAGTGCCCGAGTCATCATGTATGCTATTGGGAATCTCATCGATCGATCGGTGAGTGCCCGAGTCATCATGTATGCTATTGGGAATCTCATCTATCTCGATCGTGGCTTCTCAAACAAAGGATCGGACGACTGCCTGGCAATGAAATGGCACGTCTGCGCCAGTGCCGCGGAGCTGGGAGGAATGAAATGTACGCATACCTGTTTGGAGGTTTGAGATGCAAACCGAAGCCACTGTTCGAGATGAGATGAGATGAGTCTCGCGATGGGTTGGGCGTCCCGTCCCCGTCCCCGTCCCCGTCCCTGCCCCCGCCGTACAGTGAAGACAAAACCGGGTTGAAACGTTGAACCACAGATCACAGATATCCCACTGTAGATGATACAGACAATTACTGTATAAAGTATAAAGTGGACAACTGCCGGCCACCAGTAGCCATATTGACTGACGATCGATCTGACCAAGAAGCGGCCAACTGGCTGGTAACATCTCGGACCAACCCGACAGACATCGGCCAGCCGCAACGTCAACACACCATCCGGATCCAAAACACTCCGAATCCAAAACACTGCATATCCCGCCGCCTATCAGTGTGCGTACCATGCATCATCCCGTCACTTCTCTCTTTTCTCTCCTCTATTGTCTCTTCTCTCTTCTCATATCACAACATACCCAGCGCCGTGGCAACACCCCACCATCACCGTCTTTGAGAATAAAGCGTTTCCCTTTTCATCTTCTTCCCGCCTTCTCGTCGCCTGCGGTCCGGCGATCTCTCGGCCAACTCGCTGAAATGAGATGTGTGGTATGCATGTTGGCATATTCCACATTTGAGATCTGATCGTATGTCTAGCCGCGCGCATTAGACCCCGAGTGTGAGTTCCTCTTAGTTACTGTCTCACTGTACGGAGTATATCTTACCCTCGATTTTCCCTTGTTTCGTTTCTCTCGTTTCATTCCGTCATCTTCGCACATCCTCCCTAAAAGTCTCATACACACATCTATCTATTGATCTGTCTGCAAAACATCCGCGTCACGCTCCCGAGTCACAACATTCTCTGCCTTAGTCCTGTCCGTTCGGCCTAGAATGACCGATATGTCCCCGTGCCGGTTGTGCGCAGCACCCTTCCCGCCCGTGATTGTTCGCATAGTCGGCGCACCCACCCTCCCAGCCCTCCCCGAGTTTGAGGATAAATGGCCCAACTTCCTCGATTCTCCACTTTCGCCTCTACCTCACCCTTCTCGCTCTGCTAAGAAACAATATTACCGCCTATTTCCACACCAGAGAGCCATGCCTCCTACTCCGCCGTCGTCGCCGCGGCGCCTCAAGCCTGTGAGCAGCGATATCACAGCGTATGATCTACATGCTCTGTCGTCCATCTCGCCAATGGAGCAACTCTTTCTTGTCACCCCGTCAAGCGACACATCAAGTCTGAGCGACCCATCAATCCACTCTCCCTCAGACGAAGACGACGACTACGATACCTCGGGATTCCCGTCGTGGCACAACTCCTACGACTTCCTCGCTACCCCCAGTGCATCGCCTACCGAGCTATCACCTCTATACAGGTGCAACTCTCCCTCCAAATTCGCATTCGACATCTCCTCCATGCCCCCCCCACCCATCCCTCCCCGCTCACCATCGCTCAACTCCGGCGACACCACCAAGTCCTCCCGCCACCCTGCCCCACGTCCCCAGGCTGGTCCACCTCTTCACTTCGCTGCACCGCGCCGTGCGCCGCCTCTTGTGGCACCGGCGTTTAGGCACCGTGCAACGCCTCCGCTGCCGCCGCTATCACGCCCTGGGTTTGCACCCCCAGCGACTATACCTCCGCTTCACCCATCCTCTTATTCTACAAATACGAGTCCCTTGAGCCTCTCGCTTCCTCCTAGCCCCCTCGCCCGTGCCGTGCCACTGCCCACATCGCCAGTCTTGGCTGAGAAGAGTGTGTTTGACCATGAGGAGGAGGGCGTCAAGGGGTTGAAGGGTGTCAAGGCGCGGTTTCATAAACATGGTGCGGCATCGGGGGCACAAGGTGGGAGGAGGAAGAGCGCGGGGGAGGTGGTGAAGGGTATATTTGGTGGGTGGTCTGAGAAGGGTGGGAGGGGTGGAAAGGGTACATGAGATGGTGGTTAGTAGTTTGGGACTTGGATTTGGATTTGGATTTATATTAGATTCGGTGTTTTTATTAGAGTGGTGTTAAGTGTGCACTTTGGATATGTTTTATGAATATAACGAAACGGTTGGGTATTATATTTAATACTCTTGATCAATACAAGAGTACATCTGATTGAAGAAGCACCCCTGGCTGGGAGCTTAACAAACTTACTTATACATTACTCATCTAAAAATATACAGCTTGCCCAAGTCCACCTTCTCCACATCCAACACATCCCTCGCACGCTTAAATCTCATCCTCACCAGCCTCTCCTCCGCCTCCCACCTCCCCACCCCCTCCTCCACCACCTCCTCCCCCCTCCCAAACCAACCCTTCTTCACCGCACCTCCTCCCTCTTTCCTCCTCTTCTTCTCCTCCTTCGCAAGCTTCCCAACCATCTGACTCCAATTATCCAATCCCGTCTGCAAACACTGTCTGCACACTCTATCCTCCTTAACACCCCCCCTCAGCTCCTCCTCCGCAACATCAACACACTCTCTCGTCCACGCGAGCCCGCTCTCCTTCCCCGCTATGTCAGAGGCAGATGCGTACATAATCTCCCCAATCCACGCCATCAGCGCCGCCTCCTCGCATCTCTCCTCCGGCCCCCGAGTGGGAGCTAGATTTCCATCCGGTGGCGGAGGCGGGAATTCCGGCGGGATGAGCGCATACTTGACCAAGTCCACAGTCTGCTTAACCAGTCCCCCACGATCTTCCACCTGCTTTGGCGGACCCGGCCGCAACGCGCGCCGCGCCCGGAGCACAGACAGGAAAATCGGCAGCGCACCGGCGAGGTCTTTATTCCTCGCCTTATGCTCTGCCATTGCCGTTGTGGCGCGGAGCACATTCCGCGACGGCGCCACGGCCGTCGGCTTTATAGTGTGTGTCACGGGATCCACGACCGAGTCAGGCTCTGCGATTCCCGACTTCGCGATATCAAGACCCCATTTGAACATCTCTCCAGCTGCCTCGGGCGTCCCCTTGTAGTCTAGCCACGAGGCGTAGGCGAGCGCGGCATAGAGGCGCTGGGCGTCGGTGAAGCCGGTTGTCGTTAGGATGCGCATGTAGAACGTCTCCGGCGGTAAATACGCCGGCTCGCAGTCTTCTTCGTGCGGCGGCGCAGGACATCCGGGTGGGAGGGGGCGGGGGTTTGGGTTCGAGGGGCCGATGACGGCGACTTTTGCGAAGACAAGGTCGCGGGTCTTGTCTTTTGTGCAGGAGTCGAGGAATTCGGCTGCGCGTGCTGCGCCGAGGAGGGCTTCGTAGTAGCCTCTACGCCAGTTCTCTGGTTTGGCGGTAATGTCATATCCCGACCTTCCCACGCCGGGGATGAGAATCTGGCTCTCGTCCTCGCCCTGTTGTACTAGTCCCGCGCCATCGATCTCCGGGTCCTCCAATCGCTTCAGCAGCTGCATGTATCTGTCCCCGCTGAACTGCCAGCTCACACCGCCGGCATCACGGAGTTTCTCCGAATCGTGGACCCGATTAGCGCGGTACAGTTTGCGCGACCAGAAAGTGTATTCGTGCGGGCTTGGGAACTCGCGTTCCATCTTCTCCTGCTCGAAGCCGTAGGCGGCGATGAAGAGCAGCACGCCCGAGGAGAGGACGTAGATGCCCCAGCGGAGCTCCATCTTGAGCCATGCTTTGCGCTCGGTGGTGAGGAGGCGCGCATAGAAGGTGCGAGGGCGCGGGGAGGAGTGGTGGAGGTAGGGGAGCTGGGGGCGGGACCGGGGGAGTTGCGTGAAGTACCGGATTAGCGGCCTGCCGCCCAGGAGGATTCGGCGAGGCATCGGGTTCATTGTTGCTGGCCGGAGAGCCCGGTTCGACTACATATGAGGTTGACCGTCGTTGCGATGATCGTGGTCCAGAGTTAGTTTACTTTGGACCCAAAAGTCTGCGGAGGGCCCGGCCCGTCTTTGTTGCTAAGTTAAGCGTACGTACTCAGTATTGTATTTGAACGTCTAGTGCATCTGTCTTAAGAGCTGCAGCAACAATACATTTATATAATAATCTTACAATCTTCCTATATATCATACCATATACACTATAACTATAACCACTCTATGATAGTTTTTGTTCTACCGAGCAAAAATTGTACACCAGTTGCAGCATTGGCCATCTTGTAACTGCTGACTAATCAAATCCCTTTGACAATCCCGCCGTTGGATCGTCGACCCCAACCACCCCCAAGACACTCCGCACGCGCTTGTCTCACCTTCTACATCGAGACCGACGCACAGAGAGACATACAGACAAACAAGAATACCACGGTTGAACGATAGACATGACTTCACAATGACTTTATGAAGACGCTTTAGGAAGACCTCACTCATTTGAGAATGATGGAATGATTCCCAGCAAGCACGCGCCGTCGTCCAAGTTATAGTACAAGCAGTCGCATTCTCCTCACTAAAACCGCCACTCCTACCACATGCCACGATGCCGTCGCGCGAGCGTGAGACCTCAGTTGGAGCCGCGAACGCGCTCGCCCCGGGCTCGCTGAAACGACACAAGACGCTGCCCCATCCCAAGCGCGACCGATCCACCGAGACCTACTCCTCTCCCCCGTCGACAGCGACCCAAACCATGTCCGTTGACTCCGACGTCTCTCCCCCATCAACATCGTCCTACGACCTCAGCCCACGAACCCTCAAGCACGCATCCAAACGAATAGGCCTGCCAGACCTCCCGCCAACTCCTCCGGCCCATTCGCGGAATCCCTCTGACGAAAGCCAGACCCCAGCCGTGCCATTCAGGGCGAATGGCACAGCGACCGATTCGTCCACCCCGAACACCCCGCCCAACGTCCACAGTCCGCCTACTCCTGACTTCACGCCCCCCCGAAACCCCCGACGCGCATCGTTGATGCGTCCGCCCCCCAGTGAGAGGAATTTATCGTCACGCGCTGAGTCGTTCAGGACAGCACGAGAGAACCAGTCTTCGGAGGAGATTTGCTCTGCATTCACTCCGGGAGAGTCCACCCCGATGGGTCCAGAGCCACTGCATGTTGGGTTGGGGCTAGACTTGGATATAAACAGGCGTCGAACCCCGACGCCGGTACTGCGTCAGAAGTTTTCCTTTGAGGACGACGAATTTCGCCGCTTTGACGGCGACTGGAATGTGACAGACCGAGTGGACTACAAGCAGAGATATCGCTGGGACGAGGATCTCATGAAAAATGTGACGGTTCGGAGGCGGACGTCGCGGAAACCGTATCGTTTTGACGAGAGTCCTGTTATGCAGGAGGTGCGCGTTGATCGCCCTGTCGCGCCGACAAACGCGACGATTCATTTGCAGGAGTTTGGGCTGGGAAATGGCACGTCAGACATGGTAAAAGATGTTAGCTCGGCAGACACGCTAAGAGGGAGCGAGGTGAACCGGCAGTTGTGGCCTGAGAAGGCGAAAGCGGAGAGCCCTCCGGCACCTGATGTACAGCGGTTCTCGTCGATGTCAGGAAAGTCTAATGCTACAACTATTGGGGCTGTCGTCGTCGTTAATTCACCCCCAACTCCGCGAAGAACGCTACGACATACTAAGAAGCAGTATGGGCTGCGGGATTTTACTCCTCCGGGTCTTCCAACTGCACCAGCAGTAACTAATGGCCAGCCCAACGGAGCAAGTGAAGTTGCAAGCCGGATCATTAACAGGAGCAACGGATCCTCGAGGCCTAACCACAACAGCCTTAACTCCACCGCGACCACCACAGCAAGCACCAGGTCACGCAGGAGAATCATCTCTGAGGGCGCTATCCCTGTCGTCGTAGTCCCTGAGCGCCGCTCCTCAGTGAAGACCGCCCAGGCCCGCTCACTCCGCTCAGCAAGCAGCCGTCACATGAGGAAGAGCGTATCTTTGCAGTCTGCTCCCTTGTCCCAGTCAGCTGGGTCTAACATCCCCGGTACGATCGAGCAGCCCACCATCCGACAGAGGCGAATGTCCGATTCTGCCACATCCCGGGTGCAGTCTGAACGCAGTACTGATGGCCCGCCTGTGATACCGGATCGCCGCTCATCTCTCTCCGCGCCGACGAGCAGGAATACTTCCCGCTCGGGATCCTTAACCGCAGAGAGCCTCCGGGCGCATAATGCCATTCAAGCGGTTCAAGCAGCCAAACTCGCTGCGCTAGCTGCTCTCCCACCGGCTGTGCCGCCTAAGGATGGTGCACCACTTAGAAACACGCTGACGGTTGATACCAATGGGGACCCGTTCTTCGGCCAGCGACTTTCGGCGCAAGTTACGCCGTTCTCACAGTCATCGCACGACACGCATGGTACAGCACTAGAGATATCGGAAGCTCTGGCTATAAACCTGTACCCGCACCAGAACAGGTCTGTACTCGTGATCGAGCACGGCCCTCTGCAGCCTCGGTCTGCGCCCAAAGGTCGTCCAATCCATCTCCGGACCTCCTCCCTCCCTCTCGCAACCGAACCAGATCCTATGACACCCCCTCAACGCGCCCACCCACTCGATATGGAAGCAGACTCCCCGCTCCGCAACCCGCGCGACCCCCCACAACCGCCACTCATAAAATTCATTCCTCCCACCCCCGCTGCCGTTTCCCCTGATGACGACACTAAACAAATTGGCCACGATTTCCTTTCCGGAGAAGCAAACACTATCTCAGCCGTGCCACCTGAACGTCGTCCGTCCCTCCTGCAACGTGCCCTCTCCGCCCACCGCCGTGAGAGCATGTCCATCTCCACCATTCTGCCACGGCGCTTTTCCCTAGGTCGCCAGCCGCAGAATAGCGTCGATACCGCAAGTCCGCACACGTACCCTACCATCTCCGACCAGCCTGCCGACACGTCGCGCCTACATCCATTTTGGCGCCCTGCGCGCTTCTGGGACGACCTAGACAGCGACGATGAGTATTCTGACGACGAGTGGGATGACCCCAACTACTACCCCCTGTCAGCAAATGTGCATCCTGCGCTGTCGGCGCCGAAGCGAAGTCTCTCTTCGGTGTTGAAACGCACGTTCTCCATCATGCCCGCGCGCGATCACGAGATTGGGTTTGGTGCACCGCGCCGCACGATCCGGCGATCGGGGTCAGGTAACCTGCGTGTTGTCCAGAGGAACAATGGTAGCGTGGGGAGCGTGGGAGAGTACCTGCGCTTTGCGAGCGCGCGGCAGGGGATGCGGAATTCGAGCGCGCCGGTGGAAGGGATGTCGGGGAGCGATAGTCGGATGTCGAGGGAGTGGATGCGCGATGTTGGGTTTGGGAGGTGGAATTTCAAGGCCGGGGTGAGGTGGGTGAGTGTTTCGGGGGTGGAGCGGTGGGCGGAGCGAAGGAGGGAGAGGAGGAGAGAGGGGTTGAGGAGGAGTATTAGTGGGCCGAGGGGCGTGAGGGATGGCGTTGAGGATGTGCTTTGAGGGAGGGTGGAGGGAGGCGCGAGAGTTGATTAGATGGGTGCGTGGCGGGAGGGTGTATGAACAGCGATAAGGGGAGGGAAAAGTAACACGGTCTTCACAGGACGGTCGAGCTTTTGATGGGCCCAGAGAGCGTTGTCTGCTGTGCGGCACGTGGCTGGAGGTCTATATAACTCATTTTTGCTTTTTAGGAGCGCGGTGGACACTTCATGAGGGTTATGATTTATGATCTTGATGATTATACATGGCTTGCTTTGGCTTAGGATTTTAGGGATGGGGAGTTTGGGGCTTTTTTGCGAGTTTGAAAATTAGGGAGTCATCGTTATGGAGGATGCGGGGGGAAGCGGGAGTGGGCGCGGATAGTTTTAAGAATATATTTCATTCTCTGGGTTTGTTCTATAGGAGGCTCTTAGAATAAAGGGGTTCAATATATGACCACTACGCCACTGGTTTGTTTCTCCCCCTAGCGGGCTTTCGTCAGCTATTGAAGAGCTACCTGCCAAACCTTAAGCCTATCAGGGTTGAATCCAGTCCATCCCTTATCCGCATAGCTGCCGCCACCAGCGCCAACGTTGGCGGGGAACGATTTCCCTTCGTTGCTCAACTCCGTCAGGACATCCTCCGCATACTCAAACCACACCTTAGCAGCATCCACATCTGTTGGCGAGGCCTCGCCTGTTCCTTCAAATGCTGACCTCAACGTCCACAGGCCGAACATAGAAAAATCAAACGCAGGTGTAGATGGAGAAATGGAAGTTAGGCGTGCTAGGAAGGCGTTTATATTGCGCCACTGGCTGGCAGAGAAATCGTTGATAGAGCCAGTGCTAGGAGCTGTGTTATGTTAGCACCATAAGAATACTGAGCAAGCGGCGGGCGGCCATACCTCTATTCCATGCGTCCCTTACAGAAGCACCAAAGAGGGGTAGGTCGCTCCACACCCTCACCTGCTCCCCCCAGACTGTAACCTCGCTCGCACCATCTTTGGAAAGGTTCTGCTGCTGGACGGCGCGCACAATAGCCACTAAATGTTCTTGAGACTGGTGCTCGGTATCCGCAGCCACATTAAGTATGCTTTCCCAGACGGGCCTAAGACCGCCCTCAATGTCTGACTCTGGAGACCCTGTTGTGAACTTATCTTCGGCTGGCGCTGTGAGAGCACGTGCGGCCGATGAGGGGTCAGTCTTTGACGCGATGGAGGTATTTAGGGTGTGGAGTTCTTGAGAAGACATCTTGACTGTGGTAATTTAAGTTGTATTAAATGTGAATAAGTTGAAACTAGAAGAAAATGCAGTCAAATTTATATAAGTTACCTACTTTTGGCGTTTCTTATAAGCGCTGCCCGAGAGCCTTAAGGTGTGTGGCGGGACGGCGTTGTGAGTGGTCAAAGCTGAACAGGCGGGAGCTCCCTCACCTGTCCCACTTTCATAGTCCGCCAAAGCGTCGACGTCATGTCTTCCATAGGATGTCCAATTCTCTATTAAATGTTAGAATTATAGATTCAACTACCTTAGTGCCGCCTTTCCTTTGTTCAGAAAAAAGAATATGTTCTAAAATCAACTCCAGTGCCTGACCAGTGATTCCGAACCAAGGCAAACAGAGCTCGTCGACCCCGCCCACTGCAGTTGAATCGTACAGCCAACCCCCACAACCTCCAAATTGGCATCCCGTTTCCTCCGCAGCATTGCCCGCCAAGTCCCCAACTACCTACCCGAGTCGCTGATCGGCCCAGCCTCCGTCTGGACTGGCATCTCGAAACCCAAACCGGGGCGGCTCGACTGGCCGGAGCCAGACGCAAGCATGACCCCCCCGACCTCGTCAGCAGCGGCCCCGAAGAAGGTGGAGAAGTCGTACCTGTCGTCGGCTGTGGAGTCGATCTCGCCGTGGACGAGCGCGCGGCCGGCCACGCCAAAGCCGGCGCAGGGGAGTGGTGTGGCGGCTGAGGCGCAGGCGGCGCAGAGGGGTGGTGATCATAGTGTTGGGCGTTCGCATGGGATTAGTACGAGGAGGTATCCGGAGGATTGCCCCCCGCTTAAGACGAAGTGGTTTTATGCGGTTGATGTAAGAATTCCCTGTCGGCAATCAAAATGCTTGCTAACGTGTTGAAGGTTCCAAAGCGAAAACCTAAGCTGCTCAAAGACGTCAATATCGAGTCGAAACCGCTGCCTGCGCCGAAGAAATACTTGACGTTCTCCCCCGGGGATTCTCAGTCTATCGAGAAAGCATACCAGAAGTTTGTTGAGGATGAAGAGGATGAAGGGCAAACGGCTCAAAGTCCAATCGACTTGACAACATCGCCAGAGTCAAAGCCTGGCAGAAAGGAGAATAGCTTTTTAGAAGGGGATAGTTCTCCGAGGCAGCAAAGGACAATCAAGGTACCTGTCAATGAGGACTACCTATTTGATGTCGACATCGAGGAGAGGGAACTTGCGCCAGTTTATTGGCTTGGACCGATATATGACGTGAGGAGAGGTACTTGGTTCTATCAGGAGGGATCGACGCTTAGGCCATGTGATGAGAACTTGGCCACACAGTTGGAGGAGGGATATCTGAAGGTCAAGCCATTTCGCTATCCGAAGCCTGCCGTTAAAGATGCTCAGCCAAAAACCGCGGATGAGGCGAAATTGCCTACCGATATGGGCGCTGCCGAAGTCACTCCCAAAGCATCCGCTGAAAACTTGAAAGGGGCCACGGAGCAGGCTGGAAGTAAACCTACGGATGTCGCACACCAACCTCAGACTCACCGTCTGTTTGGCTCATATATGAACTCCATTGTCACATACCAGGATGACACCGTTGCGTGGTTATCAGATGACGGCATCGTGTCCCGCATGAGTACGACCGTTTACCAACGATTTTCAGGAGGTGGCTATATGAGCGGTGTGAAGATAGTGCGAGGTTATACCAAAGGGGAGAAGACTTCAGCTGATGCCAAGACTGAGGTGCCTTCGAGCCCAGAACCAGATATGGTAGATGAGCCTGATAAGGCAGGTCTTCGGCTTGATGAAAGACAACAGAGGCTTCTGAAGCGCAGATCCGCCCCAGCTGGGACGCTGAGGGCATCCGATATTCGCGACTTACATGCCGAAACGCAGAAGCCGGCGTTGAGTGGCAGTTCAACCCCGAAAACTGAAGAGGCGGTAAGAAAACTGGACGAAAAGGAGATTCGGGATGATTATCAGGATCATCCATCCGAAGATCAATCTCGGGAGATTGAACATTTGATTCTGGTGACACATGGAATTGGACAGCGTTTAGGGATGCGGACCGAGAGCGTAAACTTTATCCACGACGTCAATGTCCTCCGCCAGACACTCAAAAGCGTGTATGGAAACTCTGCGGATCTACAAGCCCTGAATTCCGAAATCGATAAGCTTCCAAAGAACTGCCGGATTCAAGTCCTCCCAGTTTGCTGGCGACACTTGCTAGATTTCCCTCGCCATGGCCTGAAGCAGAACCGCAAAGAGCATGATCTTGCCGATATCTCTAGCGAAGACGAGGAATATCCAAGCTTGGACGACATTACCATGGAAGGTGTCCCGTTCGTGAGAAGTCTCATCACCGACCTTGCTCTGGACGTCTTGCTTTATCAAAGTGCCTATAGGGAACACATCTCTAATATCGTGCTCCGCGAGTGCAACCGGGTGTACAAGCTTTTCTTAGACCGCAATCCAGATTTCAACGGGAAGGTCAGCTTGATCGGACACTCCCTCGGTTCCGCCATCTTCTTCGATATCCTCTGCCGTCAGAAGGAAGACAAGGATACGTACGGGCTACCCAAACACCCAAAGTTCTATCACAATCGACCCGGGGTGCAACCTCAAAGCAAAAAAGATGGCAAGGATATGAGTTTCGATTTTGAAGTTGAAGACTTTTACTGCCTCGGTAGCCCTATTGGACTCTTCCAAATGCTCAAGGGGCGGACAATTGCCGCTCGGCGTCACCCTGAAGCAATGCCAGCACAGAGCCCCATGGATTTGGATATGCTGGATGACCCATTCCTCGCCGCAAATAGCCATCCCAACGAGGCGTTTGTCCCCACAAGTGGGCTCCCCTACTCGATATCCTCACCCAAATGCGCACAGCTGTACAACATCTTTCATCCTTCTGACCCCATCGCATACCGCCTCGAGCCCCTTATAGCACCAGCCATGTCATCCCTCAAACCGCAGGCACTTCCGTACACGAAGAAGGGTATCTTTAATACGTCTGCGGCTCAAGGCATCACAGGAATCGGCGCCAGGGTCGGCCAGAGCGTAAGCGGCCTTTGGTCTAGCTTTAGCTCCGGAATTGCGAGCAGTCTCCTCAATCGAAGCCTCGGCCTCACCGGTGAGGATATCGCCAAGATGGAGCGAGCACAGGGCCAGAGCATCCGCGAGTCACCGCTGTCTATGGGCGCCGGAACTAATATCTCAAGTGGGGGCGTTATTGCCGGTACGCGGCCTCTGACGAGGGAAAACACGAATGAGAAGCAGAGGCAGCTGGCGGAGGATACTGCCAATGCGGACCGGGAGGGCAATGATAATGCGCCGACGCTGATTGATGATGATATCGAGACCCTGTACGCCGGGTTCCAGAAGAATCGGAAGAGTCACCAAGGGAATGAGGAGAGTAATAAGGAGAGGCTTGCGGCGGCGGAGAAGGCCAAGAAGCTGAGGAGAGAGGAGATGAAGGTTAGAGGCTTGAATGAGAATGGTCGTATCGATTTCAGTATCCAGGAGTAAGTTGCAATCGTGTGGCTCTGACGAGCAGATGCTAATTTGAAGTAGGAGCGTTCTGGATTTCAATCCTTATAATACTATCGCGAGCCATTTGAGCTATTGGGGTGACGAGGATGTGTGTCATTTCATGCAATCCCAGTTATTATCTAGACACCGGGCGTTCAAGCGGAGGGCTAGCGTGGACCTCTTGAAGCGTTGATTGATGCGATGTTCGGATCCGGTAGGGCTTAGAAGAGTGTAGACACAATAGAATATACATACTATCTCATGTTGCTCTGGTGAATGGTCATTATAATTCATATCTCATACATATTATTACAGCAAGCCCTTGTAAACGACTACGCTTCCTCGTCTTCATCGCTCGTCTCATCGATATTAGCCCTCTGCTCCTTGGCACCGGCGTCGGCACCCTTTACTCTGGCTTTCCTCGGGGCCGCATCACCTGACTCGACTGTTTCGCCCATTGCTGTGAGAGCGGCATTGATATCTGGAATTGCCTGAAGAAGCACCTTGTACTGGTCCAGGGGCAGCGAGATACCCTACAAGAAGTCAGCACCTGACATATATACAGGCATGTAGCTCTGGTTTACCTTCTTGCCCGGCAGGAGATCACCCGCGGGGTTCTGGTAGTACTCCCGAATATTAATGAGACGGGTGCCCTTGAACTCGCTGATGCCGATTCTCCTGCTGTTTCTTCCCTGTGATAACTGGATTCGGAGATTTGTTAGTCAGTCACATCCATCCATTATCATCTCTCAGACGCTATGGGTAAGCAACTAACCTCCCAGAACTTCTCGCCACCCTCGCCGGTCTGGGCCTGTGCAGGTTTGGTGACGCTGCTTGGCTTTGCTGTTTTCGTTCTCTTGCTTTTGGGTTTGGCGTCGTCGTCGGAGGCGACGAAGCCACTGCCATCATCGTAGTCATCGATATCGCTGGGCGAATCCCGGGCGCGGCCGCGCTTGGTGACTGGCATTGTGGAAGAGAAGGAGGGATGAGATTGTTGAGGGTATCTTCGCTCAAAAAATGACTGCACGGATTCCATTAATTCGGTTCATTATTTGAAGGGTCTGGGTCTCACTCATTACCTGAAGTTGAAGTGGTTGCTTGCAAGTGTTAAGTTCAGATATCCGTGAAATAGAGTTCGGACGGGACTTTATTGAGGCTCCAGTGATGCGGAATGGGCAGCGAATATGGAATCGGAAATATCAAATATCGAGACCTCGGTGTAGACAAGAAGGTTACACATCGGGCCAAGCTTTGGACGCGGTCAATCGAGCACACCCCGCGCAACAACGCGTTCAGTGATTGATAGTCACGTGACAATGGTGATACAGCCTACTCGTAGTGTGGCTGGTAATGGCCCTCACCAGCCTAGATCTCCCTCAGAACGGCGGCTGAAACAATAGGGGCTCTACCTTGGGCTGAGGATAAGCAAGGAACGGAGAGTTAAAGATTGAGATTGTTGCTTTCAACCCACTTATATTTCGGTATATATGTCTACGTCAGCTGCTCTCTAGGTTCTTTTCTTTTTTTCTTTGTAAGATGATAGGACCTCCCTGATACTACCGTATATCTCTCCCATTGCAACGACGACGACTCGACAGCGGTTGCGCAATAACTGATGATCGCAACAATCTGGGACAAAGCGAACCCCCATATCTCAATGGCAATAATCGAAGATAATAAAGACCATCAAGGAAATGGTTCCTCACCCCTAGACGATGATGCACCCAATGGAGGAGCTGACGCCACACCCACGCGCGCACCAGCCGCAACGCCAGATGCGACGACTCGAGTCCTCCAGTACCTAGCCCATGCGTCCACTGAACAGCTGTGCTCCATAGCAGTTGGGCTGGCTGGCTGTACATATCTCGTCTTGGGGAGGGTCGGGCTCGTGCTTATGGGCGCATTTGGAGGGATAATACTGCATGCGTCGTGGGAGAGGCATAGTGCTGTCGCCGATATCCACACCACCCACCAAAAGCAGAGGGGCCTTCACGTCCTACAAAAGGTCTTAGATTGGAGGGAAAAGAATCCTGCGAATCCTTACGAATTTGACGACAATGACGATACAGACGAGGCGGTTGTGACAGGGGCGGCCAACTTTGACGACTTTCGCCCTGCCACGGCAGAGGCACTGAGGGAACTGGTGGAAGCAACAATTCGAGATTATGTGGAGTACTGGTACCTTTCCGTCCTGCCGGAAGAAAGGACATTTCCGCGAACGAGCCAGCAAACTCTGGTGTCGTTCCTTCGCTCTATAGCAAATTCTTTGTCGAAGAAGCGCCCCGCAGACGCTTTTCTGGACTTCTTTACCAATTGCTCCTCGATTGTTATCGTCTTTCTTGGTGAACTTTCAACCGCCATTCTGGCTTCGCCTGATTCCGATATTTCTCCTGAAGATGCAGTGCAGGAATACCTCACCTCGAACCCGGATTCCCATCTCGCCCATATCATGGATGAGAACCAGCAGCAGAAAAAGTTCCAGTTGATAGCCAATGATTTATTACAGAATTTCATTGAGAAATCCGTGTATAGTTGCAATCCGGCAAGGGTCTTCTTGGAAAGAATATTAAGTGGGGTTGTAATGGAGATGAGTTTGATGGCCTGTTCCAAGCCAGAGTGGATAAATGGTTGGATTGTATATCTGTTAGAGGAGGGCGAACCGGATATTATTCAGGCGATTGATGCTGGCATGGGCATACCATCTCCGAAAGGGATTAAACCTACGGAGCCCGACGTCAGCTCTCAAAAACGGGCCAGCAGAGCGGACGACGCAATGAAGTCTGCCACAGAAGAAGCGGAAAGGCTAAGCCAGCTAATTGCTGAGGATGAATCAAGGCAGTCTAAAGAGACTTTAAGATCTTCCTTATCCAGGGACGCCCCAGACATTGCCAGGATATCGTCAAGTCACGGTTCGGATGGCGTAAATATTTCCCTAGGTCCGATTGAAGAAACATTTGTCCCGGCTTCCGTCGAAGTTGATGCGGAGCCGAAACAGCCGTTCACAAGCTTCGACCAGATGGCGCCCCAACGAAATATCGACTTGGATAATGAGACGCCCAAGCCTTTGACGCTTAAAGGCGCCGGTATAACTATCATGGACGACGCTTCTCCAGGCGATAATAGTCGCTTTCGCAGCAAGCCCATGGGAGATTATTTGGTCCAGATTGAGCCAAATTCCTCGCGTTACTCCGGGTGGATGATTGTTCGCAAATATACAGATTTTGAAACACTCCACGAAGTTCTAAAGCGCATTGCCCAGGTGTCTGGAGTGATAGCCTTCACACAAACGCATTCCACACTGCCGACTTGGATAAACCAGGGCAAGGCCGACTTGCGGACTAATTTGGAAAATTATCTGCGCGATGCATGTCGTCATGCGGCTTTGGCTGAAAGCGTGGGAATGAAACGTTTCCTTGAAAAAGAACAAAGCCAAAGCCAGGGGCAGTCTGGAAAGGGATTTGGGTGGCCATCTCCTGCAGCCTTTGAAACTATGGGTAAGGGCTTGGTTGATAACCTGATGAGTGCTTCTAAGGGAGCTGCTGAAGGCGGTAAAACTGTTTTCGGTGGCATGACAGGGGTCATTGGGAATATAAATCCTGGGAGAGGAAGGTCTGCCAGCAAACTTAGCCTTAGTTTTCGTCCTGGCTTCCGATCATCCTCGTCGCTTGCACCAGAACTTGACAATAGTGCCTCCATCAACGGCACAAAGCCATCAAGCGAAGAAGCTCGAAATAGGGCAGCTACATCTCACAGCGAGGCAGTAGTCATCGCAGAAACACCCGAGCATGAGCCGTCCAGTACACCAGTTGAAAGCTCTAGTAACGGGGTTAGCGATGTATCCATGAAATCGTCAATGGAATCGTTAGGGACAGAAGAAGAGCCTCGGAACCAACTACCAGATCTCGATAACATCATTCTACCGCCACCGCCTAGCGACATGCCTGACGATTACGGAATAATACGATCTTCTTCATCGCCTGCTTTGTCGAAAAACGAAATTATGACACCAGTTACATCTACGAATAACGCCTCACCAGTCCAGTCCCTAAGATCCCCGTCGATATCCGAGGTCAAGGTACCCAACAAGCGAAAGGATCCAACGCCTTTCACGGAGGAGGAGACCAGAGTAGCTCTGGAGTTGACGTTTGCCATGATCAATGAACTATATACGCTATCATCTGTCTGGAATATACGCCGAACACTCCTCACGGCGGCCAAAACGTTCCTCCTTCGGCCTGGAAATCCTTCGCTGGCATCCATCCAGTCTCTTGTCCAAGAATCCGTTATCACTTCAAATACTTCTGACGCTGGGATTGCCAGCCACCTCCGGAAGATACGTGAGAACACAATGCCAACCGAAGAAGAGCTTAAAGCATGGCCCGAGGAACTCGGTCCGGATGAAAAGACAAAGTTGAGGGTCCGGGCTAGGAAACTGGTTATTGAGAGGGGTATTCCACCTGCATTGGCCGGCGTTATGGGTCAGGCTGCTACAGGCGAGGCCGTTGGCAGAGTATTTGACTACTTGCAGGACGAGAAGGTTGCTAGAGGATTGATGTTTGGGCTCCTGTTGCAAGGGGCTCGGGCGATCACACACTGATATATATCTCTCTTGTACGATAGAGTTACTTGGACATGTTCCACACGACGATTGAAGCTGTAGAGTGCATAGTTTAGCTTCAGACTATATGCATTTCAAAGGACTTGATGTATATCTCGGAATATCTTGCTACTGTATGTTGGATTATACGCGGGTGGGCATCAAGTCATACGCGGGTGCCGCTATTCGCGTCGCGTGGGACTATTGATTACATAATACGAGAAGCTGTAACGTTAGTTAACTTAACTAACTAAAGTTAGTTAAGTTAGTTACTTGTCGTACCTGGGGCTCAAACGGGGACCTATCCCCCCCCTTATTGCCTAATTAGTCCATCCCTCTTCGGCTGACTTATCTACATATCTCCACCGACTCGACTGTGCGGCTTCACAAAACGCAACCCACCATCCCCTCCTCCTCCCAATCGTCCTCGTGCGCCAACGTATACGACGATATATTTTTTACATATCACATCATCTCTTGTACAGCACAATTGGAAGAGGATGTACTCCGCTTAAACGATGGTTGCGACTCCCACGCGCTCGCCGCCCACATACCGATCGCACTAGAACACCCCTCAGTATACAAACTACAGTTGTTCTTGTAACGCGCGCGCGCTGACGAGACCGTTGACGCCACCGTTGACGAGGCGCCATATACGCGTGCGCCTTCCCGACCTTCGAACGTTGAAGTTGAAACAATTCATGCTTGCGCCTTTTCGATACCGTACCCCTAGTTTTAGCCTACACTCTCGAGACTCGAAACCACAATGCAGGCGGCCGCCACGGACGACCGATCCTACCGAATCCAACGCCAGGCGAATATGCCATATTCCACTGATGCTCCTGTTCTTCAGTCAGAAGCCGACCGTCAAGGACGATCGAATTCACGCCCGCCAGTTAGCGCAAATGGGAAGAATATTGCGAACTTTCCGGAGCTAGCTCCAATATCGCCGGAGGCTCGAAGACGCCAGATAGCTACGCATAGGCGATCAGACAGTCTTGGGAGTGTCAGGGACGGGGTTGGAAACCTGAATCGCTGGTCGCAGTCTACAACCTCTAGCAAAGGTTCCACGGCGCATGTGAGGTCAAACAGCTCCTCGCGCGCGCTGGGGTCGGCCTCCGGAACCAGCAAAATTGATACTTTCTCCAAAGGAAGCAGATACGGGGCGCCAAAGTCGGAAAGCTCTCCTCAGCGGCTTCCGTTGCGAGGACGAGACGGCTCAAATCTCCCACCGACCCTACCTCCCATAATAACGCTCCCCACATATCGCCCTGGTAGCAACGATCGCGATCAGTCCCCACAAACGGGAACAACTATCTCGCCATCAACTGCAGGGTTACTGTCCGCCGCGGTGCGGTCTGCGGCGCCTGACTACTTTGGCGATTCGTGGGAGCATCTAAATACCCTTGGCTCAACGAGAAACCATTCAATGAATCGGTCTCCCATAATCCCTTCGTCTTCGCTCCCACCAGGATACACCAAATCTAGTGCCAGCCCTGTCCAGAAGCCGCGGCAGGGAGGGGACCGTAGCCGCAGTAGGGGACATTCGCGAAACCGGTCGCACGCCACGAAAGGGAGCTCAGGGACCATATCCTCGGAGAAAAACAAAGATCGCTCGTCGAGGCAGCCATCGCAAAAAGCCATGCTTTCAAAGGCGCTTCAGAAAGCGAATACGGCGGTGGTGCTTGATAATGCAATGAATTTCGAGGGTGCCATGCAGGCGTATTCAGAGGCATGCGATTTACTACAACAAGTGATGATGAGGAGCTCCGGGGATGAAGATAGAAGGAAGCTGGAGGCTATTGTAGGTTGGATTTCCCGCTCGATCGAATATTACTAACCAAATATAGCGAAATACCTACACCAGTCGGATAACAGAGCTGGTGAAGCTTGCTCCCTACAATGAGGATGACAAAGCCTTACCTGCCAGACCCGAAAGCATTGAATACACAGATGATCTATCTCCCCCCATAGATGATGACGGAGCAACGGTAGGAATGGCAACTATGACGACAATAGTTAACCAAGACACCTTTGCCCTTGAACCTTTCCCTGCTGAGCAGCCACCTATACAACACCCCCGACGAAGGGACTCACTTGTGCCGCAGACCTTTGATGTAAGTTTCCAGAATGAACCTCGAGGCCAAAGTACTGATCGTTACCAGAGATCTGCCCCTGCAAGGTCTCCGATCGGCCAAGGCCTCCTCGGCTCACAAACAGCTCTGCCCCCCCCAATGGAGCGCCAATCAATGATGGTGCCACCACTCTCCCCAAGACCCCCAACCTCTCCAATGGATATGCTACCAACGGAAGAAGACCACTCAAAGCCCTATCGTCCATCGACTGAATCGAATGAAAACAGTCATGCGAGGGAAATAAGCACCGATTCCATTTCCTGGCTGGATACTATTGATGAATCTGGTGGTTCCGGGGCTTCGTCCGTACATTCAAGGACGTCGTCACTGGGCATGAGAAGGAAACATATACGAGCTGCTAGCGGAGCAACCGAGGCAGAATTTGATGCTGCCTTAGATGCTGCAGTGGAAGCAGCATATGACGACGGTTTCGAGCCTGTGGAAAACCTCCCTCCCATGAGAAGCACTGCTGAGTATGATAATGGAGTCGCAAGTATGCGAATGAGGGTTGAGATGGCTAGGGAAAGGGTCAGGCAAACAGAAAGGGAGACCGCTGTTCACATGGCCAGAGATCGAGAGAGGGAGCGCATGGCACAAGACCAGACCGGCCAGGAGGACTACTATGACGGCGAATCAGAGGAAGAAGAGCGTATGCTTGAGGAGATGACCAGAGGCTACGTTATGGATGAGTTTGAGTTCGGTCTCCAGTCCAAGTCGGCATTGCCTCGAGAATCTGACTCGAGTGGGTTTTCTGGACGCACCTGGCACAGTTCTCTCGGGTCAAATCCCACCACTAGTGGAACTACCATGTCTACCATTACGGAGACTACCCCTATCCCCAAATTACCCGTTTTTCAATCGAAAACACCGCCGCCAGTTTACCCTCCCCCTGGCCAAGCTCCCCCGCTTCCTCCTACGTCTAGTGCTCCGCAATTCTCACGACCATTGCAAATGCAGGCGCCCGAACCCGCAACTAATTCTCATGCCGTGAGGGGCAGACGCCTGTCGGGACAAAATCCCAAGCAATTGAAGATCGATACCACCACAATTACCACACCAAAAGCACCACCTCCGGAAGTCCCTTTAGAGCCTGCAGGAGGGTTTTCGCTACCGAAAATGGAAATGCCACCACCTCCGATACCGCAATCCGCGAGCAACACCGGATTCTGGGCTCGCCAAACCTCATCTCCTTTCCTAGCAGACGTTGCGTCTCCGCCGACGCCTACACTTACGCAAAGCTTTAATTTGGACGATAATGCCTGCTCTATTCCTTGTTCTGGTTCTCCTGGACGAGCGCAGTCCAGATCAGGAATCCGGAAGAACTTCTCTTCCTCCAGTCTCAAGAACCTGAAGAGTCGAAATCCTTCGGTATCTCACGTGGACGATGGCCCCGAGGTGTCACCGAATACGCCAATGACGGCTCAGTTTGGCACCATTTCAGCCACGAGGGGAGATCCAAACAGACTGCCGGCGATGCCAGCACTGCCAACACCCATTGCAGTGGCTTTCCGAGACAAGATAAATGGTGCTCCGAATGGTGCTCCCACCGGCGGCCTGTACCTATTCGATAATGATATGCACTCTCCAGAAAGTCCAAGCTTGCCTAAAAGCGGCCACACAGGTGGGCCGATACCCTTGGAGCCATGTCCGACTGAACATCTCCTACGGCCTTTCTGGCTAATGCGCGCTTTCTATCAAACCTTGGTCCATACTCGTGGTGGATACCTCTCTACCAAACTTTTCGTACCAAGGGATGTCTGGCGTGTCAAGGGAGTTAAAATCAAGGGGCTTGAGGAGAAGATATCATGCTGTGATCTCCTAACGGCAGCTTTGCAGAAACTCGCTCAGGTTGATACCTTTGATGCGGATGCGGTGCTCGATGAGATGCAGGCTTTTGAAGACGTCCTTGAGCAAGCTCGGGCCATTCTAGTACGAAAGCTTGGTAATGATGTCGGTGTACAGGGCTCAGGCATGCTATTTAAGGATGCCTCGTCGACCTCAACCGAAGCAGAGGCAACTACCACCACCTCCAAAACATCGTCCGGGACCGGGAAGCAATCTTCGTTCTCGTGGCGCCGATTGCGGTCCAAGAGTTCTGGGGTGGCGCTGAATAATTACGGCGGACGCACCGCAGTAACAGAGACTCCAAAGGAAGGACATACTATAAGTTCTCTTCCCATGACGACCTCGGGCAGTACCCGATTCGCGAAGAGGGATATATCCCAGGTTCACTTTACGGGCCCGAATGCCAACTATATGAGCGCATTAGCAAAGCTATTCGATGCAGCTCAAGTCCTTGGTATGTTTAACACCCACACAGTTATACCTGCCATAACCCCTTACTAACTATATTTAGACCAAATCGCTCGTCAGGTCGAGGATCCCGGCCTTAAACATGCAGATAAAACACAAGTCGGTTTGGAACTGAGCACTCGCCACGCTGCGGAGTTCTTCGGATTCTATATCTGCAGATTCGTCGTGACAGATATTGGCATGCTACTGGACAAATTCCTCAAGAGAGGCAGTGAATGGGTCCTCATTTGATCTCCACGACGGAATGAAATGACCCAAGCTCTCAGCTTGGATGGTAGGTGGATGTGTTACTATATATTGGAAGCCTAACCATGTCTCCTTCATTGGCATAGGGGCTTCCATCGCTGATTTTGCAGCATATCATGAAATATGAGCGAATGATCTTTCTTACTAGATACCTCTGGTCTGTTGACCAATGCACGTTGCGCCGCTGCGCTCTCGGGGAGTTGGAAATAGGCCGCAACGACCACCCTGTTGGATTGGATTGTGGCATTTATGGGATTTATTTTGGCTAGAATTCTCGCATATACAGCATCTTGCACCACTACAATCGTTATAGGATTCTCGAGAATCTCTCATATATAAGTGTTCAAATTCAATTGCTACTGTTGATAATAAAACAAGTACAACATAGCTATACGTGAGAACATAGCCAACCCTGTCTCCCATATGCAGAATATACCTCCCTCCTTCTGCGCCTTACACCATCCAGTTGCAAATACATAAGTATCGAGAGGAATTCCATCTAGCTTTCCCATTCCCAAACCAAACTGCTCGCAAAGACGTTATTTCATGTAAGCCTTGGGTATTTGGCAATATCATAGAAGTTCTCCTTCACCCTCCTCCTCGCCTTCCCCCTCACTATCCCAATCAATATCCCCACCCGCCGCCTCAGCCGCCCGCTGCACCTCAGCCAACCCGCTCAGCTCGGTGATGTAGTCCCTCTCCGCCAGTGCCTTCTTTACAAAGTCCCATCCGTCCTTCTCATACGCATCCACGACTTTGGAGGAGCATGCTGAGCAGCAGTCGTATGATTGCCCGCTGATAAGCATGTTCTGCCAGCTCGCGAGGAAGCCTCGGATCTGGTGGGGTACGATGCCCAGTGGGTGTTCTGGTGGGTCACGCTCGTACGAAACTGGGCCTGATCCTGAGGGCTGCACCGGCTTAGGGGCGGGAGCAAGGCCACCGAGGGGGTGCTGTAGGATGGACGCTAGAAGCTCAACGAGCTGTGCTGATGCTATTGCTGCTATCCCTGGACGCGTGACTGTGCATTGTTGGTCGAGAGTCTGGTCCTTTACTGAATCTGCGGGAGCAACGACATCGTTGCAGAAGTAGCAGCCGAGAGCTGCTTGGGCTCCGTCGGGGGGTGTCATACCGTGCCTCATGACGACGTATGTGTCGAAGCCAAGAGCGGCATTCATTACGATCTTTCCAGTGGCCTTTCCCATCAACGTTGGAAGCCATCGACTCTCACGAGTGTCCATTAGTAAAAATATGGCATCGTGCTCGTCGATAAGCTTTTTCAGAGTCTCAAAATCGCGCTGTGCCTTGGCCTCGTCTGTAACAGGGTGTCCGAGCATGGGGACCGAGATGACGTGCCCAGTGCTGTCTACTCCAGGGTATATGTCCTGCAGAGCCTTTGCGGCGAGTTCTGCCTTCTTTCCTCCTCCTCCCAGGCAGTCTTGGTAGGTGAATAGAGGTTGGCGGACAGGATTTGAGAATGAGACGGTTCCGTTATCCACGAAGGTGATTTTGCGCACACCCCAGCCCAGCAAGTTCCGTGATACGTAGCTGCCGAGTGTGCCGGCTCCGATGAGGAGACACTTCGTTTGGCTGATTTTTGTGAGGTTTAGGTTCGGCGCAATGCGCCATTTCATGAGCTTCAGGTTGAGGTCGACAGATTGATCCGCAAGCAGTCGTGGGTCCATGTACTGGGACAGGTCTGTCAATCTGGATGATAACTTGCCGTGGCTGTTTCGCTCCCATCCAGTTACTTTGGGCATCTTAGCTACTACCGGCGAGGCAGTTTCGTCTTTCTCAGCTGGAGATGTTGAGCTGAGGTTGAGTATGATGCTCCGTGCTTCGTCCCTCTTAGATTGGACATCCCTGTAGCACAAGATGCGGACGTTGTCGAGCTTGTAACGTTGCCTAACCAAGACCAAGAGGTTTCGTAACATCCACCCAGGGTTCTGTGGGTACGTGGATGGATCTGCGAACGAAATATACTGATCTTTAGCATCCACGTCCCGGAAGAATCCCGTCTCAAATGCATGGAGAGACCCAATTTTCCAGTTATAACCCGTTTCGTCATCGATGGAGGTGCGCTCGTCCGGTTTGGTTTCCGCCTCCAGGTCAGCTTGCGGTTTGTCGGAGTTGTACACCTTTTTGGCCAAAAAGAAGCCGTGCTCTCTTGGATCAACGCTGTATCTCCACGTGCCAACCTCGTCGACAAGGGCTGTCGTCTCGCGCCCGCCGAGTCGCTCTATCGGTGCAGACTGTGTCCAAACTGGGTCTGAGTGGAGAGCTGGGAATCCAGACCAGGTCGTAAACCGGTATTTCTTTAGGTCCGCAAACGACAATATGGTGAAAGAGGAGAGTAGAGATGGCAGGGAGTAAATGGTGCCGTCTTGTATCGCATCCCAAATCTGATTGAGTTAACGTCCTGCCTTGTGAGTTCAAGGGGCTGCATAAGAGTAGCATACCTGCTTTCCCGCAGTGTTGATGATGGCGTTCTTGTCAGCATTCTTAAATTCCTCGATGGTATTGACATTTCTAATGATGCCTTCAGCGCGAACCAAGCCGGCAGGAACCCTTTGGAAAGCGGTTAATAAATATAATCGTCACGAAGTCTCACAGTTCTTAACTTACGATGAGCTGCTCAACGCATTTCCCAGTATCTGCATCTGACAGTTTGTTCGAGATGAGAGATGAATAGGTGCTCCGTACAACCCCAGAACCTGGCGAGCCGACACGTCGAGACGGTCATGGTCGATCTTGAGGTTTGCGAGAGCTGAGTAGAAGGGAAGTTCGATCTCGGACTGGAACGGGGCGTATTGAAGCGCCATGGTGTTGATCGGACGTGTCGCCCCAGCCTTAAAGGCTTTGATATCTGGAAGAAGAAGTATGAAAGAGGAATAGGTAAGGTGGTGTTGAAAGTATGTTGGGATATGCTGGAGTCAAAGACCCTCTGTAGGTAGAGCTGTCGATAAGATATAACCATAGTGCGGGGAGGCAGCTTATCGCCGAGTCGTCGAGTAATCAGGCGGAGAGGCCAGAACCGTGCTGAGGTACCTGCTGATCATCCAATAATAGGGCACGGTACATGCACGAATGTACCCACCTCCACAGGCACAAGCACGCCAAGCCTCAGCCTTGTCTCTCCTTACGGAGTTTCTTTTGTCCGACAACAAAGCTCCAAGCCTGTTGTGCATTGAAGCAAAGGTTATAATATCAGATTGCCTTGAACATTCCTTTGAAGTTCTAAGCTGTTATTCTGCCACAGTCGATTTCTTGTATTTGTTTTCAAAGCGACGAAATGTTTGTTGGTCTCTGTGGTGGCATTTGTTCGGGGAAGAGGACCGTTGCCCAATATCTGATTGAGCACCATGGATTCACTCGTTTGCGCCTGCAACACTTAGCAAACGAGCCTTTGACGGACGACAAGCACACCTTCCATACCATAGATGAGTTGGTTAACTTTGTGACTACACAATGGCAGCGCCGTTGGGTGACAACCGACATTTACTGCGAGGCCGTCCTAGACATTCTTGTCCGCCGACCCTTTTTCATTCTCATCAGCGTTGATGCACCTGTAAATGTTCGCTGGAAGCGTTTTCAAAAGCGATTGATCTCTTCTACTTCATCTCCTCACTCGGATGATGATCTCTCTCTGGAAGATTTTGTTTTGAGGTCAGATGATCACCTGTTTAACTCAAATGGTGGCTTGCTTCCACTCATTTCACGGGCGACAATCCGCCTTCTGAACACATCGTCAGACTTGGCACATCTCTATGCCACTCTAGGGAAACTAGACTTGACAAATAAAGACCGCCTGAGGCCTAGCTGGGACCAATACTTCATGCAGCTCGCATCCCTCGCGGCTCAGAGGAGTAACTGCATGAAACGCAGGGTTGGGTGTGTCTTGGTGAGAGAGAAGCGCGTCATAAGCACTGGCTACAACGGCACGCCTCGAGGACTCAAGAACTGTGGTGAGGGTGGATGCCCTAGGTGCAATGACGCCCAAGGATCTGGTGTCGGCTTGTCGACGTGTTTGTGCATCCATGCCGAGGAGAATGCGTTGTTGGAGGCAGGGAGGGAGAGGATCCGCGAAGGCGCTATATTGTACTGTGATACATGTCCCTGTTTGACATGCAGCATCAAAATAGCCCAGGTTGGAATCAGCGAGGTTGTTTATAGTCAGGGGTATAGCATGGATGGTCAAACAGCGGCCGTCTTCAGGGAGGCTGGAGTACAGCTACGACAGTTTTCGCCCGTAAGTGTCAATCTCTGGTTATCAACTCCAAACTAACTGAGTACTTAGCCGCCGAATGGTCTAGTCCATCTTGAGAAGCAAGCCATTGCTTGATGCGCAGGGCAGACAAGAACACTTAGCTAGTTTACTTTGTGCATTATGGTGGAAGTCATGGCGCAGGACTTATGGAAATGGATAATATTGATTTTCAATTCGATACTTCTATATCTGGTCTTCAAATTGCCTGATCATAAACCCCTTATCAATCAACTCATCCTTGACCTGTGTCACAGTATACTCTCCCCTGTGGAAAATACCAGCTCCCAGTGCAGCATCAGTCTTTGTCTTTGAGAATACCTCCGTAAAGTGGCCTGGGTTTCCAGCGCCACTTGACGCGATAACTGGGATCGTTATGGCGCTCTTGACGTGGTCAATAAGCTCAAGGTCAAACCCGCTGTTAGTGCCGTCCTTGTCAATGCAGTTAAGCAGGATCTCGCCAGTGCCCATGGCCTCAACCGCCTGGGTCAACTGAATAACATCCGTGTCTCTCGTCTCCCGTCCTCCCTTGATAGTGCAAGCGTACCAGCAGTATCCTTCTCCGTTGGGTCCCGGTGTCGATGTTTTGATGACCGAGTGGGTCGTCTCTTCTGGGTTGGAAACGTATATGCGCTTTGGGTCCACGCTGACAACTACAGCCTGGTTTCCGTATGCCTTGGAGATCTGCTCAATCGCTGTTTTGCCAGAAAGCTTCTTCCCAGCCGCATAGTATTCCTCGGCTGCGGTAACAGCATCCGATCCTATAGAGACCTTGTCTGCACCACTCTTGAAGTACATGGTTGCAATTTGCAAGGCGGACACTTTGGTGCCATCGGTATCCACTGTGTCTCTGATCCCTCCTCCAATAGTCAAAGGAACGAAGACAGTTTTAGATGTCTGCCTAAGAACCTCAAGCATGGGAAGATCGGCAACCGGGCAGTCCCTGAAGCTTGTAATGTTAAGGAACGTAACCTCATCAGCTCCTTGCTCGTAGTATTTCTTGGCCATCTGAACAGGCTTCCCCAAGTTGCGCACATCTCCCCCACTACCCTTCTCGCGAACATCATACTGGTCACCTTTGGTGACGACCAGATCGCCGCTGTCATTGGCCCTGACATCCAAGCAAGCAATAACTCGCTTTGTCAAACCCTCGGTCACAGGGGCGCTGGTATGGACACCACTGGTAGAAGAGGTTGCATCTCCGTCCAAAAAGGCCTTGAGTACTCTCAACCCCGCCATACCACTCTTTTCTGGGTGGAATTGTGTAATGAGGGCGTTGTCTTTCATCACCGCACCCACAAACTCCTCGTCTCCATATCGCACCGTCGCAACAGACCAACCTTGATCCTCTAGCTGGCCCTTTACATACGGCACCTTGTATGAGTGGACATAGTAGTATTTTGAGTCGGATCGCAGGCCGAAAAACTCCTTGTCGGACGCGGCGCTGTTCCACCCGATGTGTGGGACTGACTTTGTGGTATCGTCAAACCTATCAAGGGTGGCTTTAATTATACCGAGTCCAGCGACTTCTGGGGCTTCCGAGGAGCCCTCAAACAGTACTTGGAGCCCAACGCATATGCCCATAAATGGCTTGCCAGTCTGGACGTGCTTCCGTATCGCGGGGAGGTATCCAGCGGAGGATAGTTGGTTTAGACAATGGCCGAAATGGCCAACGCCGGGGAGGATTAGTCTCTATGATAGATATCAATACCAGAACCATTTGAACCCCGCAAATAGCTCCAGAATGACTTACATCGGCTTTTTCAACATCTTCGGGAGACTTGACCCATTCGACGGTATAGCCAACTTTTTCTATGGCGTTGACTAAGCTGCGAATATTACCCGCAACATAATCTAACAAATGCACGGTAGGCATGGTAACTTTCTTGCGCGGCGGCGTTGTCAAACCAGCTGAATGACTGAACAACGGCCACTCTATCCTTTATAGCCATACCCGCCTGTCGTCTCCGTGTCATAGACGCACGGACTACAACGTGCAGAATGCCATATGGAAAGAGTCTAGCTTTATTTGCGCTAGCGCTTATTAGTAAGCGGTCTAACTCCGCCACTTGCTCGTGTTCATACTTCACCCAGTTCGTTTGCCAACCTCACTCTTCAACCTTCATCATCGAACTTTTCCATCCGAACTATTCGACAACTTAATCATCATCTTCGCCTTGAGCGCTAGCGGTTGACTTGAGCGATCTCTGTTTCTTGATAACTCGATCCAGCCTGTATCCAGACGCGATTCACATCCAAATCCATCAGCGAACTCAATCCTCGATCCTTCCTCCAGGTGCACAAAGATTAACCCACAGACATCTTAGGATACAAATTGATTTCAGAAGAGATAAATTGATTTCAGAAGAGATATCATCAGGCTCGCTGTGGATACATTTGGCATCGAAATAGACCAAGGTGGCCTGCTGATACTGTGGATGTAGCTTGAGGTTGTTGGGATTGGTCAACTGCTGAGGCTGTTACGGGCGGTTACTTGTTGTTCAACTATTTTTGCGGCTTCATCGCTGCCATTTGTACATTTTTCGTCGTGTTTTTCTGCTCTCTTTCCAGATTTTTTGAGCTATTGAAACCAGAACTTGATTCCCCATATCTCAGTACGAAAACAAAGATAAAAAATAACCTTGGCTTTGTACGGTCGCATTACCTGGCTCAAGCCTGTTGCGTCTACTGAAAACTGGGTGTCGTTTGCCACCAAATCGTGCGACAGTTGAGGGAGACCATCACACCATATATACGGAGTCGAAAACCAAGTACGACAGAAAACGATACCAACAGTCCACGAAATATTTCATCCCTTCTCCAGTACCTCCTGGCTGACTGCCCAAAGGCTGGAGTTCACCAACATTGACGTGGTTAAAATATTGCCACGATGACTTCTTCCGTTTTCTTCAAGTTCAAGTCGCAAAAGGAGCCCACCCGGGTCGAATTTGACGGCACCGGAATCTCTGTGTTCGAGCTGAAACGTGATATTATTATAAAAGGTGGCCTGGGAGATGGAACAGAATTTGATCTCAAAATATATAACGAAGATGGAAACGAAGGTATGTGCCAAACAGACGTAGAATATTTCTTTACTAACAGTACAATAGAGTATACTGATGACACCACAATAATTCCGAGGTCCACCTCGATCATCGCCCGCCGCTTACCACCCATAAAGGCTGGAGCGGGCAAGGCGGCTCGCTACATGTCGGGAAAGATGCCAGTTAATGCAAAGAATTCGTCCAGGAAAGAGATGCCTACTGCTAAATCCACCTCAAAGGCAGCCGTGAGCTCCAACTTTGCTCCCAAAATGAACGATGCAATGTCTGAGGAGGAACGTATGGCTGCCATGTTTCAAGCACAGAACGAGCAGTGGTCCGCGCAACAGGACGAGATGGCGAAGTAAGTTTTTATCCCCTATCTCCAAAAACAATCGCCCAGTACTAACCTTCTACAGCCAAACACCGATCGCCCGTTCTGGTGGCAACAAAAAAGGAGGACCACCCCCCAACGTCCCAGATCACGAGCCGCCTACGGGGTACGTATGCTATCGATGTGGAGAGAAGGGACACTGGATTCAAGTATGCCCAACGAATGACGATCCGAACTTTGACAACAAACCACGAGTTAAGCGAACCACAGGAATTCCTAGGTCGATGCTGAGGACAGTCGAGAAGCCAGTCGCCCTCACAGGCGACGGGATGGCGGATGATGTGAAAGCTCTGTCCGGCGTCATGGTTAACGCCGAAGGCGAGTTTGTAGTTGCAGAGCCGGACAAGGCTTCTTGGGAGCAGTTTCAGGCAAAGACGAAGTCGTCTGCTGCGGCGCAACAAGCAGCTGCATCAGGTAACAAGGAGTTGCAAGACAGAGGATTAGAGTGCCCAATCGACAAACGCATGTTCATAGACCCAATGAAGACGCCTTGTTGTGAGAAGACGTATTGCAATGATTGCATAACTAACGCACTCATTGAGAGCGATTTCAAATGCCCTGGTTGTCAAACAGAAGAAGTCCTTATTGACAACTTAAAACCTGACGAAGAGGTGTCTAAGCTCATCAAGGATTATGTTGAAGAGAAAGAAAAAATAAAAGAGGCCCCAAAGAGTCCTAGCAATCCCGAATCCGCATCAGAACAAGCCTCAACCGAGCCAACTGCCAACAAGACCGGATCCGCGTCGCCAAAACCCGGATCTCCTGCTGTTGTTTCATCCCCAAAGCCTTCAGATTCAGAAAAGCCGGCAGAGAAGTCACAGGTAGTTAACCCTACTGGATCCGACTCTAAGAAACGCCCTGCAGAGGATCCCCTTGAGAATCCCAGGATACCAAAGGGCCCTAAGGCGATGCAACAGCAGGAAGCGCAAAGGCAGGCAGGAATGCAACAACAGGCCATGATGAATGGCATGAACCCCATGCAAGGATTTCCAAACGCACCCTTCGACATGTCACAACAGTTTGGGAATGCGTACGGTATGGGCATGGGAATGGGCAACATAAATATGAATATGATGAGTGCGTACGGAATGATGAACCCGATGATGAACCCGATGATGAACCCGATGATGGCCATGAACGGCTTCCCGATGAACGGCGGATTTTCCGGCATGAACATGAACATGCCTAACATGAATGGACCGTACGGTGGCGGATATGGGGGTGGTATGGGGAGTGGAGGGGGTTACAATAATTCAAGGCCGAATATGCCATCAGTTCAACCAGGTGAATTTCCAAATCAACAGAAGACGATTTTTGCAGGGAACTTGCCAAATGAGGAGGACAATGCATATTTCAGGAACCCCGTCAACCCTCACCGACACCAGGGACGACAGAAGAGAAGCCGTCCAAGTGATTTCAGGGAGCTCTAGTTGGGAGGAATAGTTTTCGTAGGGAGGGTTTAGTTAGCTAATACTGGGGTCATTTATAGATTACTGTATAATAAAAAATAAAATTAACTGAAATGCTTGTTCAACAGTGATGACCATTAATTTTGAGTATTTATAAGTATAGGTGCTGACAGAAGCCCAAGTAGAAGTGCTCATTGCCCTCAAGGTCAAGGTGACGCACTAGCGCCGACGTAATCGTTTATTTGGCGTTGTGAGGTTTTAAAAATGTGAATCCACGCCCGTGCGCGCGTATAGCCACAGCGTGGTTGTGGCTTGGTTAATGTGGCTGGGTTTCAGTGACGCCCGTAACCCCTCAGCCCCTCTCTTCCCCAGCGAGTAGTTTCCTAGGCAGCGAAGAAATCGCCAGGCAGTAATCAATTCACAAAACAATTCTTTATATACGCTCCCTTAAAGCGTTAACTGTTCGAGTGTTGTTCTTGAACGACGTCACGATACTCGAAGCTGAAAGGAAGCCATATATCCCGCAAAGCCCAACCAAGAGTACCCCTCCATACGACGCGAATCGAAGTTCCACGCCGCCTCGAGCACTGACGACGCTTACCCAAAGTCCGATTCGCAACTACTGGCATAACTTCCATCCCAGCGACCGAACACCAATCTAGATCCAACGTCCGGTGCGAGAAGCATCCCCGGATTACTCGCCATGAATGTCATCAAGCTCCAGCGGTTCGTTCACCCGATTGCCCCGCTTTGCTGTCCTTTGTTTGCGCCTGACTGACGGAATTCATTACAGGAAGTTCCCGGAGTTCCAGCAAGATGAGATCTTTGGGCTCCAAGATGCTTTCCGCAAGTTAGATGAGGATGACAAAGGTTACATTGACGAGGGAACGGCGATCAAAGCCACCCAACAGAGCGAGAGGCAGCCGTACGACGTCGTGAGGCAGGCCCTGAAGGAGGTCGAGCTTGACTCGTCGCGGAGAGTTGAGCTGGAAGATTATGTCGGCGTAAGCATTCATACATACTACCATGGCCCATTTAGTTGCTAACTCGAGCAAAGTTGGTTTCCAAATTGCGCGAATCGTCTCCGGCGCAAAAGCGAATGTCAACGGGACCATCGCGCCCAGCACCACCCTCATCGCAGAAGCCTACTATGGGGCATGCGTCGAAGCCGAGCGCCAGCGGTCGTATCCAGGTCCAGGGCTCGTCTGCAAACGTTACACACACCATCAATGAGGATGAGCGAACCGAATTCACCAGGCATATCAATGCTGTCCTTGTTGGCGACCCGGACGTGGGACATCTGCTACCCTTCCCTACGGACACATTCGAGATGTTTGATAAATGTAAGGATGGATTGGTGCTTGCCAAGTTGATTAACGACAGTGTCCCCGATACTATCGATGAGCGAGTACTCAACAGGTCAGGAAAGAAGATCAAGACATTGAATGCGTTCCACATGACGGAGAACAACAACATTGTTATCGAGTCGGCAAAGGGCATTGGTTGTTCGGTTGTCAACATTGGTAGCGGAGATATCATTGAAGTCCGCGAGCATCTGATCCTGGGATTGATCTGGCAGGTTATTCGGAGAGGTCTGCTTGGGAAAATCGATATCAAGCTACACCCGGAATTGTACAGACTACTTGAGGAAGATGAGACCCTTGAGCAGTTCCTGCGCCTGGCCCCCGAGCAGATTCTCTTGAGGTGGTTCAATTACCACCTGAAGGCAGCCAACTGGCCAAGAAGGTAGGCGTCCCATCTCCATGGATACAGTTGGTTAGGTTTAACGCTGATCAGGGTAACCAACTTTTCGACCGACATTAAGGATGGTGAGAACTACACTGTCCTCCTCAACCAGATCGCACCAGAGACATGCAGCCGCTCACCGCTCCAAACACGGGACCTGCTGCAGCGCGCAGAAGAAGTGCTGCAAAATGCCGACAGATTGGAGTGCCGCAAATTCCTTAGCCCGACATCTCTTGTTGCTGGAAACCCGAAGCTCAATCTCGCATTCGTCGCTAATCTCTTTAACACTCACCCAGCATTGGACCCCATTACTGAGGAGGAGAAGCTGCAAGTCGACGATTTCGATGCGGAAGGAGAGCGCGAGGCAAGAGTTTTCACTCTCTGGCTTAACAGTCTGGATGTCAACCCATCTGTCAACTCCCTCTTCGATGATCTACGAGACGGCACTGTTCTCCTGCAGGCGTATGACAAGGTTATCAAGGGTTCCGTGAACTGGAAGCACGTGAACAACGCTCCAGCCTCTGGGGCCGAGATCTCGCGATTCAAGGCCGTGGAGAACACAAACTACGCAATCGAGTTGGGTAAACAGAACAGGTTTTCGCTGGTCGGGATCCAGGGCGCAGATATCACAGACGGACAAAAAACCCTTACACTCGGACTTGTGTGGCAACTGATGCGGAAGGATATTTCCGAGACTCTGTCTGACCTGGCACAGCGCATGGGCAAGCGTGAGATCACTGACGCAGAGATGGTCAAGTGGGCCAACGATATGTCTCGCAAGGGTGGAAAGAGCTCCGCCATTCGTTCGTTCAAGGATTCTTCCATTGGCACTGGTACTTTCTTGCTTGATGTTCTGAACGGGATGAAGAGCAGCTACGTCGACTATGATTTGGTTACATCTGGCCGCACCGAGGATGAAGCGTACCTGAACGCCAAGCTGAGCATCAGTATCGCAAGAAAGCTTGGGGCTACCATCTGGTTGGTTCCCGAGGATATTTGCCAGATCCGCAGCAGATTGGTTGTTACATTCATTGGTAAGCAATATTCCTTCTTCTCTACTATGCGATATACTAATTTCCTCTAGGTTCCTTGATGGCAACGCACGACAAAATGTAAATTCTTACCACCAAGCATATTATAGTCAAATATTTTATGCTCTCGAGCCTACTTGCAATAAACAGTTTCATTAAAAAGAATATTTTCAACCTGTGCTTGCTCCAAGATTTGCCATTTTCGAAAATAGCATCGTCCTGAAACTCTTCCTATCCTCTGCCGTATCCCATAGTAAGATTCCCATAAAGTAGTTATCGATTGCTTCTGTGATATCTCACTATGTTATATATGCTATTGGCCAATACGAGGCATGATCACCAGCAAGGTTCATAGACGACGGGTCTTGGCAAGCAATAGTTGGGATTATTCATAATTTGCATTGTATTACGAATTTGAGTTAAACCATATGCTATAGAACCATTTTGAGAAAAGCGCCACCACTTATTCTCTGGCACCGAATACAGACTGTTTAGGAAACCACCAGTAATTACTCTGCAGTGTCCAGATCATCGTGGACTGGGGGAGGAGACTCTGTGGCCGCTGAGAAGTTAGCCATGAAACGATGCGCTTGTATGATGGAAATTACCATTTCTGTCGTTACCGTTAGTGCCATTCTCACGGATGTCATCACGTTCATCCTTCATCTCTCTATCCCTAGACACAATTATTAGCAGTTATTATTGGCCATTGGTAACAAATACGAACCTATCATCAGGGCTGCGGGATCTATCCCCACGGCGGTCATAATCACGCCTATCATCCTTGTTAGGAGAGTAGTCGCGGCCACGGCGAGGGGACGGAGAGCGGCGGCGAGGGGAGCGACGTCCACCTGGAGCACGCTCACGATCCCTGCCAGTATCAAAGCGCCAGGAAGCAGAAGGTGGAGTACGGGCCCACTAGTATAACGTTAGTCATGAGGTACTCTGGGTCAGGAGGTATGCTTGCCTCAATCTTCAGTAAATCATCCCGTCCAATGCGCTTATTGTGCAGCCCATGATAAGCGTCATCGGCATCACGGCGACTCTCATACTCGACAAAGGCAAACCTGCTTTTGTGTCAACCATATTAGAAGTGCGTACAGAATGAGAGACTAGATACTCACAGGCGGCTTGCTGCAGTTCGAGGAGCTGGAATGTCACACCGGACGAGACGCCCATAGCTGTAATATGCCTTGTCAGTACTGGAATTTCGCAAGGGACAGATGTTGATGAGTCCAATAAATGAGTAGGAGCTTGTAAAGGCCAAAGCTGTCGCGGTATGGACGCCTTCCCGTGCGGAAGGCCAGTATGGGGACCACTCCTGTGCCGTGATGCGACTGCTCGATCGGAGGAATGGGAAGATAGGGTTGAGCGGAGGCAGGACGTGAGGAAGCTGACAGCGAAGTCTCGAGGGAGGGTTGAGGACGAGGCAGGGGATCATCGGACTCGAGGCTGATCATCGAGTTTTCGACTTTTGTTGGTAGACGTACCGTTCGAACTCGTACGCAAGGTCTCTAGCCCTGGTTCCGTGGCCGAAGCCTGTCACGTAGAGGGTTGTTCCGCCGCCACGAGACATGTTGATGGATCTCGATGGTTGAGTGATCCGAGGTGGCCGTTGCTGGCTGAGTGAGTATTTTGTTCGGAAGGGTTAGAGCGGGCCAAGAGCCAATGCAAGCTCCCAGTGAGCACCCAAATAGAACCTCCCAATTTAAATTTAGCAGTCGAAGTTGTGTCGTTTATTGAGGTTGGATTGCAATATGCGCTCGTAGGAGCTTATGACGATTATGGGGAATGATGCGTTGGAAGGAGGGATTCGGTATGTTGACGGACGATAACACAAGTAAGCTATGGATAACGAGGCGGTGCCGCCCCATGCACTATCCGTTTGCAGCTGAAATTTGTCGCCTCAGGCATCAAAGAGCCAGAGTTGGCAGGCAGCCACGTGACTTTCCGTCGTTGGCAACAGGACGGCTCGGATGCACCTTGTTACGAAGATAATCCGGTCGTCGGCATTGTTGACTTCCTCAGCCTCTTCTAGCCGTGGACAGATGGTATTACTTGCTTCAGTCCAGAGTATCTCCACCCACGCCAAATCACACCCTCTCCACTCTAAGCTTCTGCGATGCGACTGACTTCGACTATACCTTACTGTAAACCACTCACGAAGCTCGACCTAGAACACCACAGGCTCATCAGCCTTGCTAAATAACGTCTACTTTCGCCGTGCCACTCTGGATGGCCCAGCATCTAGACCCTTCAAAAACCACCCTTCGACCCAGGATCATCGGAAATTTTACGAGGGCCCGACGCTTTCAGATCCACGCCGAAACCATTGGCCACCCTGCAACCTGGGATTAATGTTTTGGAAACCCAGCAGTGCTGCTCGAACTACGACCCGTGGAGTGATTGCTTAACCAATCGCCACGAGATGTCAGACGTATGTTCCTCATGCTCTCAGCCCTGCTACGGAATCCCTGCTAACGTCAACCGCAACAGCCAGCAGAGAGGGCGTTAAAGCCCAAACCGAGCCTCATGGTCCTACAGATGCAAGATTTCTTTTCGCAACCGGTAACCGCTGCGTTCTGCGCTGGAGGTGTTGCAGGTGCCGTCTCTCGAACTGTTGTCTCGCCGCTAGAGAGACTCAAGATCTTATACCAAATCCAGGGTGCTGGTCGTCAAGAATACACACAGTCGGTCACGAAGTCATTGGCTAGGATTTGGCGTGAGGAAGGATGGAAGGGGTTTATGAGGGGCAACGGAACAAACTGTGTCCGTATAGTGCCGTATTCTGCCGTGCAGTTTGGTAGCTACAACTTCTACAAGAAGGTACGGATGTCCTCCTATTGACTGCTACTCGCGACTCACTAACTGGCGAATAGTTCTTCGAGCCAACACCAGGTGCCGACCTCTCATCGTTCAGGCGATTAATATGCGGAGGAGCCGCTGGAATCACATCTGTTTTCTTTACATACCCACTTGATATTGTCCGCACCCGCCTTTCGATTCAGTCAGCTTCATTCGCCGCGCTTAGCAATGTTCACAAATCCAAGTTGCCTGGGATGTGGAGCACTATGGTTATGATGTATAAGACCGAAGGTGGCATTCTTGCTCTATACCGAGGCATCGTACCCACTGTTGCCGGTGTTGCACCCTATGTAAGTTCAAGCTTCAAAACTCTCAAGCCCCGTTATTGACTAGCTGCAGGTCGGCTTGAATTTTATGACTTATGAACTTGTACGGGAACGCTTTACACCAGAGGGTGATAAAAACCCCAGCGCCGTACGCAAGCTTGCCGCAGGCGCAATCTCGGGGGCCATTGCACAGACGTGCACATACCCATTGTAAGTTCAGCATTGACTCCTTCTTGTGGAAATCCTAATCTTTACCAGCGATGTCCTACGGCGACGCTTCCAGATCAACACCATGTCGGGGATGGGCTATCAGTACAACGGGGTATTCGACGCCGTGAAGGTAATTATCGTACAGGAGGGCGTCAAGGGATTATACAAGGGCATCGTCCCGAATCTACTCAAGGTTGCGCCCAGTATGGCGAGTAGCTGGCTCAGCTTCGAGATGACGAGAGACTTCTTGGTAGGTCTGAACACTGATGTTTCAGATATCTGAATGGTTGGGGGGGGTTGTGGTGGCATCGTGAAGCTGCTGGTGGTGGTCATTCGTCACATAGAAAGCGGTATACAAATAGACGACGGGATTTTATAGATGACTTGTACAAAGCCATATTTGATATAGAACTATATACAGTAATAGAACAGATTATATGTACTGTTTTGGTAGAGAAACAAGAATCGGCAGAGAGTAGAGGAGGAGAGGCCCGTGAGGCGGGTTTGACATGCCGGCAGGGGTTGGCAGCTAGCGGCGCTAGCGCATTTCTTTGTGTTTTCATGCCTAAGGCACCTCAGCTTTTTCGGTTAGGTTTTCCGCGCGCGCACATTCTCAATTTCTCCCAGCGAATTTGTTCGACAGCATCACCAACCCGACGACAACGACCAGTTTCGACAAACCGCAAAGATGGGTATGTTACCAATCTTCGCCTTCGTATGCAAGTGAGGATCATGAAGTTGTCAAGAAATGGAACCCTCCAGTTTCGCCGCAAGGTGTCTCTGGGGGAGGGAACTTTCTTCTCGACCTGATCTTTGCGAAGTACTTTTTCGAGTCGCAAGACCGGATCTTACAAAGAGCATATTGAACATAGGCTGATGGGAGGTTTTTCTAATAGGTATCGATCTCGACGCACACCATGTCCGCAGCACGCACCGCAAGGCGCCCAAGTCTGACAACGTCTACTTGAAGCTGCTCGTCAAGCTCTACCGCTTCTTGGCCCGTAAGTCCAACTCTCCGCCCATCATCCCAAAGAACAACAGAGAGGAGAAGGATCAGCAAGCTAACAACACCACGGCACAACAGGCCGCACCGAGTCCTCCTTCAACAAGGTCGTCCTCCGCCGCCTCTTCATGTCCCGCATCAACCGCCCCCCCGTGTCTCTCTCCAGGATCGTCGCCAACGTCTCCGAGAAGTCCAACAACAAGACCGTCGTCATCATCGGCACCGTCACCGACGACAACCGTCTCCTGACCGTCCCCAAGCTCAGCGTCGCGGCCCTCCGCTTCACCGCCACTGCCCGCGCCCGCATCTTGGCCGCCGGTGGTGAGATCCTCACCCTGGATCAGCTTGCTCTCCGCGCTCCTACCGGAAGCAACACCCTCCTCCTCCGTGGACCCAAGAACGCACGTGAGGCTGTTAAGCACTTCGGCATGGGTCCCCACAAGCACAAGGTACGTTTTTCCCGTTCTCGTGACAGGCAGGTGGGGTTTGGGGAATATTTACTCACGCATCCCCGCAGAAACCTAAGGTCGAGTCCAAGGGCCGCAAGTTCGAGAAGGCTCGTGGACGTCGTGCGTCGAGAGGTTTCAAGGTCTAAGCGCGTCTTTTCTGACGACGTTGGACTTGAGGCTGGTGGTGGGGGGGGGTTACGGGCTGGGATTGGCGTGGGGGATTGCACTCTGGCGTCAATAGTTTGTGTCCGAGGGGTAGGAACAACCCTTCTTGCTTTTTGCTTGATGGGGCGAGTAGAAATGAAAATGAAAACTACAAGCTTACCTTTATTACTGCTTATGTCTGGTTATTGGTGTGATTTGTGAGCTGTTGTAATTGTAATCTACTCGTTGAAATCCATACCAAATTCTTCAAGAACTCTTGTTGTAAAAATCGCATGTTGGAACCTTACAGATAAGGCACCCATACATATCGATGCCCATCTCCAATCCATCCATCTACCCAAATTTATTAACCCGCACACATCCGCATCACCACCAGCACCTCCTCCATCTCTACCCACACCCCAACAGTTCTCCAATCCTTACGATAGCTAGCCACAAGCTGCACGAAACCCCACCTCACCACCTCACCACCTCACCACCTCACCACCTCACCACCTCACCACCTCACCACCTCACCACCTCACCACCTCACCACCTCACCACCTCACCACCTCACCACCTCACCACACACAAACCGCCAAAATGCCCTTAACAACAACAACAACCTTTGAATCCCTACCTTGTTCGTCCCCCCCCCCTCCCCACCTCCAATCTAACAGTCGAAAAAACAGACATAGACCCCCCCCCCCCCCCACCGCCCTCACCAGCGCCCGCGAATTAATATCCTCCTCCCTCCCCATACCTCTCCCAACCCACCCACGTCTCCCCCCCTGCCCCTTACTAAACGGCTTCGACCCCTCCTCCCGCGCTCCGAAGAAGCTAAAAGCGATTAACACGACCCCCTACGAATCTCTCGATACGCCCTCTCCAGACACCTCGGTGGAAGCGATCGAAAACGCCCTGAGACTCTCGGGGATAACTTGTACGTATCTTCGACTCCGGGTGCGGCGGCTGCAAAACCTCGAGAATGGTGCAAAAGCAAAGGAGGAGTGGCTTGCTGCAAACTCGCACACTGCGGGGGTGTTGCGGGGTGTGGAGAAGGAGCTGGCAGAGGAGAAGGAGGCCATCGACCTGGTCGTCGCGGAGAGGAGGGATACGCAGGACCGTGTTGCGGCGGAGTTGCAGGTTCTTGAATGCTCATGGAGAGCGGGTGTGGCGAGGGTGTTGGAGACTGCCGTGGCGGCTGAGGGGTTGAGGAGGGAGAGGCTTGCGGTTGAGGGGGCGTAGAGGCGCGAAGATGGGGGGTGTTGGCGCTGGGGTTGAGGGGGGTGTTGGGGGTTGCGGGTTGCGCGCTGGGGTTTGGGCGTTTTCTGGGAGGGGATGGCGTCGATGAGGGGATTGGGGTTTTGGTGAGGGGGGGGGATAATACACGTGCTGGCGCTGGTTGATACATGGGAGTGCTGTATATCATGAGATGTCAGGTGGAGATATGGAGGATTCCCTCCGGAGGGGTGTCCAAATATAAAAAGACACATAACACACACACACACACAACCTGATCACAGATACTTGGAACGGAGTGTAAATGTAACATAATCAATTAACCTCTCGAAATCTCGCTCCTCTATGCCTCTCTGCCTTCTCATCTTCACCCCACCTCATCCTCTTCCCCATCATCCTCTTCCCCATCATCCTTCCCCTCCCAGCCCATTTCTCTCCTTCCACACACTCACCCATCAAGAGTAGAGTATCCCCCATCTCACCCACAACACTCTCTGCACAGCACCGAAGCTACAGCGCTCTTTTCACCCCCCCCCCCCCCCCCAACGCCGTGTAAAAAAAAACACACCCCAGACCGCGGTGCCTCAAAAACAAAACAAAAACACACACACTTGCGACTCCCCCACCACCTCGTCCACCTCCCTACGTAACCAACGGATCCACCCTCTCAACCCCCTCAACCCCCTCATATCTCTCCCTCCTCATAATCCCCTCCACCGGCCCCAGAAGGCGTTGAAACCCATCCTTCCCCAGCGTCGCCACCTTGACATCCGTGTCGCACACCACACTCGCCGCGCGGGGCGCTTTATTCAGGAGGGCTAGTTCGCCAAAGTAGTCGCCCTTGCGGTAATTCTTGACGGGCTTCTCGACGCCCGTTTTGTATGCGCTCGCCTGGCCGTCTTCGAGTAAATAAAAGGCTTCTCCGTCGTCGCCTTCCTTGATGATCGTGGAGCCGGCGGAGTACTTGCAGGACTCGAGGGCGTCGGCGATTTTGGAGCGCTCGTAGTCGTTGAGGGAGGAGAGGAGGGGGACTTCCGCGAGGAACTTCTCGTACATCCGGCGCCGGGTGAAGGTGTAGTCCATTAGGATCCGGCGGAAGGTGACCCGATCAAGCGCCCAGAGCACGCAGTCGTTGGTGGCGGAGATGACGGTTGCGTTGCGGGGGGCGCCGTACATCAGGGCTAGCTCGCCGAAGGTGCCGCCGACGGTTATGGTTGCGACTTTTGTGCCGAGGCCGGAGGGGCCGGGTTGGAGACTGCCGCTGGGGTGGATGTAGATGTCGAAGGAGCCGGATTCGACGATGTAGAAGTAATCGCCTTGGTCGCCTTGGGAGATTACCTGGTTGGGGTTGTCAGGACATACTTTCAGACTACGGTGCTGGGGAAGGAAAGGTGAGGGGGGGAGGTAAAGTGAAACTCACCTTAATATTCCTAGCCGGAATCGGCTTCTCCACCAACGCCCCAATAATCATGCGACTCTGCTCATCATCCAGCGCCCTAAACAGCGTATGCGCCCCAATGGCCGACTTCAGCCTCTTCAACTGCTCCTCCGTCTTCGGATAGAACGGCGGCGTCCACTTATCGCTCGCCGAGTCGGTGGGGTTCATCGACTCCGCTGACACCGAGGTGCGGCGACCCATCCCGTAATTCGAGGGGAAGCCGTCGGAGGAGGGCTTGAAGGAGGAAGGGGCCCCGTCACTGGTGCCGTTGCTGCCGAAGGGGTCCGGCGAGGTCTTGGAGCTTGGGAAGGTGCCGGTGGTGGGGGAGGCGACGGCGTCGCCCTCTTCTTCTTCTTCGACGACTTGGTTGATGGGGCGCGTGGGGAGGGTCTCGGTGCCTGCCTTTGGCGGCTCGTGGGCGTCGCTGAAGGGGTTCGAGCCGTGGCGGCCGGGGAAGGTGTGGCCTGGCATCTTGTCGCTAGTTCTTGGGGTGTGTGTGGGTTTGTGGTAGTTAAAGGGCGAGGTGGTTTCCCTTTAAATAAGGCCCAGTGGTGGTGGTTCAATGGGGCCGGGTTCGTTTGGAATGTTCTCGAAAAAGTACAGATCCTCAGGTGGCAGGTGGCCTTGAGGGTGCTCTTTTTTTTTGGGGGGGAGGGTTGTTTGTGGAAGGGGGGTTGATGGGGAGAGGGGAGAGGGGAGAGGGGTGAGGGGTGAGGGAGAGGGGTGAGGGGTGAGGTGTGCCGATCTTGCGACTTGAGCGTAATTGCGAGGTCTTAGAAAGGCGTGTGGGTGTTCGTGAGGAAGTGACACAGAGGTGTGAGTAGAGTGGACTGCTGTTGTCGACTGGGGGTTTGTGTTGGTGAGGACTGGTTTTTTTTTTTAATGAACGGTTGTTGTCTGATTCTGAGGGGGGGGGAGAGGGTTAGCTATGGCAAACAAATGACGTGTGGGACAGGAAGCTAGCTAAGTAGGTAGGTAGCAAGCATGAACGAACGAACGCACATCTGTGTGGACTTATTGTCTCGGTGTCACAGTTCGGATTCCGGCAGTTAATCGGTCGGTCAGTGTGCATACGACAGTAGGAACAAAGATTGTTGGTTTATTGGAGTTGTGTTTGGGGAGTTATTTTGATGATTCTCGATGGTTTTTGATGGTTTTTGTGTAGAGTTTGAAGGATAGTTGGTGGGTGGGTTGTGTGTGGGTGGCGTAGTAGGAGTTGGTTAGTGGTTGGTTAGTGGTTGGTTAGTGGTTGGTTAGTGGTTGGTTAGTAGTTAGTTGGTTGTTAGTTGATTGTTAGTTGCTTGTTAGTTGGTTGGTTGGATGGAAGAGAGAGGATGAGTTCACCAGTAGAGAGATAGTAGAGGGGGTTGTTTGGTTTGTTTGGGTTGTTTGGGTTGTTTGGGTTGTTTGGGTTGTTTGGGTTGTTTGGGTTGTTTGGGTTGTTTGGGTTGTTTGGGTTGTTTGGGTTGTTTGGGTTGTTTGGGTTGTTTTGGTTTGTATGGGTGAGCGTGGGGGGGGAGGTGATGATTTTGGGGATTGGTGGGTGGTGGGTGGTGGTGGTGGTGGGTTGGGTGGTGGGTCTGGGTGGTGGTCTGGGTGGTGGTGGGCTGGGTGGGCTGGGTGGGCTGGGTGGGCTGGGTGGGCTGGGTGGGCTGGGTGGGCTGGGTGGGCTGGGTGGGCTGGGTGGGCTGGGGGTGGTGGTGGTGGGCTGGGTGGGCTGGGTGGGCTGGGGGTGGTGGGCGGCTGGGTGGGCTGGGCTGTGGGCTGTGGGCTGTGGGCTGGGTGGGTGGTGGGCTGTGGGCTAGGTGGTGGGCGGCTGGGTGGGTGGGCTGGTGGTGGTTGGGCGTGCTTCCAGAAGCATAATGGAAACGACGGATGTGAATTAGACACCATACCATTACGGCACACAGACCACTAGATGGTCTTTTGCTAGGTACAGAAGGGTAGCGGGGGTATGGTCTGTGCTTGGGGGTGTAACTATAGCTTGGATACAAGTAGAGGGGTAGGGTAGTAGTAGAGTAGTAGAGTAGTCGAGTAGTAGAGTAGTAGAGTAGTCGAGTAGTAGAGTAGTAGAGTAGTAGAGTAGTAGAGTAGTAGAGTAGTAGAGTAGTAGAGTAGTAGAGTAGTAGAGTAGTAGAGTAGTAGAGTAGAGTAGGGTAGTACGGAGTAGAGCAGTGCGGAGTAGAGTAGTCGAGTAGTAGAGTAGTCGAGTAGTACAGTAGTAGAGTAGAGTAGAGTAGAGTAGTACAGTAGTAGAGTAGTAGACTACAGTAGTCTATGCTCTATGATGTATGGTGATAGTAGTTGGCCACTCATACAAGAGATTCCTTTGGTGGAATCTCTTGTATGAGTAGAGTAATAGTGGCCAACTACTAGAAGGCAAGGCCTCTAGAACGAGAGAGCTGATGTGTTTAATATACATTGCCACTATCTCACCCCGTCGCTCAACCACGCGTACAACATCGGTGTGAGACAGAAACATGGTACATGCACGATACCCCTCATCACGCCCTCTATCGCGCCTTATCAGAAGTACTGCGCCGTAGACTCACCCTCCCTCTGCTTCATCTCTTGCTATTGCCACCTGCTGCTACAATTTATAGAGAGGACGCCGTACTGTGCTGCCTATACTCGTTCTAGTGATGCTCTTTCTAGTGTAGTGATGCTATTTCTAGTGATGCTCTTTCTAGTGATGCTCTTTCTAGTGATACCCTTTCTAGTGATGTTTTCTAGTGATACTCTTTCTAGTGATACCCTTTCTAGTGATGTTTTCTAGTGATACCCTTTCTAGTGATACCCTTCCTAGTGATGTTTTCTAGTGATACTCTTTCTAGTGATCCCTTTCTAGTGAGCCCAATCTACCCAACGCCACCCTGCTCTCCCAGCCTGCCCAGCCCATCACCCAGCCACCCACCCACCACTACTGTACCACCACCACCCGCCCACCCACCACCAACTACTACCAACACCAACAACACTTACCAACCTCTCCCATAAACCTCCCCATCCCTACAATTCATCCCTCCAGTTCATCCCTCCAATTCATCCCCAACCACAGCGATATCCATATCGCTCACCACAGAGCATCATCTATCCCCCCATCCTCACCATGGGAACCTTCGTTTTCGAGTGGTAAGCCCTCCCTGCCTTCCCGCTGCTCCCCCCCCGAGGGTCGCGACAGCTTCGTTTGCTTCGCTCCCGAATTCGCCACCCGCAGAAAGAAAGGAACTTCCGCAGCTTCCCAGCTACATTAGCTCTCAAGGTGCTCAATTTCTAACTCAATTCTCTGCATAGGGAGCACCCGGCATCCGAGGTCATTGTCACAGGCACCTTCGACAACTGGGCCCAGACAGAGAAGCTACACAAGAAGGGCGACATTTTCGAGAAGGAGGTTACGCTGCCCAGCGCGGCCGAGAAGATATACTACAAGGTGAGAAAAGCGCAGTTCCAGCTCTTTGCGACACATCATGCACAAAAACAACCCAACAAGAGATCGCGCCTCTGCTTCAAGTGGTTTTTGAAAGCTGCGGGATCGCAACAGTCCTACATACTACGGGTCCGGTCGGCAAAGCTGGCACAAGCTTACAAACCGGGAACCGCGCAAGTACTGTACTCTGTACGTATGCAATTGTACATACATACAATACAGCCTTCTTCACGGAAGTACGGTGGCTAAGAAGTATTTGCGCACACGCATGCCGGCCGCCTTGGTGCGCGAACAAGGGCCTTTGTCTCGGCGTTTTGGCGCAAACTACATACTCTAGTGTGTATGTATGACGTATCCCCCAGGGCGTGCGATGCCCAGAATGCCCCCAATAACAAGCAGCGGGGTCCAAAGAAGACAGCTCTGGCGAATTTCCGTCCTGACAAATCCGATGATCGCGATCGCATTTGGCTACCGCCATACTGGTGGGTCCAAGTTCGGTCCAAGTCCGTCCGGTCAGCTGGCTGTGAGGGCGATGCGCCTGCCTGCTGAGGGTGCAACCGAAGCCAACCAAGGCGTCATGATGCAGGCAATCCTCCAGTGGATCGCCTAATGATCCCTTAGCTCCCATTGACCACCTCGACCCCTCATTCTTACTGTACCCTTATCCTCCTCCTCGCCCTACCCACCATTGTCTCTCACCAAAAGCACTCATTGACTCACTCATTGCTGCGCGAGAATCACAAATACTGACATTTCTACCTCGTATAGTTCTTAGTCGACGGCAACTGGGTGATCGACCACACAGCGCCGCAAGAGAAAGATAGCCTGGGCAACCTCAACAACTACCTCACCACAGACCGCATCAAGACACACACTCATACTCCCGCCGCAACCGCAATCATGTCCGGCGTCGCTCCCAACTCCACCACCGCCGCCCTGGCAAAGGACGTGCCAAAAGAGAACGGCAGCTCCACCGCCCTCCCCGGCGCCTTCCCCGAAACCCCCGCCACGGAACCAGAGAGCTTCTCCGTGAACCCCATCCCCGCCTCCGCCGGCAACGGCAACCCCATCACACTCGCGCCCGGTGAGGCCGTCCCCCACCCAAGCACCATCAACGCCAACACCATCGCCTCCGGCGTGCACGATGACGAGGAGCTCAAGGCAGCCGACTTGGCCAAGGAGCCAACTTACAGCGTGAACCCCATCCCCGCCACTGCTGGCGGCGGTAACCCCATCACCCTCGCCCCCGGCGAGCCCGTTCCCCACCCAAGCACGATCACCGGGAACACCATCGCCTCGACCATCAGGACGGACAAGGAGTCCTACGAGAAGAGCGGTGGTCTCGGAACCGCGCCCTTCCAGCCTCCAGTCGTTACCCACGAGGCCGAGCGCGATGCCAAGGGAACCGGTGTCCTAGACCTCCCGTCCACCTCTAAGGGTGGACTTATCCCCGAATCCAGCCTAGCAATGGGCGAGGGCGGCGCAGGAAACTACGACGCCTGCCCAACCATCCAATCCGTCGGCCCCGGCGCCACCACTGCTGCCTTAGCCGGCGCCGTGCCCCTCGAGAAGAACATCAAGGGCAAAGACACCGCGACCATCCAATCCGTCGGACCCTCCGCCACAACCGCTGCGCTCGCCGGCACCGTCCCCCTCGAGACGAAAGAAAGCAGCGTCCCTGACGTCGTCAAGGAGAGCCAGGAAGCTGCTAACTTCCCTCCCGAAGCGAGCGCCGTCCCAGAGGAGGTCGAGGAGAAGAAGGAGGTTGAGCGCGAACTCCTTTCCGGCGTCCCGCTCGCGCCTGTCACCTCGGATGATACCACCAAGGAGGCGCACGACGCCAAGTTCGGCGCTGCGGGCGCCGCGGCCGCTGTCGGTGCTGCTGTGGTAGCTGTTGGCGGCGCGGCATTCGCGGTGGGGTCCGCGGCGAAGGATAAGGTCAGCGAGGTTGTCGCGAATGGGCCTAGCCCGAGCCAGGTCTCGAAATCGACCCCGATCGCTGACTCCATCCGCGAGTCTATCTCCAGCATCAACGAGACCGCCAAGCGCCAGTCCGTAGCTGGTATCCCAGCCGCCTCGGACGCCGTGCCAGCGCCAGTGCGCGAGTCGATAAGCGCGGCGCATGAGAGTCCCGAGGCTGCCGCGTACCAGGTTCCAGTGAAGGAGAAGAAGGAGGTTGAGGGCGAGCTGCTGAGGGAGGTGCCGACGGATATGTCGAAGGGGGAGTCTGCGCCGTCGTCGGCTGCTGGGGGGGCTGTCGCTACCGCGGCGCCGGCTATCGCTGCACCCGCGGTTGTGGCGGCGGCGAGGGAGGAGGTGGTAGTCAGGGAGGCGTCGCTGCCGAAGGAGTCGGTGGTTAGTGATTTGAGTGGTATCTCGCCTGGGACGATTCAGCCAGTTGAGAAGCAGACGAGCCCTGTAGTTACCACTGGTGTAGCAAGCGGTGTTGTCCCGGCGACGTCGATCGGCGCGGCGCCAGCGACGCCGGCGAAGGATTCTACGGCTGGGGTGGCGGCGACGAAGGCTGCTGCTGCTGCTTCGCCGAGGGAGTCGCCGAGTGGGAGCCCTAGTGCGGCGTTGGCGAAGGAGGCGCAGCAGAAGAAGAGGAGGAGCTTTTTTGGGAAGTTGAAGGATAAGTTGAAGGATTTGTAGATTGGTGGCTGTGGATGGTTGCTGGTTGGCTATAAGGCAATGGGTGATTGGAGGAGATGGGGGAGGGGGGTGGTTGTATAATAATCGGATTCCCATAGGGGAAGAGAGAGGGTCGTTGAATTGGATCAGGCGGTCGTCGTTTTTTTGCTCGTTAGGCTCTTAGGCTCGCTCATTCTTCAGGGTTTTTTATCTCATTATTTTGGTAGTCTCTTGTCATCTGTGCTGGTCTCCTTTTTTGCTCCCCTGTGCGTGTGCTTTTTTTATCATAGATCATTATACTACCATCTCAGGTTTCTTCAAATCGGTCTCGGCTTTTAGGTCTGCGACGACTTGTTCGTAGTCTTGGATATTCAGTGACCCAGCAGGCCAGAGGAGGAGGGCTTGGATGCTCGTGCGATGTTCCCCCTTAGACCCTTCTCCCTCTTCGCGTTTCCCCCTCCGGCCTCCTCTCCGACTCCCTCTTTCTCCTCGTCCTGCAGGCGGAGGTGGAACGGCGGCGGAGGGAGGGGATTGTGAAGTGATGTACCCGATGACGTTCACCCATTCCCCGATGCTGGTTTGGGGGGGCGAGGAGGAGGAGAGGAGGAGGGTTAGGTCGATGAGTGCTGCGTGGTGGTGGATGGCGGCGGTGGGGGAGGAAGGGGAGGGGGGGTGGGGGGGGTGAAGAGTTAGGAGGGCGGTGGTGGTGTTGTAGTGTGTTATACTGTGGGGGGTTAGCTTTTTGAAATTTGAGTTGGATAGCAAAAATAGAAGCGTAGAGAAAGTTTATATCTCTTCATCTCTTCCTTTATGGCGTAGAGCGTATATAATAAAGAGAAATGGGGCGTTCGAGATATATAAATTCAGCGAAATAAATTGAATAAATCCAAACTCACCACCCGAGCACCCTAACCTTCTCACCCACCCCCCTCTCCTTTAGATCAGAAAGCGCACATAACCGCGCAGGAGGCGGTCCCGAATTCGCCATCTTCTCTTCGTCGCTTCTTTCTCACAATCGTATAGATTCCTTCCCAAACTGGCAAAGAGTAAAGTCAAGGTTGTAAGGTTCTAAAGCGGTGTCCTAGATCACATGACTGCCACGCAGCACGCGGAACCGGAGTGGCGCTAACTAACCTGTCCCTAGCGGCGCCATCGTCATCCAAGCAGCACCTCCATCTTATATATCAATCTTAGAAAACGGGCTTTTGCTTGCGATAACGAAGACACAGTCTTGGTACCTCTCTCGATACTCGGGGATTTATTTATACTGGTGTCTTACGACGATACTGAGGAGACGAAGAAGGATTTTTACAAAGGGAAGAGGGTTGAGGCAGAAGTGGTACCCCGCCATACACCACCCGTCGTCGCCACAAGGCACACCCACGAACACGCCGGCCACACTCCATTTCGAAGCCTTTCCCTCCGCTATAACCACCTCCATCACCTCCACCTCCACCTCCCCCTCTCCACCCACCACGACACAGCAGACCAGCTTGACGAAGCAGGATGTCAGGCATGTGGGGCTGGTTCGGCGGGCAGAGCGCGCAGAGCCGCAAGGACACGCCCAAGAATGCGATTCTAGGACTGAGGTCGCAGCTCGAGATGTTGCAGAAGAGGGAGAGGCATTTGCAGACGCAGATGGATGAGCAGGATGGGATTGCGAGGAGGAGTATTGCTACTAATAAGAATGGTGAGTTTGATTCTGTCTTCTACTTGGTGGTCTTGTCTTGTACCAGTCGCCTAGGTCGATCCCTGGATGATGTGGTGGTTGTGGGAGGTGTGTGGTGGGATGGTTAGGGTGGTTAGGGTGGTTGGGATGACTGGGATGATAGGGAAAAGTGGATTGTGAAGAGGATGCTAATAGACTGCAGCGGCACGAGCAGCGCTGAAGCGCAAGAAGCAGCATGAACACACGCTCGACCAGACCCTAGCGCAGATCTCGACGCTGGAGCAGCAGATCTACTCGATTGAGGCGGCGAATATCAATCGTGAGACGCTGGCGGCGATGGAGAGGGCTGGGCAGGCTATGAAGCAGATTCATGGGAAGTTGAATATCGATGTTGTGGATCAGACCATGTATGTTTTAACCCCCTAGGCTCTATCCCCAGCCTATCCTTGGATTTGGATTTGGATATATGGGATACGAGATTGGAGACTGGGTACTGACAAACGCATAGGGAGGACCTTAGGGAACAGCACGCGCTGGGCGAGGAGATCGCGAATGCTATCACGAATACCCCGCTTGGCGAGACGATTGATGAGTCGGAGCTGGATGATGAGTTGGCGGAGATGGAGCAGGAGCAGCTGGATGATAAGATGCTGAAGACGGGGACGGTGCCGGTGTCGGATGAGATTCATAGGTTGCCTGCAGCGGTGAATGGAGAGCGTACGTACCCCCCGCATTTTCCACCCTCGCCTTCTCTCCAGGGAGTCCAAGTTGGGAGTTTGAGACTTGAGATGAACAGTGGCTAACGCACCCCATAGTGAAGAACAAGCAGCCCGCCCGCCAAGAGGAAGACGATGAGGAAGAGGAGCTGAGGAAACTGCAGGCGGAGATGGCGATGTAGGGACTGGTCCTGTGAAGTTTGAGAGTTTCCAATACAATACGAGTACTACTACTACACACCCACGGTACACAGTACACACCCACACACAGGCACGAGAAGGCGGAGGGTGGTTTTTTTTGAACGTTTCTATTTTATATTATTGATTCCGCGTGTGCATTGCACTGGGAGGGAGGCTGCTGTTTTTCGAGAAGAGGGTGGTTGGATCATGGACTGAGTCCGTGACAGAGTTTGGGGGGGGGGATCGTTCTTTGCGGGGGTTTTGTGTCAGATGGAGTTGTGCTTTTTGGTGGGGGTTTAGTTTGGCCTGGGTGGCTTATACATTTCGATACCGTGAGGGGAGGGGTAAGGGGAGGGGTGAGGGGAGGATGAGGGGAGGGGTGACCTCGGGGAGGGTGGCTTAAGGTTAGCATGTTGGGATAGTTAAACGTTATGATCTAGCTTGATGGTGCTGTGTGAGATGTGTGGTAAGTGTATCACGTGTGATGTCTGTTGTCTGTGGGGATGCCTGTGGTGGGGGATATCTGTGGTGGATGTTGTGGGGGATATCGGATATCTTTGAGCGGGGGGGGGAGGGAGAAAGAGGGGAGGACTTGAGTACGAAGTAAAGGGAAGGCGGAAAGATACGGAAAGAAGCATCAAGTTGTCAGACGCCCTGCTTGCCCAGCTGGTATATGTATGCTGATCTCTTTCTCTACCGCCGCTAGTTACAGTATAACGGTACATGGGAATAACTACAGTGTGTACTCGTGTGTTTGTTGAGAAGTTGGTGAGCGGCCGCGGGGAGCTGTGTGTTCGCTGCCGATTCGATTCGATCCGATCCGATCCGAAGATAGAAGATAGAAGATAGAAGGGAATATATGGTTTTGTCAGTATATATGCACAGTATACATCCACGCACAGTACGCCTCGTCCGTTTCGTTGCAGCTAAGATAATCCGAGGCGAACCACGTCGACCACCCCAATTCCAACCATCTCTCTCTCCTGCACTTCCACTCTATAACACACACAGTCCGGTCCGGTACAACCCTGCTGTCTCAATCGTCCAATCCAGGAACAAGACATGGAATGAAAACATCTTATTCTCCAGTTTATCTATCTCTACCCAACCAACGGGCATTGAGCACAAACGCAACCATGCGCCGTGCACGCCCCATCCCATCCCGTGCGATGCACTCCCAATGGCCTCAACTGCAGTCAGTGCCACAGTTCGGGCTGGAGCATGCCCAAACGCTTTCCGGCTTAACGCGCAGGTTGGGCACCGGCGCGGAAAAAAAACCATATGTCGCCATGACAGAGGGAGGGAGGGAGGGACTCTCAATAGTCCTACCAAGCTGTCGACGTGGCCCAATGGGTCCGCTTCGTCCAATCGAAGTCAGGCACGATTATCAACAGATTGATCTCCAGATTACCAAGGTAAGACCTGGCTACTTGCGTCCTTTAGACCCTACAAGTCCCTCAACCTCCCCTTTGATCTCGAGCAAGCTACATTACCCTACACTCCCCTCTATCGTTCCACGTTTCTGCTCTCTCAGTGCCACACCCACCGCTGGCACACGCCCAATGTTACCCGACCCTTTTCATTGACCTACACAGCATCCACGCATCCGTGTGGTGCAGCAACGCATTCCTGAGTGGCACACTGAAGGGCAGGCCGAGCGCATGGAAATAAAAGCATAGGCTTCGTACCTATTTGCTCTCGGTTACACTAGGTAACTTCAAGCACAAGTCTGATCTCTCTCCACTTCCAGTATGGAAATTTCATTCTGTCCTTATAGGACTCAGTTCAGCCCTTCTAAAGTGCTCTACACTGCAGTAAGCCAGCCGATCACCTTCAAGAGCAACGCCGACGATCTTGAGCTTTTGGAAGCTGCGAGAGAGAAGGAAGAACGAGAGCTCGAGCAGGAAAGACGTGAGTTGCCATCGACTACGAAGATATAACACACTCTGACACAGCACCGACCCCCCAGAAGAACAACAACAAGGAGACCCTCCAGAACCTCACGAGGAGGAACAACACGCCCCCCCAGAAGCCGCAGAAGAGACAATCCTAGTCAAACCTGAAGACATCATCGAGGAACCCTCAAGCCAACCAACTGAGGACCAACAGCCACCATCATCACCCGACCCGAAACCGTCAAACTCGGCCATCTCATCACATTCCCACAAGGGAAACAGCAACGCCAAGAAGAAGAAGGAGAAGACCGTCTCCTGGTTCGGCGCTCCGATGGCGAATAAGAAGAGTAAGAAGAAGGCGGCGGCTGCGAAGAAGCAGAAGTTGTTGTTGGGTGATGCTTCGGATAATGAAGGCGCGCCGACTGCTACTGCTCTGGAAGATGGCGTTGAGGAGAGTGGTGGAGCAACGGAGGAGGCAGCTGGTGATCCTCCAGCTGATGAAGCTCCCGCTAAGGCAGCCGCTCCTGTCGAGGAAGCAGCACCACCAGCAGAAGACCCAGCTCCTGTCGAAGCAGCCGCTCCTGTTGAAGAGGCACCAGCAGCAGAAGAACCAGCTCCAGCCGAAGCAACCCCTGCCGAAGAAGCATCTACCCCCGCCGAAGAAGCCACACCAGAGCCCGCCCCCGACCCCGCTCCCACCTCGGAGTCCGCACCCGTAAGTGACGACGCCAACCCGACCGAAGACGCACCGCCCGCACCAGCCGACGAGACGCCCTCGGGAGAAAATGCTGACGATAACCAACCCGCTCCCGCAGCAGCAGAAGATGAGAAGCCCGCTGAGGGACAAGAAGAACCCGCGAAGAGCGATGAGCCTGTCGCTGGCGATGAGAAGGAGGAGGCAGCTCCCGCTGATGACGAGGGCGGGGTTGTTCCTGCTGAATCAGTAGCGGTTGAGGCTGAGGCTGATAAGCCTAATGAGGCTGCCGTTGAAGAAGCAGCTCCGGCCGAGGAAGCACCTGCCGCAGAGGCACCTGCTGAAGAGGCCGCCCCAGTCGAAGAGGCCACCCCAGCCGAAGAAACGCCAGCTGAGGAAGCACCAGCTGCAGAAGCTCCTGCTGAAGAAAAGCCAGCTGAAGCAGAAGCGCCTGCCGGTGAAGAAACGCCCGCCGACGAAGCACCAGCTGCAGCGGCTCCCGCCGAAGAAAAGCCAGCTGAAGCAGAAGCGCCTGCCACTAAAGAGGCACCCGCCGAAGAAAAACCGGCTGAGGAAGCACCAGCTGAAGAAGACACCACCACCGAAGAAGCACCTGCTGAAGCAGAAGCAGCGCCAGCCGACGAAACACCAGCCGAAGCTGAAGCCCCTGCCGCTGAACAAACCCCAGTCGAACCAGCGCCCGTCGAAGAAACACCAGCTGCAGAAACGCCCGCCGAAGTAGAAGATCCCGTCGAAGAGCCCAAAGCTGAAGAAGCAGCGCCCGCTGAAGATGCACCCGCGGTAGAAGTACCAGCCAAGGAAGCACCTGCTAAAGAAGCGCCAAAGGACGAGGCACCAGCTGAAGCAGCACCAGCCGAGGAAGCACCTGCTGAAGAAGCGCCAAAGGACGAGGCACCAGCTGAAGATGCACCAGCTGAAGAGGCAGCCGCGGAAGTAGAAGCTCCTGCGGAAGAAGCTGCAGCGCCTACCGAAGAGGCTCCTGCTGATGAGCCCGCGACTAAAGAGGCTTCACCGGCTGAGGAGGCTGTAGTTGAAGAAGCAGCACCTGCTGAAGAAGCTCCTGCTGCAGAGGAAGCGCCAGCCGAAAAAGAGGCTCCTGCTGAGGAAGCCGCACCAGCTGAGGAAGCACCCCCCGAGGCGTCTCCTGCTGAGGAAGTTGCACCAGTCGAAGAGGCAGCCGTTGGCGAGAAAGAGGCGCTGGCTGAAGAAGCTCCTGCTGCAGAGGCACCCGCTGAAGAGGCTGCTCCAGTCGAAGCGGCCGCTCCGGCAGAGGAAGCTGCTACAGCCGAAGAAGCACCTGCCGAAAAAACCGCTGAAGTCGAGGAAGCCGCCCCAGTCGAAAAGGCAGCACCGACTGAGGAAGCTGCACCAGTTGAAGAAGCACCTGTTGCAGAGGCACCCGCTGAAGAGGCTGCTCCAGTCGAAGCGGCCGCTCCGGCAGAGGAAGCTGCTCCAGTCGAAGCGGCCGCTCCGGCAGAGGAAGCTGCTCCAGCTGAAGAAGAACCTGCCGAAGAGACCGCTGCAGTTGAGGAAGCTGCCCCAGTCGAAAAGGCAGCACCGACTGAGGAAGCTGCACCAGTTGAAGAAGCACCTGCTGCAGATGCACCCGCTGAAGAAGCCGCTCCAGCCAAAGAGGAATCTGCGCAAGCTGCACCAGCAGAGGAAGCTGCACCGGCCGAAGAAGCTGCACCAACTGCGGAAGCAGCGCCAGTCGAAGAGGCGGTGCCAGCCGAGGAGCCGGCGCTAGCTGAGGAAGCCGCCCCGGCAGAAGAAGCACCAGCTGAAGAGGCAGCACCAGCTGAAGAGGCAGCACCAGCTGAAGAGGCAGCACCAGCTGAAGAGGCAGCACCAGCTGAAGAGGCAGCACCAGTCGAAAAAGAAGCACCTGTAGAGGAGGCCGCCCCAGCTGAAGAAGCTGCTCCCGTCGATGAAGCAGCTCCCGCCGAGGAAGCACCCCCCGCAGAGGCGGCCCCTGAAGAGGCGGCACCAGCTGAGGAGGTTGCCCCAGCTGAAGAACCTGCCCCAGCTGAGGAAGCTGCTGTTGTTGAAAAGGCTGCGCCCGCCGAGGAAGCACCTCCTGCTGAAGAAGCCGCTCCCGCTGAGGAGGCTGCTGTTGTTGAGGAGGCAGCTCCCGCTGAGGAAGCTCCTCCAGCCGAAGAACCAGCTCCAGCAGAAGAACCAGCCCCCGAAGCGATAACAGACCGCGCCATCGTCGAAGAGCCAGAGTCCACCGAACCAGCCGGCGACGCCATCCCACCCCCCTCCTCCTCCAAGCGCCGCTCCATGCACCCCTCCTCCCACTCCTCCCGCCACCACCACTCCCGTTCCTCGCGCGACAAAGACCGCTCCCTCCCCCCTTTCTCCCCCGAAGCCCCCCCCCGCAAGCGCCGCGAGAGCGACGCGAGCATAACCCAGTTCTGGAAAGGGCTTCAGCCTAAACTACCCAAGCGCCATGATTCAGGGATGAGTATGGGGAATTGGGGGAAGGAGAAGGAGAGGGATCGAGAACGGGATCGAGAAGTGAAGAGGGAGCGTACGCCGGAGGAACAGGCTGCGCATGATGCGAGGAAGGCGGAACGACGCGCCAAACGCGCAGCTGAGCGCGAAGCTGCTGAGGCGGAAGAGAGGGCGCAAAGAGAGGCGGAGGAGGCGGCGGCGCTGAAAGAGGCGGAGGAAGTGGCGAGGGTGGAGAAGGAGAAGCGACGGGAGCGGCGCCGTTTGAGGGAGGAGAAGCGGAGGGCGGAGGAGGAGAAACTGCGCGTGAAGGAGGAGAAGAGGAAGGCTGATGAGGAGGCTGCAAGGGCGAGTCACAGGGAGAGGAGGAGACGGCATAGTACTACCAACCGGGGCGATGGAAAGAGCCGTGGCGTCGACGCAGCTGAGAAGCCGAATCTGATTAGCCTCAAGGGAGAAAGTGAGATTGGGCGTGAGAGGAAGGCGGAGAGCGAGATGGATCGCGAGATTAAGGGCGAGAGCGAGCTAGTGGGGGGAAGGAAGAAGGACGCCGCCTCTCCCGCTGACAGGCCGAAGAGCTCGCATCATGGGAGCGACCGATCGCGCAAGGTGCGGACGCCAGAAGAGCAGGAGGCGCATGATAAGCGGAAGGCGGAGAGGCGGGCGGAGCGCAGGGCGAGGGAGGAGAAGGAGGGGCGTGGTGGGAAGCCGGGGCCGGATGATGTGGCGAGGGAGGAGGAGAGGAGGAAGAGGCATGAGGGCCATAGGGAAGAGAGGCGGAAGAGGAGGGCGTCTACGCTGGATCAGGATGCGAAGGAGAAGATGCGCCAGGGGCCGATTAAAGGTTTGTTTAGGCGCTTGATTGGAGCTTAAGGGCTGGGTTCAAGGGGCGGATAAACAACGGTTCAGACCAACTTGGGATTTTATGCGATTATTTTGTTTTACGATATTGTTGATGGCTGTTTTTTTGGTTCTCTCTCTTTTTCGAAATGGCAACGCTCTTTTTTTGGTTTCTTGATACTCGGGACATGGATGGGACTGGACGACACGCGAGGAGGGAGAGGCTGTAATGGGGTGTGCATTTTGAAGTTCGCTCGCTTCTTCTGGTGTATAAACATTCGTGTATGGCATAGTGTTTTGGTCTGATACCGTGTTACGATTATACGATGTTACGATAGTTGGTCTCGTTGGGGATGGGCTCTATCCTGGGATACAGCTTGTTATCATTTGCAGTTTTCTATAAAATATGAATGGGTTCTCGAATAGTAAGTCTTACTCGATGCAAAAAGTGTGAAAATGTTGTCTGGTGTTATAAATGGCGGGCAAAGTGGTGTTACCCGGGTCGATATCGGGTCATATCCGTACCCAATGCATCAAATCAATACACATTTGGTGCCACTTGTCACCGCATCATCTATTGCATGTTCACAAGAGACTATTTAGACATTGTCATGCTTGTTTCACCAGCGAGGGGTAGGTCGACGGATAGACGGTCACACTCTAAGGGGACAATCGGCTCATGCCGACTAAGGAAATGGAATGTTTCAATTGACTCCATTGGTGTATATAACAATGCGCCTCCCTGGATGCCCTCTTTTGGTCCCCCGGTATTTTAACACACCCTGTACCTCATATGGCCATATCTCATTACTCGCCAACACACACACACTATCGTAAAAGGTCGCTCAAATAAGATGTTTCGACCTAGTCCCAGTTAGCAAAGTCATACGAGGCAACAATTTCACCAAATTCAATCCTCACCTGAAGTATGCCCGTAGATAGACAATCTGCCACGCTCCCAACGCCACGAGCATGCCGGCGGTGCCAAAGCCAAACCACTTAACGCGGTTGTTGGTGCTCTCATTCGTGTCCCTCAGCTTCTGCTCGCGGGTACGGAGATAGTCCATCTCGTTCACGATCTCCTGGACCATCTCTTCGATGCGGCGCAGCTCGGTCTCGACCGGCTTGAGCTTCTCCGTGGCCTGGATGGCAGACCAGTCCTTGGCGTCGGCTCCTATGTCAACATCGAGCTCGATCTTCCTGGTGTGTGGTTGGGGTGCAGTGTCTGGAGGGTTTCGTTAGAAATCATGGTCTCGGGCTCCGCGGGGGGCTTGGATGGCATACTAGAGTACAAGATATTCTCGAAGCAGACATCAAACGCCGAGTCCGCGAGCGAAGTAAACGCCATCCTCTTCTCGCCCGCAACGTCCTTCGCACGCGCGTACTCGTTCCCTACCGCATCCTTGATCTGCACCGATGTCAGCAACTGCCACTCCCCCATCCCTATCCCCCAGCCATACGCACATGAATGTTAACCTGCATTCCATCGCCCTTATGCCCACTAATCGTCGACGTGACCATAACCAGCGTGTTCCTGGAGACAAAGTTACGAATGCACCTCTCGCTCTTGGAATCATGCCTCTTCACAGCCATAAGGTCGAAGTGCAGCGCCTCAGCACAGGCGAGCAGCAGCGCGAGCCCGCACAGCACGCGCAGTATCGATTGGGGGTACGCCATGGTGAGTTGTCGTCGTTCGGGGGACTGTCGCATGGGCTTGGGGAAAGGGGATCCCGTCAGAGCTACGTGCCAGGAACTTTAAGCGACGTGGTTGGTTCACCCCTGTAGGCTGTCACGTGCGCAGTTTGTTCCCATTCCGCATCAAAGTTAACGTTCGCTCGACGCAAGGCTAAACTCAAACACCTCTTTGACCTCAGCAAAATCGAGAATTGAAGCTTCAGCAAAGCTCACCACAACGCCGCAAATATGCCGAAATGTAAGTTACTCCTGCACGATCCATGTATGGATGTCAACTAACCGCAAATTAGTCTTTTGTAAGCTCCTACACTCACCGCGCGAAGCTTGGAATCGTTTCGCCTCCATAACCTCATTCTAACCCTCCAGGCGACTACTGCGATGTTTACCTCACGCACGACTCCATGAGCGTGCGCAAAGCGCATAACACGGGCCGCAACCACCTGCGCAACGTCGTCGACTACTACCAACGTACGCCGTCCCCCCTGCCGGCCACTCCTCGCCCCCCAAACCTCCCAAACCCCCCTGCTAACTCCTACCTTCACAGAAATCGGCCACGAGAAAGCCCAATCAGTAATCGACTCCATCACCTCCTCCTACGCCGCCGAAGGACAATCAGCCTCAAACCCCATGCTCGCCCACCCCCCCGGAGGCCCTTCCTTCGGCGGGGCACCTCCGCCATTCGGCCGCGGCATGCCACCCACGCTCCCCAACGGCATGCCCGTTCCATTCCCTCCCCCCGGGGGCCTACCATTTCCTCCTCCCGGTGGACCCGGCGCTCTCCCCTTCCCACCACCCGGGGGTTTCCCAGCGGGCATGCCATTCCCCCCTCCTGGAGGACCGGGTGGGCTCCCCTTCCCGCCGCCGCCCGGAGGGTTTCCAGCGGGGATGCCGCCGTTGCCGCCGAATTTCCAGTTTCCGGCTGGGGGAGTGCCGCCGCCGGGAGGATTCCCAGGATTCCCACCGCCACAACAGGGTGGGGGGTTTCCGCCGCTGCTGCAGGGGGGTGGTAGTCAGGGACCGCCGGATCATCAGAGGGGAGGGGATCAGAGGGATGCGAGGTTGCAGGGACGGGATGCGTTTAGTGATCGGAGATAGATGAAGGGTTTTCGTGTGTGTAGCGTGGGAAATGGCGTTTTTTATGGTGCTGCTGGGATGGAGTTGGGGCGCGGGGTTTTGCTTATTGCGAAAAGCGTTGGGGGGGGGTTGAGGGAAGGTGAAGGGGAAGTGGTACTTGTATGGGATGCGGATGTGGACGATACTAGGCTGGGTGGGGGAAAACAGGTTTGAGTCAGCGTGGACACTCACTCTATGCCTTCTTGAGGTTGCAAGTAATGAAATGGCAGTTTCACAATGTACCCATGTATCCACGTTGTTTTGCACTTGTGATTTCGTTGTCCTGTCTCCGAATCTCTGCTACTTCTAGCATAACCTCTGCCCCCCCCGACGATGGGCCCCCACCGCCCCCTTCCAGATTCGTCTGCCACCATAGCTGCCATCCTTGTAACACTTCGAGCTCTCCCAGATTGTGTGTATATATGTGCCCTCCCCCATCGCCCTTGCGGGAACCATGCAATCTAACGGTTGGATCTGTCAACAGCTTGTAATGTAATGTATTGAACTCTTACAGCCATTGGATAGTGAGTGGCTGTCGACAACATCTTCAAAAATAACAAAGCATTTGTTTTATCTTTTATTCATCTATGATCTCCTTCGTCTAAATCGACGACACCTATTTTCTGCTCTGGTGTTCTCACCCATGTTATGTGGTATCCTATTTGATTTCTACAATCTTTTCTATTTTACCTGCACTCCCAAATTCTGCTCGACTTAACAGTGGCTAATGTACGAATTTATTAGTTGTTTTATTAGACCTATATAGATTAGCTCATAAGATCAACTTCTTCTACTGCTAGCCATACAGGCTGTGCCAATCCATCGTATACCTAAACCCGCAGCCCCACCATCGATGCGGTGCATCAGTTGCGTGTAACTTTTGGGATATATTTCCCCGCCCCTGTTATCCGTTTGTCCTCGATTATGCCTACCTGTATGTCTTTTGTTGTATACGTGACCCTAGGGTGGGTGTTATGCCTTATCTCACATCATCCCATCTCATCCACAACCCGCCGTCCTCGCAGAAACATCAAAACAAAAATGTGCGGCAAAACGGGTATGCAAACAAAAGCACCAAGCGGTAAGTGAGATGAAAGAGTAAATGGCCGGAAGGTAAGAAGCATCATGAGAAGATGGAAGGAAGCACCAAGATAAAAGCACACGAAACCACAAAGCACTCAGAGAAAAGCAAGGAGGCAAGAAGTATAAGTTAACGTTAATAATAATAATAATAAAACTAAAAGCCAAAAAAACAAACAAAGAAGCAGAGTTGTTTAATTGAAGCTTTAAAAAATATGGTCATTATGCCGTTTCGGGTATCGGGGTTAGAAGAAAGGCGTTGTGGTGGCGGTGGCGGTGTTGGTGGTGAAGTTTGATCGTTGGTTTGGTGCGAGGTTGTGCGTATGCTCTAACTTATCCCCAAAAAAAACACCCAAAAAAATCATGACTCCTGTCCCATCTTCATCTGTCTTTTCGTCTGTCTCATCTGGTCCGTCTGTTCCCACCCACCCCCATTTTCCCTCTCTCTCAAACAAATTATTCTTTAATAAAAAAGATATCGCGGCCTGCCTCACCAGTTATTAAAACCGGAAAAAGCGGGCTCAAAGACCGTGGTAAAAGCCGCTGCCGAAAACTGCGAATCCACATGAGCCCTTGTCCTTATATATAGCAATAGAAGCGGTCATCCATAAACTGACCATGCTGCTGGTGCGGGTAGTCCCTCGCGTCTGATCCGTCTTTGTTGTACTGCGTGTGCCGTTAGCCTTAGTCTTCATCGCCTGGTTACGCGTGCTCGACTTACCATATCACCGGCCCCCTCAACGCCACCCTGCTCATCCAGCGGCTGGCAGATCACAATTGAATTACCGTATTGCCGTGTATTCGGAATAAACTGGCCCTCGAAGCGCTCGGGGACGATATCGAGACCCCCCTGTTGGTGGAGAAGATGCATGTTCTGCGCGATAAGCAGAGGTTGCTGTTGCTGCTGCGCAGCCGTGGAGAGGGACTCAGCAGCGGCCCAGCCGGCGGGGAGGGCGCGGTCGCGCGGCCAGGCGGTGCCTTGGCGCGAGACGTCAGAGGGGGTGGACCAGGTGGACTCGGAGGAGTTGTAGGGAGGGGATGCTAGGGAGGGGTTGTAGGCGTGGTCGGGGACTTGGAGGGTGAGTGGGGGGATGTCGCCGGGGCCAGAGGCGGAGTAGAAGTTTGAGGTGAGGGAGGAGTAGGTGGACTGTTCGAAGGCGGGACCGAGGGTGGAAGGCTGGCTGAGGAGGAAGTCAGAGGCCATGTTGGCGCTCATGGGGATGGTGTGGTAGGTGGAGGTGGTGTTGAGGGCGTGGGAGGTCATGGAGCCGCTCGCGGGGGAGAATCGGAGACCAGAGGTCTCGAAGCCGTCGGTGCGGCTCCGCGGGCGTTGGTTTGAGGGTTCCGAGACGTTGACGGCCTGGAAGGAACCCATTATAGGTTCGTATTCCTTCGACAGGCGCATATTTGCACTTGTATTTGCCGTGGGAGCCTGGATGTTGGGAGATGAGTTGGGCGCATTCATGTTGGGCTGCTGCGGTAAATACTTTTGTGGTGGTGTTCGTGGATTGCTCGATGTCGACGATGATCGTGATCCCTGCTCGTTGTCGATAGGCTTGTAATGGCTGGTCCTATACGGCCCATCACCTTGAATTTCACTGCTTCATTGTTAGCTCAGCTCCCGAAAGGGCTGTTGGAGATCTTACTGCCGACTCATGTGTCGAGAGAGAAGGTCGGGACGGTGAAAGACCCTCTCACAATCTGGAAAGGTGCACGGCAGGTTTGCTTGTTCGTGGCTTAGTTGGTGGCGTCTGTGATATTCGTCAGTAAACCTTATCTGTCTCAACCGTCCGAGATCCGTACCGTAAGTGCTCTGCTCTTGTGAAGGCCTGGCAACGTCAGCATGAATAGATCAATGGCATCGTATAGAGTCTTACCCTTGGCTCATCACATTGCTCACAGACATGGACGGGCTGGCCCTTCTTTGCCTTGCTCACACGCCCAGTGACTGGAGTATATCGGACAGGCTGTTCTGCTTCGAGCCCGCGCGGCAACGATGGCCTCATATTATTTTGCGAGCCGCCTTGCCCGTAACCCGATGGATCCATCAGCTCTGTCGCGCCACTACTGCGCCGACGTGTGGTGCCTGAGCGTGGCGACCCCGCCGACGATGAAGGCTTGCTGACGCGGGTTAGGCGTTTCCTCTTGACGGACCGCTGTGTAGTGCTTGGTACTATCCTCGACAATGTGTCGAGGGATTGGTTTTGGAGGAGCGCGACGTCTCTTGATCTTTGGATGGCTTGAGACTCGAGAGGCTCCACATCCACGTCCATTATATCTCGTAGACTAGACATTCTGGGCGATTGGAGACTTTATTTCGATAACGAAGGAAGACCGAGGCGGGATAGCCTCCTTCAGCCCCACGGGAATAGATACTCGGAGCTCGACGAATGGAAGAGGAAGAACAGATAGTGAGGGCGGAACGCAGATCCAGAATGTTACTAAGAATGTCACAGAGACAAGGAAGATTGATTGAATACAATGCAATTGCGGCGGTATTACCAGAAATAAGCGGACATCTGGGGGCGCTGCTGCGCACTGCTGAACGATTTTGAACGGAAGGAAGGAAAGAGATAGGGTGGCAAGTATTGGAGAGGTAGTATGGAGAGAGGAAAAAGAAGGCGAGTCTCTTTGGGATCCTTACTTTTCACCACCGAGCCTTGGCCAAAAAAGAAAGATATGTACCGGGCGATGGGGTGTAACGATGCCCGGATGAGGGGGGGAGGGGGGGTAGGAGGAGGGAGGGGTGGGGGGGTAGGAGGAGGGAGGGGTGGGGGGTAGGAGGAGGAGGGGTGGGGAGGGTGATGTTGGGGAGAATCAGATCAAGAGAGATTTTTTGGGTTCCTACCTTAGATCCCTGGATTTGTCCATTGGTGAGGGTGAAGATGAGGGCGAGTAAGAGGGGGATGTTGGGATGTTTTGGTGTGGTGAGGATCGCGATTGGTGTATAGGCGGTATTCTTCGGCGCTTAAACGCGTCTTAAATAAGACCATGCTAAGATGAATAGAGATGGTTAGTCCGCAGACGCAAAGCAAAGAATGTAGAGTACAATACAGTACTATGCGTACCTTGTACAGAGCTAGGATCTAGGATCCGTGTGTGATGATAAGTGTCCCTTGTGGTTTGTTACTTTTGTTCAGGACTGTACAGAGTGTACTGCATACAGAGTAGAGTAGTTTACTCAACGTGGTACTCGACCTCGGCCCTTGTGTTGCAAGCCAAGAGAAATGTGAGCATATTTAGAATAGGTATGCAGTAATTCGTAAAATATCGACTACAACTGCGGCTATTTTAGATTATAGATTGTAGTGGGGATTGAGGGGAGGATGAGGTGCAGAATAGAGTACATGCACTGAGTGGGTACTTTGCAACCCGCGTTTCTTGGGTGGTGGTGGAAGTACCTTGTTAGAACGTACGATAAGGGTCTGTGGTGTCGAATCGACAGTGTGAGGCATGAGAAGCAGTAAGCAGCATGCACCGTAGGTATAGATGGAGTTTACAGCGTCAGCGGTGCGTGTGCCAGCGTGTGAGCGTGTGAGCGTGTGAGCGTGTGAGCGTGTAAGCGTGTAAGCGTGTAAGCGTGTAAGCGTGTAAGCGTGTAAGCGTCAATTATGGCGAGGTAGAGAGAGTGACATACAGAGTGTGGTCAAAGTACCAAAAGTTGAACATTCTGACAGCGACAGTGACATGACATGACATGACATGACATGACAGGGACAGGGGTGCGACTACGGGAGACGACGGGAGGGTCGTTTGAAGGGCCACTATCCCCTGAGTGGCTTGGACTAGGATCGCAAGGCTGTTCTATATTTGGCACCAACGACATCCATCTACTATCCCCCCCCTGAATGATTGTAACGACCCGCTATTTGGAAGTTTGTGGAAACCCACTTATAGCGATCGGTTTAGGTAAAAAGGCGTAAATAAGATGAGATCACTAGCAGCCTTTTGACAAAATACTGGATGGTGACAATCATTCAGGGGGGGGATAGTAAACTATACGGAGGTGTTGTTCAAAAGTTTTGTCGGTGGATCCGGCCGGGGCTCCCTGCGTCTGCAACAGCCACACGGAGCTGATCATAGGACATGTGCTCTAGATAATTATCTTGTCCGCTAGAGATATATAAGTAAATACCATAGTAAATAGGGGGTTGTCTCACTTCCTCCGTTATACTCTATGTAAGGATGCCTTCCCTCAGTGACGGAAAGGATCTGAGTCGGGCAGGTTATGGTCACATGATAAGAGTTAAGGCAGGTTAGTGTTGGAACTGCATTCCTGGTAGTACGCTGCACATGCGTAGCCTGTATACCAACTGTGTATATATAGGGGCTTCGCCCCCCGTAGTTTTTCAATCAAGTCGTCAAACTCCAATTATGTGTTCAACAGGTTATGAGCCCGGGTTTAGCGCACGACGCGCTGCGCCAAAGACACATAATTGACGGCTTCCCTCATAGCTCTCGCAGGGAGAGAGCAGCTATGTTGTACGATAGGCGTACGAGTGGAGCGTATTTATCGCCATTACGGAAAGCCTTTGCTCATAACCACCAACTACACAGCGGAAGCAGCACCGAGTATAAGACGAGTGCAGGGCACACCAAGCAAGCGACTACTTTGAACAGGAGCTAGGGATAACTGTCGGAACTTCAGTTTTGGGTCAACTGAACCTCATTGATCGAGGCGTAGCCGGGACAGACCAGCCAGATTCGACACCATGAGGGTGCGCAAGCGGTTAACACCACCATAGCGATGGTGCGCAGGTAGCGGGTAGCGAGCGCGGTCATACTGTGGATAGGATGGGCTAGGAAAGAGGGATAGGCAGAGACTTGGGTTTAGAGGAACTAGAAGCAGGGGCGCTGTTGCAGAGGCAACACAGTACAGCATAAGGGGCGTGTTGGAACTGCATTCCTGGTAGTACGCTGCACATGCGTAGCCTGTATACCAACTGTGTATATATAGGGGCTTCGCCCCCCATAGTTTTTCAATCAAGTCGTCAAACTCCAATTATGTGTTCAACAGTTAGCCGAGTCAGACCCGTTTCGGGTACTTAAGGGGATTGACCCAACGGGGTCCCTCTCCCTCAGTGACGGAAGGTATCTGAGTCGGACAAGTTACAGTCACATGGTGAGAGTGAAGGCAGGTTAGCTGAGTCGGACCCGTTTCGGGTACTTAAGTGTTACGACGGAACAAGAAGGCTGGCCAACTACAGGACAGGAAGGAGGGAGGTCGCATGAGACCGGCCCTGGTACCTGGAGGGGCAGCGGGGAATAGTAGTTCCGAAAGTATCACGTGATGGACTCGCAGGATGATGAGAAGAGTCCTAAGAGTCCAGGACTCCGAGGACTCGAGTGAGTTCCCAGGAGTCCACTAGGCACGTGACGGACTCGCAGGATGATGAGAAGAATCCTAAGAGTCCAGGACTCCGAGGACTCGAGTGAGTTCCCAAGAGTCCACTAGGCACGACGCCACTATATAAGTAGATAGTATTTCCTTAGATAGGAGCTTCGTGCTCAACTCAATACAGTATTTGTTATATACTAGTAACGTGTTACTTGAAGCCTTTGTGTCTGATCCCCTGCCTCCTCTGATAAGTAAACCTTTACGCAAGAGAACCTCTGTGTCTTCTATCGTTTAGAAGTCAGCGTTACATTAAGGAGATTGACCCAACGTGTAAGGACACAGGGCACCCAGCTCACAGTAATAGCATATGAGAGTGCGAGTCAGAGGCTAAACGGATGCTATCCTATAGGTCTACTACGAAGGATACAAAAAAGATGAAGAGAGGAACCCCCGTTGAGTCAATTTCCTTAAGTACCCGAAACGGGTCCGACTCGGATAACCTACCCTAATGCTCCCCACGTGACCGTAACCTGCCCGTCTCCGATGCTTTCCATCACTGAGGGCTTTGGCATCCTTACACAACGGGGGTTCCTCTCTTCATCTTTTTTGTATCCTTCATAGTAGACCTATAGGATAGCATCCGTTTAGCCTCCGACTCGCACTCTCATATGCTATTACTGTGAGCTGGGTGCCCTGTGTCCTTACACTCTATCTATAACACACGTATCATCCCACATTTCCCCTGCCTTCTAGGTTACCTACGTACGAGTATAATGCCCACCTGTCACCTACGTCTCGTTAGTCCAAAGGTTCTATCCTAGTCATTCCGTATCTAGCTTCTATAGGTAATGGCCTACTTAAGTTGCTTTCGTCGATTTGTCTCGGAAATAATTGGCTTTCGCATAGCAATCCCTAGATCTTATTAGTATTTATAGTAGTAGATAGATGGGAATACTCACTTCTATTATACCCTCTTACTAAGAGAGCCTAGGTAAGTACAAGCCATGAGCATGGAATTTCTAGAAGCTCTATAACCTTCGTATATAGCATATGCCTATTCTAACAAGAAGAGCTTATAAACTCAATAACCTCGTCAACTTGATTGTCAGATAAGATAAGTGGCCTACCTAACCTCTTTTTTGCAGTTGGAGGCCCATAGCAGGCATACCATGCCTGCTGCTCTATACAGCCTAGGTTCTCTGCTATTTGCTAGAACTCCTAATTTAGAGGCGAAGGACAGAGCACTAGAGTTGCTTATCGTGAGTAAGGTGATGCATTGTAGTTATAGAAAGAGTATGAATTTCCTACATAAAAAATACTATAGGAAGAATTTCAACATGTTCAAAAGATACAAACAAGCCTACGTGTACCTATGCCCTAACCCCTGCCTTACCCCCTGCCATCTCTAGATCTACTAACAAAACTTTTAACGGTAAATGAAAATTATACCCTGTAATTTGACCGTAATGAAAATTCTACCCTGTCATGATTAATAAGTCACCACGTGATGCTCACCGTCCCCCACAGCCGTCGGCCCTCCTCTCGCCATGAAGAGTGACAGCGACTATGTAACGCTGACTTCTAAACGATAGAAGACACAGAGGTTCTCTTGCGTAAAGGTTTACTTATCAGAGGAGGCAGGGGATCAGACACAAAGGCTTCAAGTAACACGTTACTAGTATATAACAAATACTGTATTGAGTTGAGCACAAAGCTCCTATCTAAGGAACTACTATCTACTTATATAGTGGCGTCGTGCCTAGTGGACTCTTGGGAACTCACTCGAGTCCTCGGAGTCCTGGACTCTTAGGACTCTTCTCATCATCCTGCGAGTCCATCACGTGCCTAGTGGACTCCTGGGAACTCACTCGAGTCCTCGGAGTCCTGGACTCTTAGGACTCTTCTCATCATCCTGCGAGTCCGTCACGTGATACTTTCGGAACTACTATTCCCCGCTGCCCCTCCAGGTACCAGGGCCGGTCTCATGCGACCTCCCTCCTTCCTGTCCTGTAGTTGGCCAGCCTTCTTGTTCCGTCGTAACACTCGCTCCCTTCCCCTGGGCATTCGTCTCGAATCCTATAAGTACGTCCATGTCCCTGGGACTCTGCTGCTCCTCAGCGAGTCCTTCAACATGCAACATGCCTACTGACACTGCCCGCAAACTCCAGGAACGCAACGATCTTGTCCGTCGAATAAAGAACCACGGATACGAACTACCCGAAATGGATTCTTGCTCGAACTGCGTGAGGCGAAACATTACTTGCGTGTCGTCTCCAAATGATTCACGGCGGTGCGCCGAGTGCGTTCGTCGCAACTTGAAAG